AAAGACACTCGTACACTCGGAGATGCGACTCAAAGGCGGCACAAGCGCCGCCTTGGACTCGACCGTACCCCCATCTCAAGCGACGGCTCAAGATCCAAACTCCACCGATCTCCTTCAGTTAAGTTCGCTCTCGGACCTAGTTGGAAGAGCCAGCAATTCCGGTTAATCGAGGCTTCGTTGAGCGGAGACAGGATGAGCAGCGTGGCGGTCGAGATCGGACGGGCCGAGGTACATGTGACCCATCTCTTGCGTGGCCAAGCTGATGCAACGATGTAGCGACTCGTCTTCGATGCGCGATGCGAGCGCAGGGCCTTCGATCTGCACTGTTTGGCATTGGAAGCTCGTCTTCGCGCAGTACGAGCAAGGCAGGCCGATACCGTCCGAACGAACGCCGTCTTTCTCGCTGCAAAGCTTGACGAGAAGGCTGAGCACGACGCCCGTGTACAGAAAGAGCTTCAAGAGAGAGAAGAAGCTACCGAGCGTCACCGTCAGCTCGAAGCCCACTGCAGACCAGGAAGCGAAGCGCGCCGCCGACCAGGAAGCAAAGCGCGCCGCCGACCAGGAAGCGAAGCGTGCGGCCGACCAGGAAGCGAAGCGCGCCGCCGACCAAGAAGCAAAGCGACTGCGTGCGGCCCAGCGATCTGAAGCAGCCAAGCTTGCTGAAAAAAGTTCAAAACTGGCAACACAATCCAAGCCGGTTGCGCGCCAGCAGCCCGCGGGCCCGATACCAGTCGACGACGAGCCTGAGGTGGACTTTGGCGGCGGCGCCGACTGGGATGACAACAATGACCCGTATCATCAAGGCAGCCCGCCACCCAGTCCTGCTCACAAGCCTCTCGCCGCGACAAAGTCGACAAAGGCTCGGAAAAAAGCAACCAAAACGCCCAAGGCGCCGTTGGCTGACGGCATTGCGCCGACGAACGATGGACCAAAGAAAGCGAAGAAGCCCAAGGCGCTGCAAGAACCCTTGTCTCTGAATGCGCCCAAACGCTATGTGCCTGCGAAGAAGGCTAGCAAGGGGAAGAAGCCCCCGACAGTGCTTGACGAGAGCGTAGATGACACTGGCGTTGTCTCTCCGCTCAATACAGTGCCCACGAAGCAGCGCAAGTCGAAGGAGTCTGCACCTGCGGCAGAAGTCCCCTCGCCCGTGGATAAGCCCAGCAGCTTCTTTGACCGCCTGGCAAAGAAAATGGCAGAGAAGGTCGGACCGCTCTCGCCAGCCCCGTCTGCAGCGCACCCTACCGAACTCAAGGCGAAGAAACGTAAAGCGGTTAATACCGACGCAATCTCGGGAGGCGACAATGCCGAGGCAAGCAAGAAGCCCAAGAAGACGAAGACCGATGCGGCCAAGAAAACCCAAAAGAAGGCCAAGGGCACCGAAGATAAGCAGCCATCAAAGAAGCGCAAGGCAGCCGATGCAGTTGCAGGCGACGCGGACGATGTGACTCCATCGCCCGTCCGCCACCTCAAGCCCAAGATTGCGACCAAGTACGAGGTGCCATCGCGCGGCGTCGATGCTACGTCCACCAAGACGTCACTGTTCGCCTCGTTCATGAACCGCACCAAGACCGATGCCGCACCCGTGCGCCTTCCGATGCCTCTGGATGAAGATGTGGCAGCAACGGTGACCGCTACGAACGCAGCCAAGAAGCCTGTGTGGCAAAAGCTCGCCAAGGTTCCCGTGGAGAAGAAGGCAAAGAAGCCGAAGCCTCCGAAGGCCCAGAAGGCGCCAGCCAAAGCACCGCCCAAACCCGTCGCCGTCGACGCCCCGCCCAAGCCGTCGCTCTTTGCTTCGTTTATCAACAAGGCGAGTGCCGCCATTCCGCAGCTGAAAAGGCCGACTACAAACTGAAGACATTTTGCATTCTATACATCGGCGGCGCGTTACTGCTGCTTGGCCAGCTGGTTGAGCACGTCAATCGACTCGACGTAAAAGTCGGGGCGCTGCGCTTCGTTTTCGATGAACTCGATCTCACTCGGCGCGGTGACACCCGTCAAGACGAGGAGCGTGCGAAGGCCACCGAGCCGACCGAACTCAATGTCCGTGTTGAGGCGATCGCCAACCTATGGTATAATCTCGTGCCCAGCGCCCAATCGAGCGCATCCTACCATGCAGGTGCGCGCGGGATCGAGGTTGTGCGTCGACAGGATCGTCTGCAGGAGCGCTTGCGACGGCTTCCCAACCACGGCGTCGGGCTCACTAGGCGGATAGTTGCATCGCGTGGATAGAAATGAAAGAGTGATACCGGCCAACGGCCGTGGCCAAGGCCGCGACGCAAGTGCCGCCGCCCGGCAACACGGCGCCGTCGACTGGGAACGTCGGGTCCCTATCTCCACACATCAGATTCGGACGCAGACCACGCGATCTGCGTACGTGTTGGTCGCAAAGAACTTGCAACCAGGGTTGGTGAGGATCGAGACGGCAGCGTACGACAGCTTGTAGTACGAGATGGCACTACAGACGTGCGCTCGATACAGTCGATCAGCGGGTTCGGAAGTCGTACCGGTCGAGACCAATGACGACAGCACCGACAGCAGGGTCCACGACGAACGGCGTCGGAACCTCCGTCTTGCCATTGTGCTCCAAACCAAAGTTCTCGAAGCCTTGGGCCGAGACTTCAGCCGCCAAGCCCGCCTACAATTGGAAATTCATCGCTTCCGACCGAATCCCATGACGAGGCTGGATACACGCACCTCGCCGACGACGTAGACTTTGCCTTGCACGTCGTGCTGGCGCAAGTATGCCGCACACGCCGACGCCGACCTAGTTGTATGTGAGCTACGGTTGTTGCGCACCGAGAGACGTACGTTACAATGTCGCTGACGGTGGCCGAAATGCCCTGACCCGCTACGGTGGCTCTGAGCCACGCTCAAAGTCTCAGAGGGTGAACGCACCTAGCTTGTCAACATAGGTATCGCGGCACTTGGTCGAGTTGTTGGTCTACGTAGTACTCGTAAAGCAATGCTACAATAGCCGAGGCTGTGCGTACCACAAAGACGACCTTCTTGCCGAGCGACCGGAGCAGCTGGATGGCTTCCTTGGCGCCTTCAATGGCCGCGCTGCCGCGCCAGAGGACTACAGCTTCCGCTCGCTCCTTGCCCAAGACAGGCGAAGTACGTACCGCCGTCGCAGTCGAAGAGGAAGGCGTCGAGGCCGTCAATCCACTGGCGGAAGCTCGCGGACGCGAGGTGGCGGATCGGGGGCATCTTGGCGGCCATCGTGGATTTCTCAAAATGAAGCGACTCACCCGAAGTCCGAAGCTGCGTGTTTCAGATTCGATCCGCATACGCATCCGTATACCTTCGAAGTACGCACCCGGTTTCTGCCAATCAGCCATCCATGGAGCTCGGGTCCGCCGAAGTCGAGGTCCGCCACGATGCGACGCGTGGCCGCGGTGTCTACGCAAAGGCTGCGCTGCCAGCCAACCAAGTCGTGCTCAAGGACTCGCCCATCTCGGTAGCATCAGCCCACGAAGTCGATAGCGATGACGATAGCGACAACGAGACGGAGACCACGCCACCGCTTGTCTGCTGCGTTTGCAAGCGCTTCGTGGGCTCAGTGCCGTTGCAACTGCATTACCTCGCCGGTAGCTTTCAGCTTCTCTCGGGCATGTGCAGTGACGAGCGCTGTGTGCAACCGTTGCCAGCGTCGGTCCAGGCCATGACCGCGCAGCCGACGCTGCCCAACATGCCACCCGCGTCGACACCAGTCTACTTGACCAAGTTCAAGGGTGATAAGCTGCCTAGCGTTGTCTGCTCGAAGATCTGTGGCGACGTTCTGCACGCGCAGCCGACGAACGTCTTTTCTTCGATCTTCCAGCGGAGCGAGCCTTTCCAAGCGCACAACGCGGTGCTCAAGCATCTCTCTCTTGTCACAGCCATACTCGCGCGTATTTACTACCGACTCTGCGTACAAGCGCGGTTGTCGGGCGCTCTCGACTGGGAAGCCGCCGTCCACGACATTCTGCACCTCGAAGCTTGTCCGTTGCTCGCCCAGACGATCGACAATGACGCCGCATCGGCCGCGCACGCGTACATGCTGCGTGCGTTCTCTTCCAAGTCCAAAGTCTCAGCTGCGTTCCAAGCACACGTCGACTTGGCCTTTTTCGTGGGGCTCCTCGGGCGGGCCAAGGTCAACGCCGTCGGTGTCGATGTCCCGTCGCCCATTGTCCCGTACTTTCTCTCGTGCGAAGGCGATCCAGCTACAAAAGCTGATCTAGTTGCTCAAGCCGCACCGCTGCTTGAGCGCGTGCTCCAAAAGCTCTGCCACATGGGTGACGACGACGACGGCGACTCGGAAGTCGAGCCATCGGACGACGACGAATCGAACGACGAGTCAGATGACGCATCGGATGACGCGACCGACGCCACGGACGCGACAGACGTCACGGACGACCGGAAGCGAGCAAATCCAGACGCCGACAATGGCTCTGATGACGAAGACGAGGACATTCACTTTGTTTGGTCCACGGCGGACGACGGCAGCGCTGGCTGCGACATTGAGTTCAACTCGTCGGCGTTCCCGTCCATGGATGGGACCGCCCTCTTCCCCCGCTTCTCGATGCTCAACCACTCGTGCGCACCCAACTGCGGCTTTACGTACGTCAACGAGACGGACATCACGGTCTTCACGACGCAGGACGTTGCGCCTGGCGACGAGCTCACCATCTCGTACATCGAGCGCCACGCACCAGTGAGTGCGCGCCAAGCCGACCTCCGCTCCCGCTACAACTTTACGTGCGCGTGTGTCCGTTGCACGACCGAGCTCGCCGCGGGCAAAGGCAAGCGGAAGCTCCAGGACGCCACTGACAAACCTCGCAAGAAGATGGCACCATTGGCGTCGTCATAATAAATAGGAGCTATTACAATAAGAGCAAACGCACACGCGTCTCCGCGTCGAGATCGCCGACGAGCTGCGCCATTCGCTCCCGCGCGTCTCGTATTCCGGGCTCGTCGGGCGGCGCGCCAAGCGTGCCAGACAAAAGTACGTGGAGCTTGTAGCGCGCGCTGCGCTGGGCACGGGGGTCGTAGGCGTCCAGGAGGTTGTAGATCTCGCGCAGGTCGTCCACCAACTGCTCAAAGAACGCTTCGTCGTCATCGTCGTCGTTGTCGTCATCGTCGTCATTGCCGTCAATGTCGTCGACGACTTGGCCGTTTTCTTGGTCGACTCGTATCCTCCTCGTCGTCTCGTTACGCTCGAGACACGGGTCGGGAGCGACAGGGCGCAGCTCGGCGACGACGCGGTCGACGATATTGCGCTGGTGGGTGTCGGGTAGCGTTTGAATGCATCCCACGAGGCACGCGACACCAGCGTCGCCACCGCGATCGTCGGCCACGAGGTTATTCCAGAGCTTGGCGAGCGCCTCGTAGTCGACTTGCTTGGTAGGCGGGTCGTCGTCGACCTCGGGCGCCGCATCTATCGCGGAGGAGTCGGCGAACCGACAGTTGTCGAGCAGGTCTTTTTGCGGGTCGTAGTCTCTGTACACGGCGTGGAGCAGCGTCTGCGTCACGACGTCGGCGAGTGGCGAGGACGCGGGCAGCGCTCTTCGCAGCATCTACGCACGCGCATGAGTCACCAGGTCGCTACCTCGTGAGCGGACCGTCGTGGCCAACTCCAATGCGAGCGCCGTGCTGAGCTGCGCTGGGAGTCCACCGTTCAGTGGCTGTACAAACTGCGCGCAGAGCGAATCGACGCGGCTTTCGGTGGACCTACGACGCTGAGATCGAGTCGTAGAGACGACGAGGTACCTCGCGTCGTGCGGTAAGCGCGCTGCGTAGTGCGCCAGGACATCGTGCAGCGTCGCGTCGGCGTCGGCGACCGGCGCTACTCGGTCCTTCCGCTTCCACGGCGCCGCCGGTTTGGGCGGCTCGACGCGCCACCGCTCCATGCTGGGACGGTGGATCCAATTTAGGCTCGAAGAATAACGCCTCGTCGTGTTGTAACTCCCTCGCGTTGCCTTTTTAGCGACGCCCATGGGCGACGACATGGCGCGCCCGCAGCGCCTGCGCATGGCCAAGTCGATGCGGTACTCCCAGCACCCTTGACGCTTTCTCACACGCGCTCAGCATGTCGGTGGACCTCACGGGGCTCTCGGGCCACGCGCGGGTACAAAATGCAATTGGCGACCGGTGACACGAGGTGTGTAGGCCGCGATGATTCGGCAAGAGTTTATGCGCGCCAAGGAGACGCATCCGATGCGCATCGAGGCCAAGCTCATGGTGCGCAACTTCCGCCGCACCGAGAAACCATCGATGCAGCGCAAGCACCACGCGTGCGTGCTCTCGCAGCGCGACCGGATCCAAGACATCCTCGACCGCGTCCAGGCCAAGCTCAACTCGGACACGCTCCCATTCCACTTTGGCAAGGAAGACAAAGAGTGCGCTCACCGCATCGACCGTCTTGCGATCGTGAGTTGCGTAGATACGTCGTGCAGTGGGTCGAGGACGTGGAGTTCATCTTGCACTACTTTCGTCCGCAAGCCGACCCGCGCAACGATCCGCTGGGACGCATGGTGGACAAGCTCTACTGGCTCCACCAGTCGTACGCGTGCTTTGCTGCGATCGGCCACGACGCCAAGGCCATCATCGACGACTGGGACAGTCTCGGCATGTTCGAGAACGACGCCTTTAGCGACGACAGCGACGACGACGAAGCGAAGGTGTCTTACGCGACCCTTTGTTGCGATGCGATCGAGCTCGACGCGGCTGCAGAGGCGCACCGCAAGGTAGCTGCCTGAAACGACGTGGTGTTGATACAGTGGCCTCCTAGCGACGCGTCGTGCGGCGCCGAGCAGCCGCGCGTATCATTCGACGCAACATTCTCCACTGGCTCACGACCAAGCACCACGTCGTGAACCGCATGGAAGAGTTTCGACACTTTGGCAACAGCTTCTACAAGCACATTGACAACCGCCGGAGCCTTCTCCAGATGCGCGGCCGGTCGCGGCCCCACGCGTCGCAGGTGCATCCAGCTGTCTTCTTGGGGCCCAAGAAGAAATAAGCCATGTTGTAGCACCACCAAGGCATGCGGCTGGAAGGACTCCAGCGACTGTGTCGCCACGTTGCTACGTTCAAGGTCGACGAGGCGATTCGAAACGTTGAAATTGCGACGCGCAAGCGCCGTCTCTTGGAAGCACGCTGCGCGATCCGCATCCAGAACAAGTGGCGCTCGTACAAACTCGGACAAAGCCGAATGATGCGCCTCATTCGGCAGCTGCAAGTTGCCCAAGCTCTCGAGAAGCGGCCATGCCCATCCTCGCTGCCGTCCAAGCCGACGCCGCCACCCAAATCGCGCGATGAACATTCAACCAGCTGCAGTGCTAGTCTCATTGAGCAACCTGTGGTATCGCAGACATTGCTCGTCACCGAAACCGCGTCCGAGACCAGCAGCGGCACGAGTGCACTCTCACGGGGCAGAGGCACAGGACCGAAAAAGCGCAAGACGCGGCTGCGCTCGATTGTCGACAAAATGCAAGCGCCAAACATCGAGCCGGCTCGGCGGGCAATGGCCGTTGGAGCCAACGAAAAAGGGCACACGCGTCGCTCGTCAATTGCGCCGACGCCGTCCCAGCGAGCGCCTACGCGGCTACAAGGCTCGCTCCTCAACGCACCGACCGAGCTGCATCGCGGCATGGGTGTCGTGCGCGAAGAACCGGTTGAAGATGAAAGCAGTAACGAGGAGAGGGTCGTAGATGCGCGACCAAAGCCGGCGCCAAGGATGTCGGTCACTGCTCGCCTCGTGCAGGCAGCATTGAAACAAGGACAAGGTCCACAATTAGGTCGAAAACCCCGTACCATCAAACAAGGACCACTGGAAGGCGACGAGGAAGACACGGAGGCACAGCCGGCGCTCGATTTCGAGGAAGACGAAGGCATCACGGCGTGGTCGTCCGAGACCACCAAAGTACCGGTGGCGATGCCGAGGCGGGTTGAGACGCGACCAGTTGGCGACCAGAGACGTCCCAACGCTGGGAACGCGACGGCGAGGACGCTACCGAGCCAGTCAACACCGAGCCGGCCACCACCATCAGCAAACCAAGGACCAACTCGAAGAGAGACACCAACAAAAGAGACACCAAGAGAGGCACAAAGAGGGGCACCAAGAGAGACACCAAGAGCGACGCAAGAAACAACTGCACCACGGACGCAATCTGCGAGCGAAGAGACACCGCCCACTAAAACGTTTCCCAAGGGAGACGTCCGCCGACAAGGAACAACTGCAGGACGACCGCGTGTGCCGTCGTTCCGGCCATTGTACACGGCTGGTGGCACTAGCTTGCGTCTCCCTACTGCAACATCTGCGCCACCAGTCGCGACAAAGTGGTCCCCGTTTGGTGATCCCGTCATGGCGACGATCAACGAAGATCCACTGAAGCCGATGTACGAACTGCTGCAAAGCGTTGATGATGATGAAGATCAAGAGCTACAACGAGACGATGTTCCCAGTGCTGTAGCTTCCAACGCTTCAGACCTCGCAAAGGAGTCGCTTGAGCCGCTTCTAGCTGTGCCTACTTTGAAGCTCGAACGTAATGGGGTCGGCGATCGACATGCGACTTGGCAGGCCCAACGCGGTTGTGTCTCGAACCAAGCCACGAACGATGCTAGCCTGAGCGAGCTGGAATTTGCAGCCATGTCTCTCCAAAGCTCCGAGATTGAGAAAGAACGATGCACGCAAGCATCCTTTGTGAAGCCTGCTAGCGATGAAAATCCAAATGCAAGTCACCTCAGCGCGAAGGTTTTGCCGCTGAAAGACGTCGACGGCGGCGAGGAAGGGCGGGCCGAAGACGTCGACGATGGTATCCGAGACCATCAAGCCACCGCAACCGATGACACAAACACGCTACGGAAGGGCGCAATGCCGAGCATTCGACCGGTGACCGAAGTACGCCGGCTTGTGTTTTCCGCCGCATCCCCGTCCGTGAGTGTCGTGTTGCCAAAGTGGACCAACTCGGTCGGTGGCACGTCCGCATCCCCAAGACGACGATTCAAACCGCGGACAGAGCGAAGGTGCTTCCTACCACGTCCGTGTCCTGCTCATTCAACGATCGATTCACTCCATTCGATTAGCGTCGACGCCAACCCACGACGCCCAAGCCACTGGCTACACGCCCAGCGAGCTCAAAGCACAAGTCGACGACATTGGTGCCATTGCTCGAGCGCCGGCCACCGCAAGCGACCCAAGCCCCTTGGAGCCCGCATCACCCAACGACGCATCGTCACTACCGTTAGCACCGCCCGAGGGCTCATCCGTTCTGCCCAGCGTCTTCAAGCAGCAGTTCCACGACCGTGGCACCCCCGGGAACGCACCCAAGAGTCGCATCCGCCGGCGATTCCAGTCCACCGACTTGAGCCACGGGGTTGCTGATGGTAGTACTGGTACCGTGGCACCGTTCACCTTCTCAGCACCGGCACGCAGCGACATATCTCGCGTACTGTACCCGGCCGATGAGCAAGCGCCACGGCGGCGCGCCACGACGATTGGCAGCGGCGCATCGACGCACCTCGCTGCGGTTGCGTCGGGACCGAGCGCCACAAGCCTTTCGGCGCCAAGCGCAGAAATTGGTCGCACCCACCACGCAGGGCTCGCACCGGGGACACCCGGCATGGCGCCAGCCGGCGTTCCATTCCTCCCAAGCCCACTGAGACACGAGCCGTCGCCGCTGGGCCCGCGGCGGAGGACGCGCGGCCGCAAGGAGTGGCCTCCCTGGGCTTGTCGGCGCGCAAGGCGAGAAGTGACGCCTTTGCGTCGACGCTGGCGTCGTACTTGGGTCTGCTCTATGGCGCCCCATCCAAGCGTTAAAAAGATACGCACGAAAACCGTGTGTTAATCTCAACCCAAAAGCGCACTCAACGGCGTTTTTTACGTAAAAGGTGGCTCAAAACGTCGTCTTTTGAGTAATTCGAGTACCCAGCGACGTGATTGGTCGAGAGAAAGCCGTTAAAGGCCCACCCACCGTTTGGGCAGCGTTTTTAGTCGCTAAAAGCAAGCCATGACTACCAAACGCCCAGCTGCCAACTTGGACGAAGCCGGCTACGTGCCAGAGCCAACGAAACCCCTCCTCGACGTCGGTCCCGAGCGCTCCAAGACAGGCCGCCCACCCGCCCCGATCCGCGTCCACTTTGAGAACACGGGTCGCCAAAAGAACGCATCGACAGCCCTCCTCAAGTGCAAGTTTTGCGAAATGGAAGTCTCGGGCCGTGCCATTTCACTCGAGAGCCACCTGAAGCGCTGCCAGCAAGCGCCGGAAGAAGTCCGCCCCACGAGCGTCAAGGACGAGAAGTCCACGCCGAAGAGCACAAAGGCCCACGCCGTCGCCGGCAAGCACCCAGCCAAGAAGCCGTGCACAGCCACGTCGTCGATGGAGACCAAGTATCGCAATCTGATCATCCTCCAGACCAACGCCGTTCAGTCGCTCCATGTCATGCTCCGCGACAAGCGGTCGTCGCACCTCCAATTCAAGAAGTTTGCTGACCGCCTTATGCGGTACCCTCATCAGCATCCTCCGATGCTGTATCTCATCCTCGGCCGTGGGTAGGATTCTGGCCGAAGAAGCGCTCGCGGCGTGCACGCTCGAGTTTGCGATCGTCTGGACGCCGACGGGCGCCGAGTTCTCGGGCATGCGGCCCAACAGCAACATCTGCGCTGTTTCGATCGTCCGCGCCGGTGACGCGCTCCTCGAGCAGGTCCTTGCCTGCGAGCCGAGCGTCTCAGTCGGTACGACTCTTCGCATCTGCATCGTTCCTCACATACACGGCGTAGGCAAGATCCTTATCCAGCGCGACGAGTCCTCGGCCGAGAAGCACCCGGTCGTCTACTACGCCAAGCTGCCGCCGCGCATGAATGCATTCGACCGCGTGCTCCTCCTCGACCCCATGCTTGCGACGGGCGGCAGCGCCAAGAAGGCGATCCAGGTACGAGAGAGAGAGTGAGAGGTGTGGCTCATGCAATCGCGCGTAGCTGCTCATTGACTCGGGCGTGCAGGAGCGAGACATTGTGTTCGCCAACGTTCTCGCGTGCCCCGAAGGCCTCGACGCGATCTTTGAGGCGTACCCGCAGATCCACGTCGTCACGTCGGCCATCGACCCGGAGCTCAACGAGTCCAAGTACATTGTGCCGGGCCTCGGCGACTACGGCGACCGGTACTACAACACGACCATGTGAACGTCTCGTCTGCGTAACAACCAATGAAACGGATTTTGGACTGCCCTTTTTCTGTTTGTTTTGCATGATGCAGTGGCGGGCGCCCAGCTACAACTTTATCGAGCCGCCTCGAACACCACGCAAACCGCCAGCGCTCGACGCGCTTGCCGCGACCATCCTCGAGCGCTGGGCGGGGCGCATGGAGGTTCTCGATCGGTACGAGATGCGCCATAGTTCGCTTCGTGAGCCGCTTGTAGACCGACGACGACAGCCAAGTTGTGGCAGGCGCTGCTGCAGCAGTCGCAGCCCAATGGCGCCATGCCGTACCGCGAAGCTCCCAACGCCGTGTGCACGGCCATTTACTTTGAGCTGCTTCAAGAGGTATCGCTGCTCCGTAGAGCTCGTTGCAGTACGCACCTGCGCTACTAGATGTTGCGCGTCTACTTTGCGCCGGCGTCGACAATCTGCGATCTCGTGCTCGGCGGTCTCCTCAACTCAGTCTACCGCATGTACGACGCCACCAAGCCGTTCTACGACAACACGCCATACTCTGGCACCTGCGGTACTCCCACCCACTACTTCAAGCAACGCATCTTGCAGCTCAAACGTTAGTGCGCACGTCCCACGAAGAGCGCACGAGCCAGAACGAACACCACGTCAAAGTGATCTACCAGGTGCAAAACACGTTTGCGTTGGCTGCTCAGGCGCGCGTCTCGTAGCACTTTAGCCAGCTCGAAGCCAACTACCAAAGGGACGTTGTGCGCGACCTCGTCAAGCCCGTACTGACCCCGGACGTGATCGTCGACTTGTGGGACTTGTATCTTGAAGCGCCCGTCGCGACGACGCTCCGTCTTCCGACGACCGCGGCTGTCCACGCGGCTACGTACACCAAGTGCTTTCACCGCTTAGACGACGACGAGAAGCGCCCGCTCCTCACTGGCCTCGCGAGCGCACTCGACCTGCGCGTCACCGACGCGTCACGGATCGAGGTCCCAGCTCCAGTGACAAAGCTCCCTCCGACCCTTGCTCGACAAAACTCGCTGGTGCGGTCCGCGGAAATCAATGCGTCTCGCGCGCTTAGCCCCCGACGACCGTCGATTCTTGCAGCGCCCAGCAAGGCAGCAACGCGGCTTTCGGTGCGACGCAAGTCGATTCTTCCTCATGCACCGAGCGTTTTGAGCCCAGGGCGCTTCTCGAGATGCTTCCCACGATCAAGAACCCAAAGGACGGAGCTAGCGGCAGCAGCCGCAGTATAACTGGCAACCAGAACCGGTGCAGCGACGTGCCAGAGTCGAGCGCTCTCAAGGAGTTTGTCGACTACGTCGGTGACGACCTCATGGACATCTTCACGCAGCTTAAGTCGGGTGAGTTTCGCAGCCAGCAAGCTGCGATCCAGGACCTCGGTGGCGTCTTGGAGCGCCACTTTGAAAAAGAAATTGGCGACGTTGACGAAAAGGCCAAGGAGTCTGCGACCGCCAATACCGTACCAACAGTTGTGCAGCTGCTCAAGGCGACGCCCAGCGCGCTTGGTAGCGTCCTCAAGCAGATCCCGGACCTGCTTATTGACACGCTAACGCTCCAGCAAGGCATCCTCAAGTACTGCATGGTGCACTGCCCTCGTGTCGTGCAGCACTTTTTGCGCCTCGAGACGAGTCCCGACTTGCTCGACGCGTGGCACACCATCGTCAAAGCCAACGCTACCGGTGCGTTCACGTGAATGATTCTGTTGTTCCAGACGTCGTGTAGGCCTCACCTTACTTTGGTCGACCGAAAATACTTCCAACGTCGACGACGTCACCTTGTCTCCGCTCGAGGCCGCGTACCACTGGCTCAACCACCACGTGGCCGACGCCGCCAAAGTCATGCTCCTCAATGGCGACCTCACGCGACAGCTCTTTGTTGAAATGGAAAACGAGACGGCGAAAGCGCGCCCCAATACGCTCCAGCAACACCGGCTCAAGAACCTCCTCTTGGATTTGCACGATCTTCCCACCTTTCGGCTGCTCCGCGACGGCGCCCAGATCCGAGGCCTCGACGCCGCGTTAAAGCGTGACGTGGCTGGCGTCACGCAGTGCCTCTACGCAATTCTTCTGAGCGATGAGCACCTCAGGACTATCGTGACCGAGTCGACGGAGCTGACAACAGCACTTGCGATGCTGAGCAAGCCAGCGCTCATGACGCTTGTGACGTCCGACGTCATGACGTGGGCACCGTTTTTCGTCCAAGCCGTCACAGACAACGAGTTTTTGCTCCGCGATGCCATCGTGCGTAAGGTGAGACCTCAACACATGACGCGCAGCTAAACAAGCTCCTATAGACGCAGCATTTACCCGCAGGCGCTCGCTTTCTGGAGGCCTTCAACAAGGTTCTCACAGGCAGCGACGGGCGCTGGGTCCCACTCGACGACAACGATCTTCCACGCGGCATACCCGCTCCGCCCACCGGCCCGCCGACGCTCGCATCCGCGCCCGAGCCGAAACCATCGACGCCATTCAACATCGGAGCCACGGTCCACGTCGCACGTGCGCTCAACCTGTTTCGTCTTGGGCGAAGTCGGTGGCAGCAAGCCGTCGCACAGAAGATGGTCCCTCGCACGTTGTCGTCCAAGGTTGCAACCAAAGCGAGCGTGTACCATATGCCGTGGCTTTGGAAGACTTTTGTCGTCGGTGAGTTTGATAGCATGATGAAGCCGCGCGGGCCCGAGCTCTCGCTGCGGGAAATGAAGAAGAGCGTGCTGGACATCTTTATCGAGAAGCTCAAGGTTGACGAACTCGAGCTCGACGGCGAGGATGCCTCGAGCGATCTCGCAGCCTACGTGTGTGACTACCTCATGGCCAAGGTCCAAAATCGCAGGTACCTTGCTCTATTGAACACTTCCATTGTGCCCAAAAGCTTTTAGCCTCGTCGGGTCGCAGCTGCAGCAGATCTTTCGCGGCTGCGAGATGTTTCACAGTGACCGACGCGTCGCCTTCTTCGCAGCGGCGTGTGGAATTCAGCGTCCACTGGGTCGAGGTATGCTCAAGAGCTACCTCAAGTCGCTTGGTCACATTGTCTTTGGAGTCATGAAGGTACAACGAGAGATCGTATGACTTGCGATGTGGTCTCATTTGCGGCTCTAGATCTTTCGATACGACCAAAAGCTGCACCAGACGGTCGACGGCGCGTGTATCGTCAGCACAGACGTCGTGCTCTCGGCCGCAGCCAACGTTTTTGCCAATTGCTTTGCAGCACAGGACATTGGCGCTTTCAACGACCGCGTGCAGCAACTTCGCCGGGTGCCCGTGCAAGATCCAGGCGGGTAACTTCAAGTTGCGTGTTTTAGGATCCCCTCACGTAACCGCGCATCATCGTGCCCATAGACGCAAGGGTGGCTACGTGGACCTCGACGAAGCGATGACACTCTTCGTCGCCGAGTGGCAAACGCTCGAAGCGCAGATCGACGAGCAGTACATCGCGGCCTTCAACAAGTTCCGCGGCGCCAGTGACTTTATCGGCATCGAGGAGTTTGTCAAGATCGTCCTGCACGTGACGCACGGCAGCGTCGCACCGCGCGACTGCCGCCTCATATTTTACGACATGGGCGAAGACATGATCGACCTCAAGACTCTGCTTCGGCTCACTCAGCAGTACGACCTCCGCCTCTCGATCAACCACGCGTCGATACCCCTCACCGACGCAGAGCGCACGGGTAACGCACTGACTTCATCTCTTTCTTCACACATTGCGCGCGTGCAGCTCTGCGCAGTACCCTCGGGACGTCAAGCGTCCTCTCGTTTGAAGACGAGCTCAAGCAGCTCGTTGCGTGCTGGACGCACATTCGCCCGCCATCGACAAGCAGCTCGAGAGCGTGCATCAGAACGGCCGCACCAAAGAGATTCTGCGGCGGCAGAAGCTCGCAGTTGAGGACTCGGTCGCGCTCTTGACGTCTGGCGCCGAGGGTCTCAGCGCCAAGGCGGCGTGGGATACGTTCCGGTCGTCGGTCGCAAGCCTCCAGACCGCAGTGCAAGCACAGAAGCAGTTCAGCACCGTCTACGTGCAGTGCCACATCCGCAAGTGGGTCAACAAGCTAAAGACGCAGAGGTCACCGGTCGCGTCCAGCGACGACCGCATTAGCGCCGACGACGTCATCGTGCCTGTCAAGCCCCCCGACCTGCTTCGTCGCAAGAGCGGCGCGCGCCGTGACAGCACCGACGCCTTCGACCTCGACGCGATCCTGCCGCAGCGCCTCAAGTCGCAGCACCTGGCATCCAGTGACGACCGCACGCGGGCGGCCAAAATGGTGACTGCAACGCTCTTCTCGGACAAGAAGCAACGCCAAGGCGCGAGTTAATCCAACGCTCGTATTAAGGAGAGTCCATTTCTTCGCTCGTCGCTCACATGCATGCAGAACAGAGGCGTCCTGCGCTCGCGTATTTACTCGGCTTCGGCAAGGTAGTCCTTGACTTCGTTCGGGCTCAAGACACGGAAGATCTTGTCTTCGCCGATGATGCCAACCTCGATGTTCGTCTCGTTCATCTACACGCGGATTCGATGAGGATCGTACTTGGTCATCCTGCACATGATATCGAGATGTACCTCGCCTTCAAAGCCCTCACGCATCGTCTTGAGCGCCGTGTTGATCGCGTCTTCCAACTCCATATCATCGTTGTACCGCTACCGTTTGGTCGTAAGAGGCCACACGATGATGGTCGTCGTCTTGTACCTTTTCGAGGAAGCTCTTGGCGCTGACCGAGTCCTTGCCAATGGCCGTGGCTTTCCAGCCAAAGTACGAGCCCGACGGGTCAATCTGATACAGCTGCGGCCCATCGTCGTCGTAGCCGGCGTACAAGAGCGAGACGCCGAACGGGCGGACACCGCCCGACTGCGTGAACTCCTGCATCACAGCCGCGATCTCGCGCACCAAGATGGACGCGGGGGCGTTTTCCTACGCATGCGCGTGAGGCCACAATCGACTTCTTGCAGCGAACCTTGTATTTCATGTAGTACGCTTGCGCCTTCTTACGGGCCTTGCGCACGAGCACGCGGTAGTCGGGGCCGAGGCCGCTGTAGACGACGCCAGCGCTCGACGAGAGCTTCTCAATTTTCTTGTAGGCTTCTTCATCGACGAGCACCGTCGGCAGCTTCTTCTCGGTCGCAATGACGACGCCGTTCTTGCTGCGGATGCCGAGCGACGTGCGGCCGTTGTTGTTGACGGCGTTGAGCGCATACTCAATCTGCAGCAGCTTCCCCGACGGGTTGAAGGTCGTCAAACTGAACGAGTAGGCGGAGTCGGCCATCTTGGTTCCTACGCCGCCCGCCGGATGAGCGTCCCGCTGCCCGCAGCTCCTCCATGCTCGTACCTGAAGTCTCAAATCCAGCTTTGGGCTAAGATACCCTTTGCGATTCAATAGCTTGGATACATCGAGTCTCGCAGGTCGGCTTTTATGAACCCCTCACGTGGCAAAGTTCTTCTATCGTAGTGTTTCTCTAACGAGGGAAATGATCTGCCGCGATCTACGCAAATAGTGAATGTAGTCAAACGCTGCGTTACAGCAACCCAAGGCCGTGCGCGCGAGCCTGGTCACCCTAGAGGTTAAGCGTTGTAGCTGCACAGGCAGGAGCTAACGTGGCCGCGCCGCCAGTCGCTGCCTCCTCGTTTGGTGCGCAAGATCATCTTGATTCTCTCACTATTTCATTTCCTAGAAATAGTGTGTCACACGATTTCGTGGCAGAAAGGCGCGTGTCGCAGTGTGAAATTGCAACATGATGGTCGTCGTCCGCGCCGCCAAGCGGGTCTGGGCCTGGTTCTTCGAGGAGCGCAACTGCATCTTCCAGGTAACGTGGCCGCTGGGCTCGACGCCACTCAATGGACGTAGCTCTTCTACCTCTCGCTCCTCTCGCTCTGCTACGGCGTGCTCGTCTCGGAAGCTTGGCACACGCTCGACCTATTGGACCGGTGCGTCGTCGTTGTATCCAGTCGCACGAAGCTCTATTAGGTCGATTGCGATCTTCTTTGCGTTCGCTTGCTTGGGCCTCTTTGTCCGCGTCTCGTTCGTGGACCCTGGTGTCATCACCCATCGAAACCTCGCGACGCAGCAGCACTACCCAGACCACGATGCGCTCTACCCCCGTGGCCGCGTCTGCCGAACCTGCAAGACCCTCAAGTACGTCGTGGCCGCGACGTTAAAAGGTGTGCATCGAAACGCCGTAGGATCCCGCGCTCCAAGCACTGCCGCGTGTGCAACCACTGCGTCGCCCGCTTCGATCACCAGTACGTGCCTGCTTTTTGTCTTCCTCCTCACGACCAGGCTCGTTAGCTGCAGTACACGCCGAACCTTCCGATGTGATTTACGCCAGCCGGGTGTTGCTAGTCTGGGTCAACACGTGCATCGCCAAGCACAACTACAACGCGTTCTTCTTCTTCCTCGTCGTACGACGCCGCCGTCGCACCGCCAAGACGTGCTCTTCAATGTATTCCTAGGTCAATGTCTGCGGAAGCAGCCACCTCGTGTACCTCCTCTGCAGCGTCTTCATCGACAAGGTGGTTCTCCAACCCGATCATTCCTTTCGTCGTCTCATGGGCTGGGTAGATGACGCACTCGCTTGCTGATGCGCGCAACGCGTCGGTCGCGCTCCTGACCCAAGTGCTGACCGACATCATCTTGGTACGACCAACCTGACGACGCTCGTACCATGCTTCTGGTAGTCGCCAGAGAACGGTCGCGTCGCGTTCGTCGCATCCCTCGCGCTTGCGGTTTGGTTCCTCGTGAGCCTCCTCCTCGGGTGCCAAATGGGCCGCGTGTACCGCAACTGCACCGCGAACGAGCACTTCAAGCGCCAGCGCCTCCACAAGGAGCACGCGGACGACGTGCCTGCGCCGACGCGGCCGGTTGCCTTTGACCTGTCGTGGGGCGGCGTTGGGCTCGTGGACGCCGAGACGTCGTTGGTCCTCACCGCCGACGACATTGAGCGCAACCCGTACGACGGCGGCGTCCTGCACAACCTTTGCGATGCCTTCAACATCCACGATCGCAAAGATAAAACCGATTAGGAAGACATCTCGTGCCTTTACGCCTTGGTCTCTCCGGTCGCAGGCGCCGCGGCGGGCGTCACGTCGACCTCGAGCGCAATGTCCTCGACGGCCTCGCCTTCGACGGGCGTGCCATCGTCGACGACCGACGACGAGCCGCCCATCGCCTTCTGGAGCGCCGCCGTCACCTGCACGGTGCGCACGGCGGCCTTGAACTTTCGTCGCGCGTTGTACTTCTTGAGCTGTTCCATGGCCTGCGTCAGCGGCACGGTCGAGACTTCCGTGCCCGTGACCCACGCGTGCTGGAGCAGCTGGTCCGCGTCCGACCTAGTACGCAACCAGGTGAGTTTCGACGATGGCATGCATCTTGGTTGTACCGCTTGGTCGGGTCCACGACGAGCATGGTCGAGATAAAGTCCTTGGCTTCGGCCGAGACCGCGTCCCAGTACGGCGACTCAAACTTGAACGACCCGATCTTGATCGCGTTGAAGAGGCGCTTCTGGTTCTCGTCGTGGAACGGCGGGTACCCGCAGAGCAAGATGAACGTGATGACGCCAATGCTCCAAATGTCGACCGTCTTGCCGTACGAATCACCCTTCAAGATCTCGGGCGCGACGTAGCTAGCGCTGCCGTGAGCACGCACATGTATGCAGCACAAGTAGGCGTACCCCGGCGTGCCGCAGGCCGTCGTCAGAGACGCGTTAAAGTCTTGCTTGGCAAAGCCAAAGTCGGCAATCTTGATGAAGGCGTCGTCGCTCTTGCTCGTCAAGAGCAAGTTCTCTGGCTGCGATGGGAACCGTGAGACGCAGGCCACACATCATGATGCACTACCTTCAAGTCACGGTGGACCACACCGCGATCGTGGCAGTACTTGATCGCGTTGAGCAAAATGAGCACCAGGTCGCGGGCCTCCTTCTCCGTGTAGTACGTCTAATGCCGTTTTGAGCCTTTGGTGGCCTTGGAGCCTCCACCATACCTTTTCGACGATGCGGTCAAAGAGCTCACCGCCCTCCATAATTTCGGTCACGAGGTAGTAGTACGCGGGCTCCGAGAAGACTTCGTACAGCGTCATGATGTTGGGGTGGTCCATCTAGCACAGCCACCGGTTGGATCAGATTCACGATCCTTGCAGCGTCTCCGACATCTACCTTCTTCAAGATGCTGATCTCCTCGTGGAGAGCGTCGAGGTCCTCCTGGGTCAAGCCCTGCTTCTTGATGCACTTGATGGCATACTTCTTGCCACTCGCCTTGTGCGTGCCCTCCTTGACAACCGAGAAGGTGCCCTCGCCAAGCTTCTTCCCAAGCGTGTAGACTTCGTCAAAGTGCTTGGTCTCGCCTTCGCCAGCATGGGCCGGCGAGGCTTCGGGGGCCTTGGCCGCAGCATCAGCAGGGGCGTTCGGGATCGGGGTCGACTTGACGCAGCCCATTTTCTCTCTTGGTGGTCTGTCGAAAGAAACTCTGAGCAGTCGGCTGAAACCAAAGCTACGTATCCCGTGCCACCGGGTTTGCTCCGGGAAAATATAATACCACTCTCGGGACATTTTTATTCATTCAATTTAATCTAACTTGCTTTGTCTATCGCACTTCTCGGTTGTATTGTATTTCGGTGTGGGGGATTGTATTCTATGATGTTTGAAGATCCCAGCGGGACACGCGGGCAGCGGTGGCGACATACCGGAGATTCAGCGCGGCCCCATGATGCTTCGCGGCCTTGCCTGATGGGGTAGCCGCCGAGATATGGCCACCTCGAGCAGCCTGCACACGCTTGGTCGGGAGGCAGCGACGACCATAGACACACGCTAGAGACGTGGCTACTTGCATGTACCCGCGAGAACACCACTATCGCGCATAAGTAACCCGCGATACTTACGCAGGCCGCCTTCTACTAATACCAAGGTAGGTAGAGCATTGGCATGCAAGTCGTCCGAGCGACACTCTTCATGCTATTAGTACCGGTACTGCAACTGCGACGGTGTGGATACCAGTGTAGTATGTAGTCCTATTTACACCTTATTTGAACTTGCCTTGCCACTTGATGCGGCAACCAACGGACGCAAACCCGTCGTCGACGTCTTCGGCTTCGCTGCTGCACGACGTGATCACCACCTCCTCCGTCGACGGAACAAACGACACGGTGATCGTGGCCTCTACAATCGCACATCGTCACGATCCTGCACATCACAGCACCAATGAGTACTTGTGTTCCACGGCCGAAGGTAGCGCAGGAGCTTCGACTTGAGCTGCTGGATGGGGCCCGACTCGACGCTCCGTGCGCCATACTTGGCAAACACCTTTTGCAGTTCCTTCCCTTTGACGGAGGCGCGTCGGGCTTGGTATGGGATCGACTCGAGCGTCGAGAGGTGCTGTGCAATGCCCGGCTGTATAAAAGAGACACGGTTAGCATCTTCTTGGTCGTGCGACGTGTCAAATCCGCGTACCTCAATGTCCAGCTTGTACCAGTACTTGCCTTCGTAGTTGGCGCCCAGGTGCCGCAGCTTGAGGTTGATGACGTCGATGATATGGCGCTGTTCAAACGGCAGAAACGGAATGACCTGCGGATCGCTCGTGAGCAACGAGTGACGTCTTGAAGCGATTTGTACCTGCTTGATCATTTTGCCGAACTGGAGGCGGTCCCATTGGGCATCGAGCGCCTTCTTGACCGCGTTCTCGAGCTCTGCGAACGGCAATTCGTCCCGCGACTTATACTGGATCATGATGTTTTCCATGTTGCCGACGCCAATGTCGGAAATAAGAATGAAGATGACCTGTACATGATAGATCAACGCCTGAAATGACACCGTTCCAGGATTACATTGCTGCAGTCGACCTTGCGCGCGACCCCGTTCTTGTAGTACGTGAGCTGGGCGTTGCTGCTCATGGCGCTTGTCAGCACTACGGGGATCGTTCAGTGGACATCGACACTCGAATCGATCTACCGTCCAGCGTTTGCGGAATCACCTTTTGAACTTCGTCAAAGACGACGACGGCTTTGCCAGAGCACTTGGTGAGGTGCTCGACGAGGCTACGCAGTGTCGATGACGCCACGAAGCCCAAAGCGAGGAGTACCGAGACTTGATCTGTTCTTGGTACTGCGTCACGGGGTTTGTGTAGTTGTCGCTAAAGTCCTCGCCACTAGCCACGCAGAGTTCTTGAGTGTCGAGGTGACAACGATTTCTGCACCGAAAGACGAGAAGACCCGTGGGTACGAGCTTCTCGCTGTGCTCGAGCTTTCGCCGGCGGCGAAAGAGGCCCTCTGCGATCAGCGTCGACGTCTCTGTCTTGCCCGTGCCGGTAGGCCCCGTGATTGCCATGACGAGTGGGCCATGGTCCTTGCTGGAAGTTCGCCTACGCACGTTATCGACAGGAATGAGCTTGCGCGGTCGTGCGTCATTCGTACGAGAATTCCCACGACTCGATCGCGCCAACGACAGAGTCCAGTGCCCGATCTTGGCCCGTGAGGTACTTTTGCAGGTGGCTACGCACGGCGACGGACGGATGCTCGACAAAGTCGCACTGCGGGCCCAGACCCGAGTGGAAGCTTAGCCACTCGACGCCTTCGGCCAGCGAGCTCTCGACCGTCGCCTGGAAGGAAGAGAGCTTTTCCTTCCACGTCTCCTCCTCGGCGGCGCGCGCCACGCAGGCGAGCATGCACAGCAGCGCGATGTGTACGCAGCGCCGGGCCATCGCAGTCAATTGTTTGGTCGTTGCTCAGTATCTTCAGAATCATGCGCAACGACCTGTCATTGGCCAAATATCGTGTCAAATTCCACCCAATTATCAATTCTGATTCGCTAAAAATAAAATATTTTAAACCAATACTACGAGCGTAGACGAGATGCAAGATGCGTCGTTCAAATCGCTACCTCCGTTCCACCGCACTCGTCGCTGCGGTTGCGCACAGCTATGCTGCTGTCCCTCTACGTCTTAGGCTCCCGCGTACCGGTATTGGGAACTGCCAACCTCGTTCCGGTCGCCATTCTCGACATCCTTGAGGGTACATTGCCGGATAAAGCTCGAATAACCGGATATCCCGTCCTCGGAGCCAGCCATTTTCCATGTGATGAGGATGACCTTTCTTGTTGAAACAATTGGCTGGAGATCAATAGATTTCTTCCCTCGGCGCCCGCAGCTAATCGGATCATGGACACGGATATGCACACCGACGACGTTGTCGTGTCGACGACGCAGCTGCAGCACGCTGTCGCGGCCCAGCACATGGACGACGACATGGACATGGACGTCTCGGACGCGCCCTCGTTCCCGGCGCTGAGCGCGCAGGAAGCCGGCGGTGGCAAGAACGACTTTCGCCGTGTGCGCGTACCGGCGCATCGCTACACGCCGCTCAAGAACGACTGGCCCAACATCATGAAGCCGATCGTCGAGCACCTCAAGCTCCAGATCCGTATGAACACCAAGACGCGCTGCATTGAGCTCAAGAACAGCCCGCTGACGGAGGACGCCGGTGCGCTTCAGAAGGGTGCCGATTTCGTGCAGGCCTACATGATGGGCTTTGAGGTCCAGGACGCGGTCGCTCTTCTTCGTCTCGAAGACCTCTTCATCGACACGTTCGAGGTCACGGACGTCAAGATGCTCAAGGGCGATCATTTGAGCCGCGCCGTGGGTCGTCTTGCGGGCCAGGACGGCAAGACCAAGTACGCCATCGAGAACGCGACGCGGACGCGTATCGTGCTTGCGGACCAGAAGATCCACATCCTTGGCTCGTTCTCCAACATCAAGCTCGCCCGCGATGCGATCTGCTCGCTCATCATGGGCGCGCCGCCGGGCAAGGTCTACAACAAAATGAAGAACGTCGCCAACCGCATGAACGAGCGCTTCTAAGCTCTTAGAGAAGAATTGTTATCATTAATAAATACTGTATGTAATCTGCCTCTTCGGTCCCGCGACAACGGACTAAGAAACGGGCATGTGGGCGCCGGCTTTCGACGCCGCCAGCGGATGCACATACTACGTGCACACACGCACGGGCGAAAGCGTGTGGGACATCCCACCGGGCGACGAGGTGTCGGCGCCGGAGCCGCCGGGCGACGCTTGTGGACACGACGCTGCGACGTCGACGTGGCAGTTTGGCGGCGTTGATGACGACGGGCAATTCTTCTTTGTGCATACCGCGACCGGCGCTCGCGTCCGGCATCTTCCGTCCGATACTAATGCGGACGAAGAGACAACTGCAGTTGCCGGTGGTGACACCAGCCCTAGCGACACTGCGCTGCCCGAGCTCGCGAGCGGCGTCGATCCCGACGTGCACGCGTGCCTGGTGGCGCTGCTTCAAGGCGTCGAGACGCACTTGGGGCCGTGGCTGCGGCGCAAGCAGCGCAACTCCAAGGCGCTTCAACGTAGCAAGCAGCGGCGCGCGTCGCCACCGAAAGTGCGCACGCTGTCCACGCCGTCGCCGAACCAGCAGCAGCACGCGCCGCAATCGGACGAAATCGAGGTTGAAGTCGCCAAGATCCAAGCGCGGTTCGTAACGCGGCGCGCCCGCCTCGTCCAGAAAGCAATCGCAACCGAGCGCACGCGCGTTCGGCAGTTCCAGATGATTTGCGCCAGCACATGACACGCCGCCTCATGCACCGTGCGACCAACGGCCTCGACGTCCACGGCAAGATCCACCTCCAAGTGCCCGAGGTGGACGCGCCCAAGACTCTGTACGAGAGCGAAGAGCGGGTCGCGCTGCGTACTGGAGCGACACGGGCGCTGGAGCGGGTGTTTGTCCATATGGACCCGCACCAGAACGGCAAACTCAGTGCGTTGCACATTCTGTACTGCCTCGCAACCGAGCCGTAGGATCTTTTCGTCTGCTCTGCAAACCGATTGAAGGCTGCCTCGTAGGTGCCTCGAGGCCGCTGTGGCGCAGAGACGAGGCCTGCATTTGCTCGTGTCGTCGAGCGACATGCAGGCGCTCCTCCTCAATCTCGGTGTCGTCGACGTCGACATGTTTGTGTACTTTGTCGATGTCGCGGAAGAAATCTCCGAGCACATTCAGCACCTGAAAGCGGCGATTGAGGTCGCGGGCCTCGGCATCGTCGCGCCCGAACTCGCAACGTGGGAGAGCAGCCTCTCGAACGTCAAGACGCCCGAGACGATCGAGTACCCAAACAGAAAGCTCGTGCTGCTCAACCACCTCGTGCGCTCGTTCAGCCACGCCATGGTACACGGCGGGCGGCGTTGATTCGATGATCTCACGAGCGACGCGTAGGAGGCACTTCTAGGACAGCTGCAGCCTCTGCTCTTGCTCAGTCAAGAACTACCACCCAACGCGCCTCTTTGGGAGTACAACCACAAGCACGTTTACATTCAGCTATCGTCGAGCCTTCCGTTCTACTGCTGCATGTGTCGCCGCAACCGATTTCGACTCGGGAAACTCCGCCAATACCAAGACGAAGAGGCCTACCGGTATGGCCTCGATACTCTTGTTTGCTAGTATGCATAACAACACACCATGGAAGGCGCTCATGGGGGCGGCTCCTCGCAGACCGCATGGCCGACATTGAACAGGATCTCAAGGTCGCGATGGACCAAGCACCACGAGCCGTCGCCACCGTGCGGCACCGAGGCGATCCGCACAGGCTGCGATTCGCGCAACAACAAGGCGCGGCCGTCGCAGCGAGCGTCGTAGAAGACCTCGTCGCAGCTGTCGAGCTTCTGCACCGCGATATCAACGCGCCCAGTTGTCCAAGTCGGCATGACCACATCTTTATTCGGGACTCCAAGTGGCTCCTGCACAAGCTCACGCGAGCACGCGAAGAGGTAGAGCTCCAAGAATACGAACGCAGCTGGCTCTTTGAAGAAGACGAAGCAGCGCACGACGTACAACGACCCTTACCATCATGTTGTCTCGCCTCAAAGCCTGTTTGCTAGTTGATGGAGAACATCAAGGTCTCGATCGAGGCACCATTGGCCCATATCCAAGAGAGCGGACACAAGGAGTTTCTGCGGCTTTCCCACGCGTGTACGCTTCCGTCGATCTTCCTCCAGCGACTGCACTACGACCGGCTCTTGGCCGCGCGCCCTACGACGGGACAGCTCGTGCTGCGCATGTTTGATAGTGCGACCAGCACGTACTGCGTTCTCTACATTGCATCGTGCACGACGTCGCGGGAAGCGGCCTTTCTCGTCGAGACAGCGCAGTGCATGCAGGCGCGACTGAGCGAAACCAACCTCGTTGCTGTCCACCACGCCTTCTCGTGCGTGTACCAGCAGTTTGCAGCGATGAACGGCAACCTCAACGAGTGCTGGCCGGTCACGTTCGTCGCGCTCCAAGACTGCATCCTTGGTGAGTACTTGACGTCTGCGCCGTCGCCGCTGCCGCAAGCCGACGTGCTCTCCATCATGACTACGGTACGACGTCGTCTCGACTCCATTTTAGTGTGCCGCTAGGTGGCGGCAGCCCTGACGTCGCTGCACAGCCAAGGCATCTTGCACTTAAATTTAACGCCGTCCAACTTGTACCGCACGCGGGATGATCAGCTCAAAGTGGGTGGCCTCCTCCTCTTCAAGACACCGTACAGCGAGTCGGACGTCGCCGCAGGTATGCATCGAATGGCGCATTTGCTCGCACCGGCCATTGTGCCTCCGAACGACGACGCTGTCTCTGAAAAGACAGACATGTGGGCCCTCGGCTGCCTCCTCTACTACCTCATGACTGGTACGCACGCGGTTGAGATTGAGATGAAGATTGGAGTATATAGGATCCAATCACATGTGCAAACTCAAGCCGCTGTCGATCCTCATGAACGAGATTCCTCTGCGCTACGGCACAAGTCTCCGCACGTGCCTCCGCATGCTTTTGCAGCCGACGGCAAAGCACCGCCCGTCGGCCGCGGACATTTTCAACTTTCTATCGCTTGCGAGCCCCGACGAGGCGCCCAGTAGCATCCCGAGTCTTGCGCACAAAAAGAAATCGACCCCCGAGCTCGAGCCGCTGCGTCCTGTGTAGAGTGCCCTGACGATAAACACACACAAAACAAGGTGGGTTCCATCCGCGATCTCGACTTCTTAGATCGTGCTCTCGCCACAACAACGTGGCCATCAAACCAAAGACGTACTGTGCAACGTCGACACTTTGCCTGCGAAAAATGGAGCATGGTCTCTTATAAGACCCGCACTCACGTTACGACTAAATGCTCTGCATCGACGGTGCAGGCAAGGGTACCTTTGGTGCAGGCGGCGGAGGTTTCGCAGCAGCTGTCGTCGGTGACGCGGCGCTGGGGCCTTGTGCCCGATGCACCATCTGCAGCAACTCGCTGCGCTCCGTTGCGTTGGGCTCTTGCTTGGCGAGGGCTTCGGCGGCGGCAATCTTCTTAGCTTCCAAGCACGTCTTGACGACATGGCGCAGCGTGATCATGGGCTTTTGCGGCAGCATCCACAGCAGCAGTTCGCACTGGTCCATGTCGACGCAAGCGTGTACGGCGGTCCACCAAAACTGTTTGGGATGGACCCAGAACGTCTCGGCGAGCGCGACCGCCTCCACCATCAAGTTGGTTTGGAAGAACGGTGCGAGTGCCACGAGGTTGTAGATCGTATCCACGACGGAGCGGTCCAAGAAGACGCTGTCGTGCAGCTCGCTTTTGACGTCGACCGAGATGTGCAGCAGGTCTTGCTCCCAGCACAACTGCTTCTCGAGCAAGAGTTTGTGGTCCGTGACCGACTGGTTGTAGAAGATCTGCCCCGATGTTGGCGGCACGTTCGACGAGACGAGCGACGCGGCCAGCGCGAGCTTCTTGAGGCGACCATCGATCGTTGGCTCGCGATACGCGAGCTTTGCGGTGAGGGCACCTGCGCCAGATGCATCGCGTGCCTTTTGCTGCACCTTGCAAAGCAGCTCGAGGTCGTGCGACGAATCGTACTGATGCTGGCGCCAGAGCCGCTGGGCCCGCTGGCAGCCCGCGAGACCGTCCAGGAAAGCCTCTTGCGTGCTACATGACGCCTTGAAGGCCAAAATGGCCTCAAAGAGCGCATTTGTGTCGTGGTCTTGACGCGCACTGAGCTCGCGCATGCGCAGCTCCGACTCGGAGACTGCTCGCGCCGTGTCGACGGGCTTGATAGTCTTGGTGATCTTGACGGGTGCCGTCGGCATGTGGGCTGGCAGCGGCAGGAGCAGTGCGTGCTTCCTCTTGTCGTGCTCGTGGAGGCGCGCTCGGATCTCGGCGGCCGTCGGCGTCGTTTTGGGCAGCACTGGCCTTTTGGCCATCGCGACCTTGAGCGCGTCGTAGAAGGCGGCGATTTCATGGTGCGCCATGATGTGGCACTCATGGCCGTCGTCGTCGGACGACTGGAGCGCTCCCATCGCTGCAGGTTGTTGCGAGTATTTTTGGATCGCGAGTGTGGATGGGATCTGCGAGCGGTCACTCGTCGCGTCCCTCGAGCATCCGTTGCGGCCTCTGCTTTGGCGAACACGAATCACGCAGGACCTCGCGTGCGATCAAATCGAGATTGCACTTCTTCACGGTGTACAGGTGTCGTGGCCTGGATCCCCGAGATCCACTCGCATGGACGTGACATGGAGAAGCTTGTCGCGCAGTGCAATCTGTGGTTGATCAAACGCACCGGAATCCGCAAGGCGCAATGTACGAAGAGTTGTGCTTCACAAGAGACAAGCACCTTGGTGAAGCAAGAGCGTCTAAAGCTTGCGATATAAAGTCCCTCGAGTCAGCAAGCGCCAAATATCGATCTCCTCCAAATGGCTCTGCCAGTCATTTACACCTCCAATTTAAACTGTCGAGTCCCTCTGGAGTCTATAGTCGTCGTGAAAGCACTCCAAATGTTTGATTTCGTACAATAAAGCTTGCCAAATCTTCAATTGCGTACAACTAAGCTTGAGATCTATACGATCTGGCCTGTCATCGGGATGGAAACCACACGTTCTCGGTCTTGGTGTTGGCCCTGGTCATGGTGATATATTAGACCAATCCGATCGGCAGGACCTTTGCCAGTCGCATCGTTGGCAAAGACGTTGTGTGTTGCCGTTGCGCAGCTCGTATGATGCATGAGTATTTCGTTTTGTTATTACCCGCGCCAGCAACACACCATCAATCTAATACTCCTTGTCGCCGCCGTGCTGCACGACTTCGCCGTTGCCGTTGTACTTGAGCGTCTTGACCCAGTGGCTGTGACCGCCAGCCGCGTGCTTAAAGTGCACCGACGCCTTCTTGCCGTACTTCTTGAGCTTGTTCTCAACGTCGACGGGCAAAAAGTTGTGCGAGTACGCGATCTTGCCCTCAAAGTCCTCCTTCTCGGCGACGGGCATGACTTCGGTCGACCAGCCCTGGCGCGTCGCAAAGGCCACGGCCTCTTCCTTCGTGTTGAACTTCATAACCATGGCGTCCATCGGGTCAGCACCGCTCGTCCAGCCCATGAGCGGGTTCTGCCACGTCTGGCGCGTGCCAAAGCGGATCTCCCAGTGGTGCGTGTTGTAGTCGCCGCTCTGCATCTGGTTGCGGCACGGCATGTAGATGATCGCCTTGCGGCCCTTGGTCCACTCGCCGACAAAGTTGACGACCGAGCATTCCTTCGGGTGCGGCAGCGAGACCTCGCCGACGATCGGGTTCTCCCACGCCGACGCGTGCGGCGGGAGCACATCGTAGCGGCGCGCGCACTGCGTCTCCTGGATCTCCTTCATCAAGGCGCTGTCGTCGGGCTTCTCGTCGCCGGGCGCGGCCGAGAAGGCGCGGAAGGCCGCCACGGGCTTACGGGCGCGGGCCACCGTACGAAGCATCATCATCTCTTGATCTTGCGAAGGAATTTAGTGGTTTTGGCTGACTGCTCGTGTTCGTCCGTGCTTGCGTCACGCTCCGGACAGTATCCGGATGCTTCGCGCCAAGATGGCCATGAAGAAACAAGCCTTGTGTGAGAATCGTCATGGCGGATGCCATCGTCCATCAGTGATCGTCCATGCATATGCAGCTAGCTCATTCTGCTAGCTAGTATGACGTGCAAAGAACGAGTGTGCGAGTTGAAGCTGCCGTCAAGAGCGACGTCGACAGGTCGCAACATACTTGTGCCGGGAGGAGTTCGCTTAAGACTTCCAATATCACACACGTCTTGCTCGAGAAATAGCTGCGCGCTTGAGAATCTCGCTAGCAAACCTCGTTGCAGACGGATGCAACTCGACCTGCGCAATACACGCGTTGCTCTGTCGAAGACGCAGCTAATGCTAGCTTAAGAAAACCACAGTGTGAGGTACAGGGTACGTACCAGGTAGCGTCTCAATGGCAATGGCATGTCGACAGCGGCCTCGAGCTGGGTGCTTCTGGGCTTGCAGTCGAATTGCTTCTGTCTGTGATTGGATAAAATGGGTTGAATCAGCTCATCGTTTCAGCCAATGACCTTCCGCATACAACGATGATGCAACAACATCTTTTACGATGGCAAGCGTGCCGGAGCTCCAAGACGCGTTCGTCGCGGGCGACCTCCAGACTGCGCTGGACGGCAGCCGCACGTGGCTCACCGCGTCGCTGCACCTCAACCCTGACCTCATTGCGGCCTCATCGTCCCTCGGCCTTCTCTGCGCCGACATCAGCGTCGGCCTCGACGCGCCGCCGATGGACCAGGACCTCGAGGCCACCATCGCCATCTTCATGCAGTCCATTTTCGAAGTCAATGCAGTCAACGAACTTCTCTTGATCGCTGATGTTCTGCGCATCACGTCGCCCATTCCATGCGAGCTTGGGCTCATCTGGGCCTCGTTTCTCGCGGCAATGTCCGAGACCACCGAAGCCGACAAGTTCTTGACACGGACCCTCGAGACGCTGCGGGCGGGCATCCTGGCGGACCCCTTTCGGGCCGAGGACCTCACTGCTCTGTATGAGACTGCGTATGAGATCCTTGTCTCCAAGGTCTTCCTGGCCGACACGACTTGCGATGTGCGAGCGATCCTGCGGCGGATCGACGCGGACAAAGTGCTGCGCGGCAGTGCCAAGGCGTCTCTTGGTGAGCTCCTGGAATCGATCGAGGCACCGACGGTAGCGCCACAAGCGCCCTCAACAGCACCCTCGAAGGCAAACCGCTCGCCCCGCCCGTTGCCCGTGCGGACACCCGCCGCTCCGCACTCGGTGCTGACCGACACATCGACGCAAGTCATGATCGGCGCAGTTGCCGTCGCGGCCGTGTGCGCGATCAAGTACCGGTCGCAACTCCAAGCGTCGGCGCACGACGTCCTGCAAGCGCTCGGCGACATCAAGGGCATGCTGCTTGGGTAAGCCTCGCATGGATTTTTTTAAATAGACGCTTTTGCCGTACTACAACACTTTGGACGAGGTCGACATGCGCGGAATCAAGCTCTCGCGACGCGTGCGGCCGACGTTGCGCGCCGGCGTCGCTGGCGTTGGTGTCGCAGCGCGGAACACGACCGGATGAGACGACAGGCGGCGTTGGGGCAAGAGTGACCCTCCACGCGCGGTCTTGGCGGGCGCTGCCTCGCGCGCTTGGTTGCGTGACGGAGACTTGGCAGGCGTGGCCACCGACTTGGTAACCGAAGGTGGGGCCTTGGTGGCGGATGGAGGAGCTTTGGTGATGGATGGAGGAGCTTTGGTGATGGAGCGCGGGGTCATGGCTTGGCGCGGGGTCGAGGTCGCTCGAGGCGTCGTTGCCTGGCGCGGGGTCGTCGGCTGGATACGGAGCGTGCGCATGCGACTTAGCTCCCTCTCCATGTCCTGAACTTTGTCTTGCAATGCCTTCTTTTCGTTCTCGAGCTTCTCGATCGTTCGCTACAAAGGAGATGAGGGAGCTGTCGATGCGTGCTTCGTACGTGAAGTGAGTGAAGCTGCGGTGCGTCGGCCGCCTTGAGGCTGAGCTTCGCACGCTTGGCGTCAGCCAAGTGCTGGCTTGAGAACATCGCCGCGTCGATACTCTTGCGCTTCGTACGCACCTCGGCGAGCTCACGGCGCAAGGACGCGTTCTCTTCCTCGAGCTTCTCCGCGCGCTGAATGTGCGTCATGGCCGCCGTCACAACGTGCATTTTTGGGCGGATTTTGATGTTTTTGGCGCGGTTTGCATACCTACGACAGACGCCGTTGGTTTTGAGTCTCGACAGTTCAACGAAGGCGTACTTGAGCGTGTTGTGGCTCTCGTCGAACGATTTGTGCGACGGGTTGATATTTGCGATCATAATCAAGCGGCAGTCGCCTTCGAGCGAGCTCTACCCATTTGCATCTCAGTTTGTCTACACATAGTCGTCGATGGTTGCACTTTGAGCAAGTGGGTGAGCTTGCTGTCGCGGTACTTTGCGCGACTGATGGGGCGCACTTCCTTCAGTCGTGCCGACGGCTCGGACCGCCGACGCATCGCAGGCGTCGAAGAGAGCGCGTTGATAGCATTGGCGAGGGCCAAGAGTGACTATGGGAGCTCGATATCGGAGCCACACGGTCGATCAAGATACCTTGTTGATGTTGGCACCTTCCGTCAAGCGCGCACCCGAGTTTTCGGTCTTGCACGCTCGCTCGGAGCCCGCGAGATCGATGAGCGATAACTTGGCGCATGTCATTTCGGTGTTGGGACTGCTCTTCCGCATGAGGTCGACGGTCTTGTGCTTGACAGTGACTTGCAGCACCGCGTGCGACCGCGACGACACTGCATTCGCAACGGTCGACTCGGTGCGTCGGTTCTTGTTGCCCCTACAAACACCCTGAGAATGATCGTCGTTGGGTTGCAAGGGGTCGTACTGGCGAAGAATGTTGAGCACCTCGACAGCGCTTCGGACTTGGCGGTGCGCGAGGCCGCTCACATGAACAGCGCCTATGGCTGTGTTAGCTGGTTGCACGTAATAATACAGTCACGCCGTTGTACTCGTGTGCTCTCGCAGCTGCAGGTTGACACCCTTTGGGTCAATAAGGTCGCAGATGGTCTCGTTGTAGACCTCCAAATACGACACGGTGACCATCCACTCGGACGCGCGACCCTCCGTCTCCTGGACAATCTTCTCTTCTTTCTCGCGGAGACGAATCAGTCGAAATATATCAGAAAGCGACTGCGGAATGATGCCATCGACAGGCAGTGATTCCGGCTGCCCATCGTCGTCGAAGTCGTTCTCCGTGAGCTCGTCCAACGAGTGTCCATCGCGCTCAGAGCCCATCATCGTGTGCGTCTTTCCAGCGCCTGTCGCTCCATACCTACAGACCACTGAATCAAGCTTGCTCCTTACGCAGACCACGCTGTACGCAAAGATGGTCGCGTTGTAGCCGTCCAGGATTGTCGGGATGATGTTCTTGACTGTCCGCTCGTACACTTCGTCCTGCGTAGCCTACGAGTGCCACGCATGTTGAGTGCCATGGCTTGGCGGCGGTACGCGAGCCATACCTCTTCCGAGAACGCAATGTCGTATGCATATTCGTTGGACGACCCTTTCTGGCTCTTGAGATAACCGACTCGCGCAGCCTCCTTCTCGATGACGACGGTCTATACATGTGCCATGAGCGCATTAACCAGCGTCGATGGTCGCACCTGGTCGTTGGCAACGTGGCAGCAGCTCCGCTGGCCTTCTTGGAGCTCCTTCTCGGAGATGGGCCGGAGACGCACCGCGACCTACACGCATGCGACCATCGACGTCGGCTCTTCCTGACAGGCGTCCAAGTACGTACGATGACTTCGGGATGCTCGTCGGGTCGTCTTCGCTCGTCATGCTGCAGCCCGTCGTCGTCGCAACGGCCTTCCCAAGCGGTGCGCAATCCCGGAATGATCCCGCAACGCAGTAGATACTCACTCCATGTTTGTATGGTATACAACATGCCATATATATAGCGGATGGGTGTCCCAACCGAGCGCCAAACGTCTGTGCTACACGAAGTTTGTTTTCTCGTTACTGTCTCTATTGGCATCGGCCCCATACATTGTCGATGACGGTCAACGGCGCCATATCGCAACGCACCACACTGTGAGCAAATTAGGTCCGTAGGTCTGCTGTATGGTCTGGATCGCCCCGTCAGTGCACTGATTCGTCCCTGTTAAGAGGCACCCAACCACAGAGTAATTTTACGTGCATTATTGAGACGGTTTCGGTAATTGTGTGGAGGGTTGCGAGCCAGCTGGTGGCGTTCCAGTCGTTCCAATTTTGAAAATTCAAAACACAAAATCTCTGAAAGATACCGAGATTTGCGGGCGGGAAATCTCAACGACGTGTCATGTCCCGCGCAACAGCAGGTGTTAGCCCAAGAGGACAATGCCGCGCTTCACAAAGTAGAGCTTGAAGCTGATGTACGCGACGACGGGAAAGACGGCGAGGACACCCAACAGGATGAAGAAGAGCCCGTCGACATCTTGGAGGCTCGAGTTGAGGTTCATGCCAAAGGCACCCGTGACAAAGGTCGACACGTTGATAAATGTCGTGAACGACGTCAACGACAAGTCGACCGAGAGGAGCGAGTTTCGCGTTGCGTCAAGCTGCATCATGACGATGCTCTCGGTGTTCTCGATGTTGTTCATCGTGAGCTCGATGCGCGCTCGCTGGTTGTACATCTCCTAATCGCCACAATACGTTTGAATGCTTCTTCAGTCGCGTCATGGGCTACCTGCAAGTAGGTCTCCAAGAGGGCCTCTGCGCACTCCGAGTCGTAGCTCCAACTGCCATCTGGCAGGTAGCACGGCGTGTCCATCATCTAGGCGCATATCAGCTTGCTTGTGATGGAAAGGAAAACATACTTTGGTCAAGTAGAGGTAATGCAGCGTGTACTCGTCTTCAAGCGTCTCGATCAAATCCGATGCAACCCATTGACCTGCGCTCCAACTCTATCGCAGCTCATGTGTAGCGAGCCGATACCTGAGATTTCAGCTCGTTGAGAACGTTTTTGAGCGTCCGGAGGCGCTCGAGCTCCTTGGTTCGCACTTGCGACTGGGAGATTTTGTCCATGGCCGTTTGCGCGATCGGAATGACGCGGTCGCAGTCCACGGCAAGCATCCTGTCACAAAGCGTCTTCGATTTGAATCCAGACAAACTCAAAGGCGTACCGAACCATCGTGGCCAAAATGGCTTCTAGAGCGCTAGACACCGCGGCTTTCATGCAACCTCAATGTCAAATCATCTCGTTGTACCGAAACTCAAACGGCATCGACTTGGGGTCGTCACCAAAGATGGGCTCCTTAAAGTGTTGCTTGAGCGTCGAGATGAGCCCGTCCGCCCCGTCAGGCAGAAATACGTAGCAGCAGTTGCGGAGCACGACGCTTCGCAGCGGGTCTTTGCAAGCGTGTCACGCCACTGTCATGTGCGAGGCTGGCGTACCCGTGTTGATCAAGATGGCCTGCTTGCGAACAACGAAAGACGGCTCGTTCGAGATCGAGAAGGTGCTATCGAGCTTGCGCATGTCTCGGACGTGAATGCTCTACTCATTTCGACGCGATCAGGTGCCGGAAATCGCACAGCGGCAGTACCGCCACGTCACTGGTGCCAAAGACAGGCAGACCCAAGGACTTGCTTCGACGGCGAGGGTCGTTGCCTGGGATTGGCAACTAGAACACCCACGTTATTGAGAGACACCTGCGTTGGTGATGTACTTGGACTTGGTGGCGTTGGAACGACATGTCATTCGCGTTCGCTTGGACCATCTTGAGAACGTCGGCGCGCGAAATCTCTTCGTAGCTCATGCTCCCGTCGTCCGCGAACCGAAGCGCCTGCGCATGTTGAGCTTGAGTCCAGACGCTTCAAACCAGCAAAATGCATACCAAACGCTTGCCGTTGCGCGGAAGGGGCTCGGTGTTGTGGGCGATATCGCGATGGCGACTCGCGAGCATATCGGGCACGAGGATGAAATCGTTGGCGTCTGCCGATTTGGCTGCGGTCCGGCGGAAGCTCGGCGTCACCGCCTGCGCGAACGGCGTCGCGTCCATGCCACACGCGGGCCGAAATGAAAGAGTAACCTGCACCCGCCATGGAGGTTTCATGCAAAGCAAAGAAAGGCTTTCTTTACGAAACCTATCCCTATAATAATACCGAAGCAAAGTTCTCGCTGCTGCGATCAAGGCGATCAAGGAGGTGAGGACGATGTGATCTGGGGACTATTAGTACATACCAGCATGACGCTCCTTTGCAAATGCCAACGGCGCTGTACTAATGCACGTTCTCCATTTCTTTGACGAGACCACCGTCGTCGCAACGAGTCTCCGCTCGTCCTTTTTTACGGTTCCTGAAGACCTCGTTTTGCCGTTGTGAAAATGGCGCCAAACGAGCATTGGCCCGTTGATCCGGATGATATATGCGTATCCGGAAGATCGCAAAATCTTCCAGCCGAATATCGAATACCGCCATGGCCAGCACGCTCGAGGCGCTCGTCAAGCCGCCCGTCGACGCCGGCTCGTGGGTTCAAGTCCACGCGCGCTCGCTCAAGGAGATCGTCACCGTCGACCAGCTCCCGACGCGGACGACGTCGCGGCTCGCAGACGAGTCCTTCCTCAAGACCGGGCTGCAGGACGTACGCCCGTCGTCTCTGGCTCACGGCGTCAACCACTGCGCTCCTAGGTACTGCGCTTTGACGTGAGCGGCAAGGCGAGCCTCGTGCAGCTGCGCCGGTCCGACGTCCTCAAGATGACGCAGCAAGCGGCCATGGAGGTGCCATCGCCGCGGTCGGCCAAGGACGAGCACCTCTCGTCGCCACGCTTGAACGCTGGCATGGGCCTGCCCCACTCGGACGCGCAGGTTCGCCTCGTATATATATCATTGAAGCTCGATGCGGTGCGTAGCCCGTGCACATGCGCGACTTGCGCAAGCTCGACTATGCGTTCGTCGAGTCGTACGAGCCGTCCATTGTCGTGCGCAAACAAGCCATCTTGATCAACGCGGGCACGTCGCCTGGATGCACCATTGTGTAGTCATACAGGACAGTAGATCCGATTCGGTCCGTGATCATGCGCGAGTGCTGCTTGCTCTTCGTCCCCGACCCGCACCACGCGCTCGTGCACCTTTTGACCGAGCGCTTCCAAGAGCCGATCCACGACGAGGACTCGGAGATGCCATTTGAGTTTCGGTACACTGCACACTGTGCCTCTTGACTCACCGAGTGTATGTACATAGCGCCCTGGAAGCCATCCTCGCGACCGTCTGCAAGTACGGTTGCCGCCGTGATTTCTTGGTGTCGACACGAGAGCGTAGGTTCCTCGCCGACGACTTTACCAAGATGGCGCCGATCGTCAACAGCTCGCTCGAGCGACTCGCGAGCGCCCAAATGTCGTCCGGCGAGCTCGAGACGCTGCGAACGCTCAAGAACGCGATGAACGAATTCGAGTCCCAGGTGCCACGGCTAAGGATTGCACGTGGGATCTGAACGACGGGGTGTGCAAAGGTCAACGGGCTTCGCCGCGTGCTCATGGAGGTGCTGGACAATGAAGTCGACTTGCACTTGATGTACTTGACCCAAGTACGTCCATTCCTCTCGACTCTCATCGTCAGCGCGCAACCGTAGTTGTACCAAAACCCACGGATGCTCAACGAGCTCTGGACGTTTGACGCGGAAGAAGCCGAGTCGCTCCTCGAAGTGTACCTCCAAGTACGCTCATTTCTCAATGACATTATGCTGAGCGCAGACGGCAGGACATTCACTCAACCAAGACCAAGGTCGCGCTCATCCTGCATCGGATCCAAAACACAGAGAGCGTCGTCATGCTCAAGATGGACGCGGTGCGCAACTACCTCCTCACCGCCGACATGATCTTCACGCTCATCATGGTCTGCATGACCTTTGGCATGTTTGTCACCGCCGCCTTTGGCATGAACCTCACGTCCGGCCTCGAAGCGACGCCCGGCGCGTTTCTCACCGTCCTCGTCTCCACGATCGGCTTCTCGGCCGCGACGATCTTCGCCGGCATCGCGTTCTTCAAGAGCCGAGGAGTCATCATCTAAAACCAATTCCGTATTCATTCACCAATCGACTCCATACAGGCAAGACACTATTCAAGACCACACTACGGAGTTGGACGGTTCACTCCTCCGCGTCCGTCGACTCGTCATCCGACACCATTGCATCGTCCTCATCGTCCGTGCTCGGCGGTGACGCCTGCGCTTGCACTCTATCGTACACCGCCATGTGAGCCTACCAACAACCGGCAACCCAGACGTCGTACTGCGCCAAAAGGGCTTGGATCTGGTTTTGCTGGCGCCACATGACCAGTCGGTACTGGTCGCGCTCGGCCTCCGCCTTCGCAGCGCGTGTTTCGGCCTCTTCCCGTGCTGAAGTCTCCACTATGACCCCTTGTTGGTGAGCTTTTTCTTCGCCACGACGTACGCTCGAGGAGGAATCGCAGCTTCTCTGTCGTGCTACGCTCCGGGGCAAACCACGTCTGCGGCAGCATCCTACGACTCGCGTGAGCGTTTCCCGCGCGCCCACGACCGTACTCGAAGAGCCGCAGCCACACCATCGCGGGGAGTCGATCTTGCGCCGGATACAGCGCCGCAACCGCCTGGCGAAAGGCCCCGGGGTACTTGGCGTGCTGCTGCAGTGTCCACACTGGTGTCGACAGCTGTCAAGCGTCGAGTGCGATACCTCCGCACGTACCTTGCGGTGGAAAGTAGCAAACTTTGGCAGACGTGTTGTTGTCGTCCCGCAGCGGCGCAAAGTGCACGCCAGTCAAGACCATCTTGGTGCACGAGCCGTCTTCGCGCGACCGGATCTTGAGCAGCTTGTCGCCAAACGGACCCTACGCCTCGAGCTCTTAGACTGCATCAAGGCCCCAATGCACGTACGATTGCAATGCCCATCGGCTTGAGGAGGGCGTGGATCGTCGTGATGAGGCTCTCGGAAGCGCCCGCGCCAACGTAGATGCTGTGCGAGAGGTTCATACGTGTCCTGTGGGCAAAAACGTACCGGTCGTACTTGACGTTGTTGCCGCACTCCATGGTGTAGACGCTACCTTGCACGACGTGGGGCACGCTAAAGTCGTCGCTCGACTCTTCCAGCATGTCCGTCTCGTCGCGATTATTGTTGTTGTTGTCGTTGTCGTCGTCGTCATCATCGGCGGTTTGCATGACTGCATCGTGCGAAGCCGTCAATGGCAGCGTGCGTTGTGCTACGTAGGTTGCGCACGACTGCTGGCAGGCTGCGACGACAGTTGAATCAATTTCAAGCCCGTGGTTGATAGCATCCTGGCGGCCATAAGACCATGCAACAACAACAATGCATGCATACCTTGCCAATGATCGAGCCGACCAAGCACGAAAAGTACCCGCTGCCCGAGCCAATGTTGAGGAACGAAAGTCCGTGGAAGAGATCGAGTGCTTCCAGCACCTGCGCATAAATGTGCGGCGCGCTGCGTCGCCGTGAGCAGAACCCAATATCGAGTCGGCGACTACCTCAGGTGCATGGGGCCGACGCGGATCGGGTAGTCGTTGTATGCGCGCTCGACCATGGTCCGGGGTACAAAGAGGCCGCGGTCCACCGCTTGGAACGCCGCCAGGACAACGCCGGATTTGATCACATCATGGTCTAGCAGCGTGCTTGAGATGGATGCACGTGTGGCGCACCGCAGTACCTTGCAGCGCCAGCGCCAGCTCGTCGTTGGTCGCGCCAGACGAGAGCCAAGCCATCTCGACCCACTTGCCAGGTCGAAGAACGGCGAATGTTCCGTTGTCGGCGTATCTTTCTTGCCTTCGAACTTCGCACCGGCCACGATGTGCCACGACATGGCTCGGTTTCTACCCGTCGGACGCGAGCCGCCAACAACGTCTTGCAAGATGCATGACTGCTATCTACATGTGCGCTTGTTGCTACAAGGGCTTGGCCTGTGCCATTGCAACAGCTAGAGAGGACTGTCACCGACCACCGACGCTCTCTGACCGGTGTTTCCAACGGCTTTTGTGTCGCATTTCTCATACTGTGGACCAGTATTATTTCCCAAGATTCGAAGCTGCGACTGGCAACCGGCCTTTCTGCAAAGATATCGTTTTCGTCTGCGGTCGCCTAATGGCCGAGCACCACGCAGCGCTCAAGGGCTCGACGGCCATGAGCTACGGCTCGTTCGCGACCAAGGTAAGCATTATGACGCCGCATGGCTCCATCACCACACGCGTGGGTAGACGTCGTGGCTGGCAGAGCAGATCAACACACCGACCAAGACGCTGATCGAGCAAGACTTTTGCTCGAGCCACGAGCAGTGCATTGCATACGAAGAAGAGACGCCCCACTCGAAGAAGCTCGTTCGCCTCTTCTACTTGAGCTGGACGACAAAGCAAGCTCTGCGATAGGTTGTCAAGTTTGACGAGCATGGCGTCATGTCGTTTACCGAGCTGTCACGCGCCGACGTCATGCAGATCGTCCAGGAGCACTCGAGTCCCAAGCTCATTAGCAAGGTACAGTGCGTCATCACAACGCACCATGTCAATGTACTCTTGTTCCTAGGACGATACCAGCGAAATGCGACACGATAGCTACACCAAGCACTCTCGCCCCGTGCGCAAGCGGGCAAGCGTCAACATGGCCCCATCGGCAGTCTGCGAAGTGCAGGTTTGTCTGCATAGACTACCAGTTGTTTCGACGCTGGAGCAATAGGCACTGCACATGCGCGACTTGCGCAAGCTCGACCATACGTTTAGTGCGACGAACGAGCCTTCGATCGCGGTGCGGAAGCAAGTCATCTTGGTCAACGCAGGTGGCGTCTCGATGGCTTCGGGGCGCGTGGCACCATGGCGTAGATCCTCTGCGCGGCGTCATCATGCGCGACTGCTGCTTGCTCTTCGTACCCAACGGCGCCGACACGCTCATCCAGCTGCTTCGCAACAAGATGGCGCTTTCCAAGTCGGAGGAAGGCCACATTCACTTTGAATTCCGGTATACATCGTCATCGATGGGATGGCGCGTTGCATGCATTCATGACTAGTGCGCTCGAAGCTATCTTCTACTCAATCTGCAAGTACGTCGGCAATCTGCATTTCTCATTCGAGTTGCCAGCCTGGGGTGCTCTAGGATGCTGAGCTCGGACTGCGAGCGGCTAATCTCTGTCGTCTCCGAGGCACTGAGCCGCTTGGCGGGCGCGCAGCTCTCGTCGGGCGAAATTGAAGTGCTCCACATTCTTAAAAACAAAGTGAACGAGTTCGAGTCGCAAGTCACGGGCCTTCGACGCGTGCTCATGGAGCTGCTGGAAAACGAACAGGACCTCAAGTTGCTGTACTTGACCAAGGTACGTTTGCGCTCTCGACAGCGTTGGCATACCGTCGTCTATAGATGTATGAGAATCCGTACATGACCCGGGACATGTTTGCCTTCGACTCGGAAGAAGCCGAAGCCCTCCTCGAAGCGTACCTACAGGTGCAGAAATATGTACGAGGTGAGAGCTAAGAAGATGTCATAGGACATTCATTCGATGCGCGCCAAAGTCCGTTTGATCCAGCAGCGCATGGCCAACACGGAGAATGTCGTCATGCTCAAGATGGACGCGGTCCGGAACTCGCTTCTTTCGATCGACACGATGTTCGGTCTCATCATGCTCTGCCTCAACTTTGCCATGTTCGTCGCCAGCTCGTTTGGTATGAACCTTGTCTCTGGCTACGAGACAACGCCGCATCTCTTTTGGGGCGTCCTTGGCTCGTCCGTCTCGATCTCGATGGTCTTGATCCTCCTCGGCGTCCGCTTCTTTAAGCGCCAAGGCATTGCGCTCGTCTGAGGCAAAACCTTCTGCTTTCTTTTTCAGTCGTTTGGTTTGACGAGACGCTGAATGTGGTCCCGGACGAGAGATTGCAATAACAGACTCGGGTACGCGTCGAGTGCCAGAAGCTTGGAACACGTTGCTTGCATGGTGTGTTGGGGCCACGTGCAGTAGACGACCACTACACATATCCAGTGAACCACCATCGCCATCGATGTAAATCGACGTACGCAAGCGAGCGAGGAGTTCGTGGTCGCCCTTGGATGCCAAGTCTTGACCCAGCACACAGAGAAGGCCCATGGTTTGCGTCATGAGCATCGACTCGAGGTGACCCACGACCATCTGCGTGCAAACGTCAACGTGCATGCAGTCAACGCTTTTATCGGCTCTACTTCGGGGGCGATCTACTGCAGGTATGAGGCAAATGGTTTCACAGTATTTCGTTCGTACAGAGAGGAGCGTGATGAAGGCGAGCCGTTGAACCTAGTGCACATCACCACCGTGTGCTCGGAGAATACAATGGACACGTACGCGCTTCGACTTGTCCCGGAGCTGGTGGGCCAGCGCATGGATGGCTGATGCGTGGACAAGATCCATCGTGGCCAAGTGCTTTAGCGCTTGCTCGCGGGTATCACTACGACCTCGTGTCAGTAATTCTGGTGCTTGCCTTGGCAGCATGTCTACCTGAGCGAGTCGGATTGCATCATGATGACGAAGAAGTCGCGTCTGGCGTCGTCGGAGGCGTCCGACTCGGCGATACCTAGGAATGGAGATGGCGAGCAGTGGTAGGAGAGGCTCCGTACACTGTAGAAGCTGGCGCTTGGACTTCTTCGCGAGCTTCATGTCGAGCACGTGGTCAATGAACCATGACATGTCGTCCGTCGCAACGCTGCAGATGTCCCAGTACGCCGCAATCGCATCGACAAGACCTGCACGTTGTGAACCTACGCAACTGCAACACGGCCCTTACGCTCTTCATCTCTCGCAAGAAAGCTGGCTGCATGCAGGAGCTCTTCCATGGCGATCCGACCCAAGCTTCGTCGACGATTCGCATCCGTAGCGCAGACGACCTATCCATGGGCAGACGTTGGTTCTCGGACGCTGGCGCCATGTTGGCGAACCTCCTTTAGCTCGTCCGGCAACGTCGTCTCCATGGGGTCTTGGTAGACGTAGGCGATCATGGGGCGGAAGACCTCGTCGACGAAGACCTTGGGGGCCGTCTCGAGGAGGCTGCTCATCGCCGCCCCGCGGGCGGTCGCCGCCAGGACGCGATCCATGTCCGAATTGGCCGAAATCGGTTTCAAAAGTCCTACTTGAACCGAATTTCGCATATATTATTCAAATACTTGCTGTTTGTAGCAAACAAAAAAGGGAATAAAAAGCGCGCCTCTTTCCAAGATCGAGACTCTTCAATTGGCATTCGCATGGGCAAGAAGGTCTTCAACCCGATTTCGCCGCATTTTTGGAGCGCGGACGAGCACGCGCGGTTCCTCGAGGCGCTCGAGAAGGTCGGCCAGTGCGCGCCAACGCCCGCGGTCTGGGGCCTCATCGCCGACCACGTCGGCAGCCGCACCGACAAGGACGTCCAGCTCCACGCGAACCGGTACTTTCTGCAGCTCCAAATGCTCAACACGCAGAAGCGCAAGGAGATGCAAGCGATGCAGGCCGTCGATGCAAAGTGGAGCCGCGAAGACGACGCGCGCTTCGAAGAGCTCCTCGCCGCCCACTCGAGCGCAACGTGCTACAACTGGGAAGCGGTCGCGGCGCAGCTTCCAAACAAGACGCCACGAACCGTGCGTGACCGGTACCTCAAGCTCGTGTACGACATCGCACACATTGAGAACGGCTATCACGTGACGATGCATCTCGGTGGCGCCCACGGTACGCGTCCGAGCCAACGTCCGACGTCTCACCAACAGTGATGTAGAGGACCGGACCCCACCGGGAAGCAGCAACGCGGAGCCGTGTGCGATGTACGACTGCTGTACGATGCTAACGCCAGACGAAGAAGACGCGCTCATGACAGCGCTGGAAGAAACCAAGATCCCGCCCATGGCGACGCCGCCCATGCTCGCGGTCGTGGCCGCGGCCGTCGTCGCTATGACCAACCACGTCAACAGGAAGCCGCCGACGCGAGAAACACCCAAGTTCTCCAAAGACGACGCAAAACACGCGCTGCTCCAAGCACTCATGATGGAGAACGCTGATACAGGCACCGTCCTCAACGGCCTCCACCGAGCGTTGCGGCTTCATGACATGCGCTACAATGATGCGCCACGCAACGACACCTTTGTGCAGAAAGCCGAGCCATATGCATCCAACCAGCATCATCCGATGGACCTTGATACGTTTAGTGTCTTGTGAGCCTACTGTGGTTGAATCACCAGAATCGATGCTCTGTCATTCATTTAGTCTCAGCGGGAAAGGAGTTTCTTGACTTTCGTCTGAAATCCAAGCATGTACCCATGCACAACGTAAACTTGCATCCACAGACACTGCATCATCGACAAGGTGAACGGCTCGTCCACGCCGGCTTCGACATTTACTGTTTCTTTGGTCGTCGTCTCTGGGCACATACGTGGGATTGTCCAAGGAGTAGCAAGACGCTGGTAGCTCGTCCATTCAATCGGACGGCTACTGCAAACGACAGCTCCAATTCTCTCGCAATTATTTATCCAAGGGAACAACTTGACAATACCAACACTTGACGTCAAGGGTTCACACGGCAAACTTTGCAGCTGATAGCTCGACGTTCATGTAATACTGCTTCTCGAGCTGCGTGTGGGGTAACGGCGACGTCATGTCAGTCGCGGACGCGATGGAGTACGCCACGATCCGCATCGGCATCGTCTCCCAGAAGGTTTCGAGCGGCACGCTCGGGAGGCCGGGCACGTTCACGAGTTGCCAGCGCTCGAAGTCGACGTACTCGCTGTGGAACGAGAACGTGTAGGTGTCGCGTGTGTTGAACGCGTACTCGCCCTTGGCGGCATACCGGGCCGCGCGCTCGTCGTCGGTCTCGCCAAAGACATCCTGGCCCAAGCGCGGCGGCGTGTGCCCCTCGGGCGTCCGGTGAAACTCGTCTACCGAAAGGTGCAACGGAAAGCTAATGTGCGGCAGCTCTTTGGCCGTGTCGGGCGCTTGAAGGCGTCCGAAACAGTAGTGCAAGCCAGAGACGCGCAAGTGCAAGATGGGCAAGAGCACGCGACAGAGCGTCGACGTGACGTAGCCGAGTCGCATCTTGTTGGGGACTTCGCCACCAATGTACACGAGACCCTGCGGCTCGTGCTTGAACCGACCTTGGAGCTGGATCCAAAAGAGGCGGCGATGCCCCGTGAAGAGCTGCTGCCACGTGGGTGGCTCGGGCTGCGTCTTGAGGAGGATGAGGATTTTGCCCTTGAAGAAATCGTTCTCAAACTCAAACGGCGTCATCGCGTTCGGGAGGATCGATTGGCCGCGCGTCGGCTCAAGCGCACTGCCCTTCTGCAGCACCATGTCGTAGATGTTGAGCGACGGTGCGTGCCACGGCTGCTTCTCGAGGACGCCCGCCAACATTGCAAAGTCGCCTGCTCAAAAGTAGCCGTTTGGACGTCGCTCGCCTTCACTCTTCCATGGATCGCAAAAATCGAAGAGCCAATGAGATCGCGAAAAGCGCGGATCTTGCAGAGATTTGCACCAATGAGCGTGAGTTCGAAAAAGAATATCCATCGAAAATCGAAGCTTGCACGGAATCGGGCGAGAGGAGAAAACCTGCCGGTCGGATTGGGTTTTACCTGCCAAGCCCCCCGACCCAGACAAAAAATCGCAGTAGACGAGTCTGTGTGTCTACTTGAGCGCTGCGAGCAGGAATGAAGAAATAATTTGCGTTTAGCGTTAATAGTAGTTCGTACATGCGCTGTGAGGGGCGCGTTAAATGTCGCGGAACCGCGTAGGCGAGAGCTCCATGTTCATGTAGTACTGCTTTTCGTTGTGCGTGTGCGGCTTTTTCGTCGACATGTCGGTCGCGGACGCAATGCTGTACGCTACGATCCGCATCGGCATCGTTTGCCAAAACTTCTCGAGCGGTACGACCGGGACGCCGGGGACGTTGACAAGTTGCCAGTGCTCAAAATCGATGTAAAAGCTGAAGAACGAGAACGTGTACGTGTCGCGCGTGTTGAACTGGTACCGCCCTTTTGCTGCTTTCCGCGCCGATCGATCGGCTTGTGTCTCGCCGAAGCCGTCCTGTCCCAGCGGTGGCGGTGTCTGGCCTGCCGGTGTGCGCACGAACTCATCGACGGACGAGTGCAGCGGAAAACTGATGTGGGCGAGCTCCTCTTCACCGCGCTGACGGACGTCCGTGGGGTACATGCGGCCAAAGCCGTAGTGGAGACCGGCGACGAGCAAGTTGAGGACCGATAGGATGACGCGGCACATGGTGGTCGCGAGGAGACCGAGGCGTAGCTTGTTGGACACTTCGCCGCCAATGTACACGAGACCGCGCGGCTCTTGCTTGAACTGGCCTTGGAGCTGGATCCAAAAGAGGCGGCGGCGACCGAGAAAGAGCTGCTGCCACTTGGGCGGCGCGGGCTGCGTCTGAAGGAGGAAGAGCACCTTGCCCTTGAAGAACTCGTTCTCAAACTCAAGCGGCGTGTCAGCGTTGGGAACGATGGCTTGGCCGCGCTGGAGCTCGACCTTGTCGCCAGTCGGCAGCACCATGTCGAAGATGTTGAGCGACGGCGCGTGCCAAGCTTGCTTCTCCATTCTCCGCCAAATTGCACTTTGCGGCCTTTCGGGTGCCAGATCCTCGGCTTCTCTCGCCTTCGCCCTCTATTTTTAGCATGCGCGCACCAATGAAATCGTCGCATTTCCACATGGCGCATAATTTAGCCAATCCGCATCGAGAGGTGAAATTCAAGAAATTTGGGGATTTGCCGCCGCCGACGACTTCGGTGGAAGGATCCGGCGCGAGGACGTCCTCCGCTGTCTTCAAGTTGCACGTGAAGACGAGATCGTCAGCGTAGCGAATACAATACCTTGAAGGCTCTGATGGTTATAGACTGTTCCGCGCACCATATAGTAAGTCCTGCAGCCGCAGGATTCGAGGAGCAAGGCGTTGAAGGCAACCATTGGCTTCGTCAAGTGCACCTTTTTCCCACCTTTTTCCTAGGTCTGTTCTCTCTTTGAGCTTCAACGTACATGTATCGCGCTTGCGAGTGAATGTTTTACCATAAGTTTAACGTTGGATGGTTCGTCGAGTGTCCAAGCTTCAAGGCTTTATCTGTCTATGAGGTTGATCGTTGCATGAGCTCACGCGGTTGATCCAGTCGCCACGGACGAGTCGTTGGCTGGACGCAGGACTCGGGTGATACCATCTCGTGAGCCAACGCGAACCGCACGTTTCGTTTGACCTCGTGCACCGACACACCAGCTGGTTGCGCCATGCGACGCCGCTGTATCTCCACAGAATGAAACCACAGAAATGCCAACGCAACGGCAGCGAAACACAGTCGATCGTATCCTCGGCCATAATGCTGGACGTCCAGCGAAGGGGATCTCGATATTCATTGCTGGATCGACCCCAGCGTCGACAACAACGACTAGGTTAAACGACTGGTTTTTGGTCCCTTGTTGCCTGCACGCAAGAACCACTTCTCATGGTGCTGTCAACCCGACAGTTGGTTGTTAGTTTCCTTCTCGCAATGTCAGCCGAGCATCAAATCCAATGCAAAATACGTCGCATTCTTTAACGCAATATTTGGGCCACAGCATTTCCTGCTAAAGGATCCACTCTTCGAGGTACGGTGCGTCGGCCTTGGCCTTGGCGACGCTGCGCGTCGTGCGCGGGATCGGGCGCGGTGGCAGCTCGCCGATGCGGCGCAGGAGCATAAACGTGTCGCAAAAGTGGCACAAATACGGCCCGCTCGGGTAAGCCGTGTTGTTTTCCGACGTCAGCGTCGCGGCGTTGGTCTTGGCCGCGTCGGACGTCGCACACTTCTCGCAGCACGGCAGCGGGTGCGTCGACGGCACGACCGGCGGCAGCCACACATGCGACACGACGCTCTGCGCCGTCGCGCGACGGACGATGGGCGTTGCAAGCGGCTTGGCTGCCGTCTTTGGTGCTGTCGACGCGCTCGTCGCACCCGCGGCAGCGGCTCGCCATGCCTTGAGCGTGGGCAGCGGCGGTGGGACCTCGCCGGCCGCGATCGCCTTCTTCCTCAACCGACTACACGGAACATGGATCGTCATGAGGAGAGCGAGGGGAGGTCGTGGTGCTGTACGCCGTTCGGTCGTAGACTTGATTGTACTCGCGGTTGGCTTCGTAATGAGCCTTTTTCCGAGCCAAATACGCCTCCTTGTTCTTCTCGTAGTGAGCCTTCTTCAGAGCCGCCTCCTTCTCCTTGTTCTTTGCGCGCCAATCCTTCGCCCGAGCCAAATACGCCTCCTTGTTCTTCTGGTAGTAAGCTTTGTAGGCAGTCTTGCGTCGCTCGTCCTCGGTCGTCGCCGGTCTCTCGCGGGCCATCGGTCTCGTGGGATCTCGGGCTTCGCGCGCAAATTGCCAACTGCGCGCAAGCATCGTTCAAATCCCTATTTTATTCTCACTCGCCCTTTGTATGCACAACCATAAAACAATAAAAAGCGATCTTTCTCGACACACGTTTCCGAACAGCTGAGTCTCCGGTTCCCCCCTCTTTGTAGTCGTTTAGTCGTTTAGTCGATGCATTCGCCGCCTTGAAGTCAAAGCCCACCGCTAAGCCCGACGACGCCGCTCGGGTCATAGCAGCAGGTAACAAGCAATATAAAGTGCATCGTTATGAAGAGGAGATTGCAGTCGACTAACCGACGCCGTTAGAGATGCTAGTGCATGTCGATGGACGAGCTACGTTGCAGTCGCGCGCTCCCGGGCGTGGCAGTGCTCGAGGAACATGACCTGGAAGCAGAGCTCGCAGAGCGTCGGGCCGAGCGTCGCATGGGGCGACGCCGGAAAGGTCTTGGCCTTGACGACGCTGTCGTGGCCTTGGCACTGCTTGCACTTGGGGTTGAGCTTGAGCATCGCGTACTCTTGGTCGAGGAGCTCGAAAAAGATGCGACGGTTGCCCCGCGTCTTTTGCTCGCGGAGCGCAAAGAGCGTCGGAAGCATCGGCTGCGCCTTCATCTTCGTCTTGCAGCGCGGCTTCTTGGTCGTCGATGGCGTCGGGCGCAGAACATCGGTCGGTGGATCGAGGCCTTGCGCCTGGAGCTTCTCGCGCTTGAGCCGGAGGCGGCGGGCGCGGTCCATGGCGGCGCGGTGCTCGCGCTTCCCAGCGCGGTACTTCTTGTCGTATTGGCGCTTGAGCTCTCGCTTGTCGACCTTGGACGAGGCTGGCTTGGTGCTACGTTGCATGCGATCCGGTAGATTTCGAATTGTCCTATTCAGTACTTCAACCCCCACAAGTACATGCGTTTTAGTCGATCTTGAGCTGGCGTTGAGTATCGTCCGACTACCGGTACGCCGTCGAGCGCGTCTCTCTAACGCGCCGAGACAATGCGAACGATCGTCTTGACAACAACCACGCTCTCTGACTAAACTAAGATGTTAATCAGTAGGTTCATGACGCTCCCAATACGAGAAAAGGGCAATCGCGTGTGTTTGTTTTGTTAGCTGGCGGTCGCGGTCGACGGCTGCGCCTTCCAGTTGCTGAGTTGGACTGTCGCGTGGAAGCTATAGTCGTAGTTTAAATACTTGATGGCGAGTTTGCTCGGCTGGCTCAGGAGCGCATCGACGTTGGCCTTCAAGTCGCCGTCGAGGTAGCTCACGAGCGTCCGAACCACGTTGCTCACGTTGTGGTGGCCCGGAAAGTCCGCCGCGTACCACTCGCAGACGCGCGGGAGGTAGATGATGTGCTTGCGCATGTCGGCCGAGACGAGCGTCGAGAGCACGAGCCGCGCCGTAAAGTTGAGCTGGTGCTCAAGCGCAAAGCCTCTGTAGACGGTCACGACACTCACACTCGCGCGCGTCGTCGGGTTGAGTGCGAACACCATGCGGTAGTCGGCGCCGCGGACCTCGAGCGCTGATCGCGGGTCGCTCGTCGACCAGTTTGGGCGCGGGAAGGGCGCCTTGAACGGCGGCAGCGACGCTCGGAGGATGCAGTGCTCGATCTCAGCCGGTGTAAACAGCAGGCCCGCAACGTCGTACGCAACGGTGTTGAAGAACGTTGCCCACGTCGCTTTCGAGTGCGGGAGGAGGTCCAAGAAGTGTCCGTGGAGCACTTGGAGATGGTACAAGTTGAGGAAGAACGCGGTGCGGTCCGGGCTGTTCATCGCAAAGAGCGTCAAGGTCGAATTGACTTGCTTGATGCTCGCGACGACGTCCAGAAACATGAGCACTTCATGCGTCAGACACAGCTGCGGGTGCTGGCGCAGCAGAATCGCCATCCGCAGCGCTTGCTCGACAACGTCGCAGACGTCTAAATCGGCCGACGCGCCAAAGCGAACGCCGATCCGCCGGTCGTTGAGCACGCGCCGCTGCTCGTCCTTGGCGACGGCGTCGTCGTCCCGCGTGCCGCAGTGCAGCGCGGACTGGTATCGGTCGCGGCCAAGGGTTGAGGCTACGAGGTAATACGGCTTGCTCACGAGGTCGTGCGCCATGACAACGCCCGAGAGATTGTCCATCTCCGCGACGATCGCGCGGTGCCAAAACTCGCACTCGCCGAGGGACGCAACCGCGATGCAGTGCACGCGCGTCAAGGTCTCAATCTCAAACCAGTACATGCCGTCCGAGTTGGCGGGCGGCGGCAAGTTGAGGTAGTCGCTGGCCGGTGTCACGTCAAAGATGTCGGCGATTCGAATGACGAGGCACGGCGTCGACGACTGCGTGCGGAAGAAGCGCACTTCGTGCTTCTTCGTGTCGAGGACGAGCCACTCGTTGCGCCAGTGCGAGTCCCAGAGCATGCGCACGACCTGGCCCTGGCTGCCCGTTGAGATCCCCGGCCGCGTTGCAAAAAATGGAGCGTGCGGAACGACCGAGCTCGGCTGCGTCAAGAGCCGCTTGAGCGCTGTCTTGGCCGCAATCTTGCGCGAGAGAGACGACGATGACGACGACGCGTCGGCCGCGAGATCGTGCAGCGCCGCGTCAATGAGACTGCGCTCCGTGTCGATCGCGCGGCTCGAGCTCGTTTTCGTTTGGATTGTAAACTCAATCGTGGGATCGTCCGCATCGAAATCGTCGGACGCCAGCGAGATGGCGAGGTTCGTCTGGACGGCGGTGTGCAGTGCGAACCGGTGCTTCTTGAGCATCGTCCTGCTCGCGTCTGTGTACTCGAGAATGTCAAAGAGGTACCCGACGCGGCGCTCGCCCGCGCCCTTGACACCCTCGGTCGTGCTAAAGTACTCGACCCACACGGGCACGGAGAACTCAAACACGTCCAACTCCGCGAGCAGTTGGCTATGGTGGGCTTCTTCGTCCTTGAGAAACTCGCTGGCTTCATTCTCCATGTCGAGGCCAAATACCGATTGGGCCGTGCGAGGTCGAACAGCCGTCGGTGTCGGCGACAACTGCAAGCAGAGGTAGTACTGCTTCTGGCCAGCGACATGGCGGTCATGGCGGTGGCCCGTCGGCGCCTTGAGGCTGTACGCGACGATGCGCAGCGGCATGGTGTCCCAGAACGTCGAGAGGCTCGTGTCCGGCATGCCTGGCACGTTGACGACCTTCCAGCGCTCAAAGTCGATGAAGAAGCTGAAGAACGAGAACGAGTACGTGTCCGACGTGTTGAACTCGTAGCGCTGCGTGCCCGCCTTGCGCCGACCGCGCGCGTCTGTGGACTCGCCGAGCCCGTCGGTGCCCAGCGCAGGCGGTAGATCACCGGCGCGCGTGCAAATGAACTCGTCGACGGACGATTGGAGCGGGAACGAGAGGTGCGGGAGCTCTTCGTCCTCGGGCGCAACCACGTCCTTTGGGTATGCGTGGCCGAGGCCGTAGTGCAGTCCGACAACGAGGCAGTTGAGCACCGAGAGAAGGATGCGCACGAGTGTGTTGGTGACAAAGCCCAGCTTCATCTTGCGCGGCACCTCGCCGCCAATGTAGACCGTGCCGACGGGCTGCACCTTGAATTGACCCTGGAGCTGGACCCAGAAGAGCCGACGGCGGCCGGCAAAGAGGTGGTGCCATTTCGGGCTCTCAGGCTCGGTGCGCAGCAAGAAGAGCACCTTGCCGCGGAAGAGGTCGTTCTCAAACGCGATCGGCTCGTCCGAGTTGGGCCAGATGGCCTGGCCTTGCACGACGTCGCCCTGCATCTTATTGTTGCTGTTGTTGAGCAGCATCTCGCTGATTTCGAGCGACGGCACGTGCCACGGCTGCTTCTCCAGCGCAAGCGCTGGCGGCGACTTGTCCTTGGCGACGGCCGCGCGCTCGTCGGCAGCGTCCAAGTGGCACATGTGCACGGGCGAGCAGCGCAGGATGAGGTTGTTGGCCGCATACGAGACAAGCACGAACATGCTGAGCAGCATCGCGATCGACACCGCGGGCTCGAACGAGAACCAGAGGCAGAGGATGCCCCCGACAAGGCCCCACGTCAGCATCTTTGTGGAAATTCAATTTGCCCTCCAGCGCCTCACATCCGGATAGAAAACCTCCGCCCGAGACATCCGGATGCCACCGGCGGCCGCCACGACACGCGACAAGTGAAGTGACTTTTGTCACTTCATTTTGCCCCAAACGGATATCTTGGCCTGATACCGGCTCAACGACATGACAACCGTCCTCGAGGCACTGGAGATGCGAGATTCCGACGGCTACTTGGCGAGAAGCGCCTCTCAGACTTGAGAGATGCTAGCGTCCATGCATGCCCGTGCTACCACAGTGAGATGCTTCTTCGCCGGTGCAACTTCTTTTCGCCTCCAAGAGCCAGCAGCTTGTTCAACAAAACGCTGAGCGTTTGAAGTGCAGTTGAAGTCCAATGGCGCGTGGACTGCACTTCTTTGCACACTTGTAGTCGTTCGCCTTCATGACCAGCGATACCGTAGGTCTCAGTGCTCACAGGCAAGTAGGCGTCTGAAGGTCATCAGCTTTCTGCACTGCAACAGCACCTCACTTCCCGATCACTTTTGTCCAGTGGAACTTTTGCTGCTTGGACGATCTCGCACCACAGAAAGATTCTCCGTCGGTGTAAGCAAGAATAAATCTCCTCACACGGCATTTGCCGCACGACGACCCTCTGTACACGTCGAGGACAAAACGATGTGTCGTCTTGTTAGTGGCGTTGTCTCAATCTACATCATGCTACAGTCGCCCTTGCCTTGTTGCGTCTGGCCTTGGTGCGCCGACTCGGCATGTGCAATAAGCTGCGTTACGCCAGCGAACGTTGTCCTGCACACAGGGCATGTCTCCTGACCGCTCGAGGCCACAGGCACCGCGCTCGCTCTTGCCGCAGGCGCCTAATAGCATCGTTGGTCACGCAAGATACGGTCGCAGCCTATGCATACCGCCGACGGACGCGCGCGGCCGCTGTCGGGATGCGCCTTGTTCACGTGTGCGATTAGCTGCGATGTGTATCGAAACGTCTCTTTGCACATCGGACAGCTCTCGGAGGCCGCCGTGACGTTGGTTTTACTGGGCGCCGCCGCGGCCGTCTACACCCAGTTCTTAGACCAACCGATAGCTCGCGCCAATACCAATGTACCTTGGCCGACTGCACGAGTCGCGAGACGGACGAGCCCATGCGCTGCTGCATGGACGCTGGTCGCGCAGGCGGCGTGGCGCGGCGTGGGCATTGGTGGTCGGTTTCAAATCGATGGCGGAGACACACCTTCTTTCGGCACGAGTTGCACTGTACCGTGTTGGACGCAGTGAGCACTTCGCGGCAGCTGTCGGCGGCGCAGCGCTCCTTGGGCTTCTTCTTCTCCTCGTACTTTTTCCGGCCTGCAGTTCGTGCGCGCGTGCGCGGTCCAAACCTCGTCGACGTCCATGGCGCCGGTCAGCGGGATCGTCGCCCGGCACAGCGGGCACGTGATCGCCCGAGCGTCTTTGGCGCCTGCGTGGGCGCACGCATGCGCGTCGTACGTGCGGTGCTCGAGGCAGAAGATCCCGTTGCAGCAGTCGCAAGCGAACGGAAGGAAGTCCTTCTGGTTACACCCGGGGTTGCTACAGTGCTCGCCGACGTCCATTTTGAAAATGCACAGTGGCAGAGAAATTTCCCCAGGAAGAATGATGGTCCCTGAGCCGTGTTCGCGAACTCTGGTGCTGTCGTGCGTTTATAGGACAAATCTTGCCATCTTTTTCACGCTCAAATGAAATTTTTGGCTCCTTTCAATACCTCATAGCACGGAAAATGACAGAAACCATGGACGTAGACAGTACTGGTGTAGCATAACACTCACCTCCTCACAGCACCCCGCTTGCATGTACATCGTGGCAAGAGTAATAGCCAACCTTCTCGACTTCACCAGTCCCTAGCGCTCCAGAATTCGGGTAGCAAAAATCCGAGGTCGTCAACGGACCCCACATGCACCAGTCCTTGCGACTCCAACTTGAGAAAATGGCAGTCTATCCCGTGGAAGGCTCTGTTACCACAGGGCGACAGACCTCTCCCGCAACCCCTTCAGCCAGTGATAAGATGCAACGCGCGCGGTGGTTTCGGCCGTTTTACCGCGTCGCTCAAGATACGATATGGCGCCAGTGTGCAATTTTATCCAACGATGTACGGGACGCTGTCTCCGGGCGCGCTTCGGGCCCGAGGACCTCCAGCTACTGCTGCTCGACGACTCGGCAACCCCGCCGCGGTCTTCATCTTCACCGCCCATCAAGATCGACCCAGCGTTTCTCGAGCCATTGGCGTTCACACCGAACGACTGCCTCGTGCCGTACTTTCATCCCCTCGACGGCTCGTTTCTGCAGTCGGCGTTCGATGACTTGAACACGCCGCTTTTGACGCCTCGGTCCATCAAAGAAGAAGTGCTGGACCCAAGCGTCCTCTCGCCGCACACCAAAGTGCCGGCGCCAACGTATCTGCAGCGCTGTGTTTCGTCTGCGTCGACCTCGTCGTCGTCCTCAACCAAGCCCCACGCACTCTGCCAAGTGCAGAATTGCGGTCGTCGCGTGCGCTCCCGAGGCTTTTGCAAAGCCCATGGTGGTGGCCGCAAGTGCTCGGTGCCGGGCTGTGGCAAGTCGTCTCAGAACGGCGAGTTTTGCATCGGCCACGGCGGTGGGAAGCAGTGCAAGGAGCCCGGATGTGCGAAAGCCGCGCAGTCGCACGGGCTCTGCAAGGCCCACGGCGGCGGCGCTCGATGCAAGCACTTCGATTGTATGAAAAGCAGCCAAGGTGGCGGCTTCTGCCGCGCGCACGGCGGCGGGAAGCGCTGCCAGGCCGAGAACTGCACCAAGGGCGCCCAGCGAGGCAACTTTTGCGCGACCCACGGCGGCTTTCGGAGCTGCCAAGAGCCCGACTGCGTGCGCACCGACCGCGGCGGCGGCTACTGCGAGGTGCATCGACAGGACAAACTGTGCACAGCCAAAGACTGCAAGAAACTATCGAAAAACCACGGACTCTGCACCGTGCACCTCCGAAAAGTCGAGAAAGCTGCCGAGAAGAACGCACTGGCAGCCTTTGCGTTTAGTACCTCGGGCGATATCGACCTGCTATCGTCGATACCATGCTATGGCCATCTCTAACTTAACGTATGTAACGACATGGCGACGTCCAAACGACGCCCGTGCTTGTCCCAGAGCGGGCGTCCACGTATGGCGCGGGACGGTGCCTTTGGCGTGGACACACGAGGCTGCGGGGCCGTGTGCAGTAGCGACTCGGACGACTGTTTGTGAATGGCACAAAGAATGTCGCCGCGTCGGAGATGCTCAAATCGCGAGACAGGCGAGAGCTTGGTGTAGTCGCCGTTGGAGCTCATGCGCGCCGTCTCCCGCAAGAGACTGCACACCGACGGCATCTAGTAAGGTGGCGTCAGTGTGTGGATGCTACAACGAGTTGTGGGCTACGCTGAGTTTGTAGGCAATTTTGGCGACCAAATCGGCCCAGGATGAAGCCATAACGCGCGTCATAGTGCGTCGCTCGTCATTGCGGTAAACGGATACGAGGACGTCGCGCGGTCGCAAGTCGGCGATCGGTGTCACCGCTGGAGACGACAATGGACAGCGGGGTCCCTCGTTGTAGTATGCGGTCAAGTAGCTCTTCGGTGGGCGCGCTGCCGGGAGCTCGACCCGCGGAGGAGACACGCGCTAGATTCGCTTGGTCAATACTAGTACCAAATATGGGACGATGCATATACCACGCGAGTGGTTTCGAGTCGTGTCTGCACCGCGGATGCCACTTCAAGCTCGAGCGCCTATCGCCTTTAGCTTACGTATTGGAGTGGCGCGTGGAGCGAACTCACCTCGCGCTGGGCCCTGGCTTTGGCTTGTCGCTCGACGTGCGACTGGAGTGTGAGCTTTTGGTACCCATGCCAAATGCTTCGAGGTGTATTGTTGATGTGCTGGCGGCGTCGCTTCTTCTTCTTCTTGGCAATCGGCGACGCTCGTTGTGGCGATGGCTCGATGCATGGTGCTATTGGTTTTGCCTCGATGTCCACCGTTTGGATCTGGGCCATGGCGAGCGATAGCTCCTTCTCCAAGTCGAGCAGCTCATCTTCGAGCGTCGCGTTTTTCGTGGGCGTCTCGCTACCGTCGTCGTCGGTAGCTACGAGGATGGCCTCCATCACGGGAACAGCTTCGCTGCTACTTGCAACATAAATGACACGTTCGTCCACACGCATTGCGGTGTACCATGGCTTGTCGTCCATGCGCCACGCCGTGTCGTCGGCGCTGCAGAGCGCATGGACTGTCGCCCAGCACTCGGCAGCGATGGCTTCGGCAGCATGCCATGGCGCTTCCTCATCCATGTCCATGCCCCAGGTCGCGGTCACATGCGCGATCGCATCTTCGCACTCGTCGAGGAGGACGAGGATGGAGACGTCGTCCGACATCACCGCAGCGAACAACGGTTTTGTGCAATAAAATCTATCGCCTCGCGATCACTTGCTCACTGTATGTTCATTTCAACATTCGTATTTTAATATCGTTTGTTGCACCTTTATCATACGGTTTGTATGCGGAATAGAAATTAGGCAAAATAGAGGCGCTGAGGGCCGCAGCAGTTACACGTCATTTTATCCGGACAAATAGTAGCGGTTGCACAGCAGTTGTGAAATTGCCTCCGGCCAGCAACGCCCGACCATGCCATGCTCCTGCGTCGGAATGCTTAGCGTCGCGGCCAGCGCCGCCGCCGTGGTTCTCTCGGCCTTCGCTGCGGGCCTCCCGCTCTGGTCTCTCCTCGCGTACTCGAACAACGGCCAAATGACATCGGCGACGTTCACAGCTGGCGTGTGGGGCTACTGCACCGACGTCTCGTTCCTCCAGTCCGGCTCGCATGGGCTCGACGAAAGCGTGCAGACGACGGGGCAGTGCTACCTCTACTACAGCAGCAGCCGCAATGTCCGTGTGGACTTAAACGCGACGGACGCCAACTCGACCATCGTACTGCCCAACCACGGCGCGTGCGCGACGTTCGCCCAAGACGGCGGCTCCAAGAAGCGCCTTCTCTCTACCGTGCTCGACATTGACGAAGCAACGTTCGACGCCTTCTTGACCAACACATGCAGCGCCAAGGGCAAGGCGTCGCTCGCGTTCGCAATGCTGAGCCCCATCTTTGGGGCCTTTGCCTTCTGCCTCCTTCTCGCCGGCGTCTGCTGCGCGCGCAACGGGTCGTGCATTGTGGGCTTTGCCGCCATGATGACAGGCCTTGCAACGATCTGGTCCGCGATCGCGTTCATCGTTTGGAGCGGCCAAGCGCCGTCGGGCCAGCGCTTGCGCCTCGGTGCGTCGTACTACATGGAGGTCGCTGCGACCGTCTCGTACGCGACGTCGTGCTTCTTTGCCGCCGTGCACATGCAGCAAGGCAAGAAGGGCGAGCGCAAGTCGAACGCCAAGGCGACGAGCAACTTGCAGGCGACGCTCGACAAGCAGCGCAGCAAGGTCGCTTCTGGGCGCATGCCCACGCGCCTCGTCTAGTCGTCCACAGATCGACTTGCGTTGCGCCATCCATTTGTATGAATTGCAAAAGTTTCCGTTGAGAAAGAAAGCGTCTTCCTAAAAATCTCGAGTACAATGGAGTAAAAGACTGCATGAGCTTGGAAGGCTGTACAGCGATGACGTGGGATACCGTACGTTGAGCATGTTCCTATGGCTGGGAGATGTGTGCCCCATCTATTCATGGGCTGTCGCGTGCCCGGTGCGCAGCTGCGTCGAACCAACGGGTCTTCCGCCGGCAACTCTGTTCGATAGTGTACTCGTGAGCGCTTGCTTGCAGCCTCGGTCGAGGACACAGAGGTCGTCGCTGCTGGAGCAAACCAGCACTTGCCCCAGCGACCTTGTGTTTAACGCTCCACAACGCGCCATCGTGATCGATCGGATCGCAGGTGTGCGATGGCCAGGGCTGGGGTTATCACTTAGATATTTGCTGTGTATTTATGCACCGAGGTCTCGCGGATTGCAGCAATCTAAAGTCTCTGCCGCAAGGAACCACCGCGGGATACTATCTACGCAGAGCGGATGCTACTCGTTGGGCGACGACGATGGCCCATGAAGCGCACCCAAGCCACAATCCCAACGCTCCTTGCGTTTCTCAGCGGCCGTTGAAGCCGCCAGCACAACCCGGGCATGGCTTCAAGTATCGCTTTTGTCTTCATATCGATTCGGAAAGGTTTTAGACTAACCGTTTAAGGGCTGTATCGTATTATGAATACATGCAATAGTAGAGGTATGCATTGCTAGAGGATTGGGATATCACTCGGCCCTCGACTCGGACCGTGTATAGGGTAGCCGCGGCGCATAAAAATAAAATACATTTCGCATACAAACACCGAGTGCAATTTTTGCCACTTTCTCGGTGCGGGAGCGCCGGAATCTTGGATTCGCTCGTTCGGTTGCTGGTTGGCGCATCGACCGCCCATTCACATGCTCGCGTCGACTGCCTGCGGCCTCTTCCTCGAGCTCGCCCTCGCCGGCCTCTACGTGGCCGCGCCGACGCTCACAGGGCGCAGCGAGGTGCTGGCCCACGACTGGGCCAACGCGCTCGACTTCAAGCAGAGCCTCGCCAGCGTCGTCGTCCTCGCCGTCTTGCGCACGATCCTCTTCGTCTACGTTGTCTACGTCACGCGCAAGTCGCTGTACCGCTCGACGCGCCTCTTTGTCTTCCTCGTCGTCTGCGCCCAGCTCTGCGTCCTCGCGCTCCTCAGCGTCCTCGTCGAGATCTTTGTCAACGACAGCATGAGCTTTCGCGTGTACCATCAAGACGCGTGGCACTCGACGTACTGGTGGACGGTCGTCGTGCTCTCGCTCGTCGCTACGAGCTTTGAAGTGCTGTGCGTCATTGGCCGCAACCGCGACCGCGAGCGGCGCGGCAACGCCGAGGAGGAGAAGATCGAGGCGCTCCTGCGCGAGAAGGCCGGCTTGCCAAAGCTCTCCCACTCGCACTCGATGCTCGAGAAGGGCATCCTCACGCTGCGCAAGAAGATTGAGCTCGACAACTGGCAGGCCAAGTGGACGTCGCTCATGGCCAAGTTTCGTTTCCGGACGGACCCGACCTTTGACGCAATCCTGCGTGTGTACGCACACAAGGACGACGCAGCCGCTCGCCTCGAAGCCGTTGCCGACGAAGATCCAAAAGACTTTGAGTTTTACATTCCGCAGCTGTGCAGCTTCCTCCTCCTCGGCGCCTTCCAGCAAGCGACCGACGGCGACATTAGCCTCATCCTCCTCGACAAGTGCAACAAGTAGGATCGCGACCTGCCAACTACGATGTTGCTCATGCTCGTTTAGGTCGCACGTGTTTGCACAAAAGATGCGCTGGTACCTCGAGTCCTTCTGCGTTGGCAGCCCCGCGTACGCGACGCCCGAGAAGCGCCTGCGCGTGCAGATGCTCATCGACGAGATCTCGGTGCGTGGCCTCGAGCCCTCGGAGCGGCTTCTTGTCCGCCAGGGCTTTGGCGAAGCGCCCGAGCCATCTCGCCGACGCTCGAGCGGGGCGAGACGACCGAGGACGAAGCGCTTCTCGTGCACTCGGCAGACGAGACGCACTACCAGACGTTCCCGTCACTCTCGCCGCGGGCCTATTTATCCTCGATGGAGGCCGGCGACTATGCGGCGACGCAGACCAACCCGTTCGAGCTCAACGCGATGTTCATCAACCGCCTTGCCGGGCTCTCGTCGAGCCTCCGAGCGATTCCTCGCGTCTTCCGCAACGAGCAGCTCCGCGAGTGGCTCTCGGAGCTGCAGTCGCTCTACCTTCCGAGCCTCTCGCTCTTTGTGCCCGTGGGCAACCCTTTCCACCGCATCAAGCGCATTCATATCTCGGAGAGCTTTACCTTTAGCACGCGGGTGGGTGCTCGCGCTCGTCAAAAGTGTCTCAAAGATGATATGTAGGAACGCGTGCCGTACCTGCTCTGCCTCGAAGTCGTCGACTACTTTTCGTATGCGACCAAGCCCGTCGACCGCTTTGCGCAGTTCAAACACCGCTTCCGCCTCTCGATCGGCGGCGCCGCGAGCAAGCCACCGACGCCGTGCGACATGAACAACAAGTCGCAGGACCCGGGCAAGCTCGGCTTTTGGAGCGAGGCGGCCGTGCCCGAGACAACGCTCTTGGACGGACTCCTCGATACGCTCAAGCCCAAGCCGCCGACGCCGCTGCCCAAGACGCGCCCGGCGTCGTCGCGCTCGGTGAGCGCGCACTTAGAGCCGTTGCACCCAGTGTCACCGCAGCGCACGTCGAGCTACGACTACCCGTACCCGCCGCAGTTTTCGCCGCGGGCCACGTCGCGCCCGGCGCCGATCCAAGTGCCGATCGTTGTCATGGACGCAGACGTGACGTCGCCGACCAAGGATTGTCTGTCGCCCGAGCATGCCAACACGCGGCTGCGGCGCGTCGACAGCACCGACCGGTACTTGGCGACCTCGCGCTTTGAAGACGACCAGCTGCTGCTGGCGGACAAGCCAGCGACGTACTCGCTACCGCCGCACTCGAATGGCGAGCTGCCGTGCGTCATCTTCAAGGAGCGCTGGGAAGAGAAGGAGGCCCGGCTTCGCGCGCTCTCGCCGTGGGGGCACCTCCCGTCGTGGCGGCTCCTGCCCGTGATCGTCAAGGCCAACGACGATTTACGCCAAGAGCAATTCGCGTCGCAGCTCATTCGGCAGTTCCACCAAGTGTTCCAGGAAGCCAAGTTGCCCGTCTTTTTGCGGCCGTACGATGTGCTCGCGACGTCCTCCACCTCGGGGCTCGTCGAGGCGATCGCTGACACGATTTCGCTCGACTCGCTCAAGCGCAACCACCCGAACTTTGTGTCGCTCTCAGATTTCTTCGAGACGCGGTTTGGCGACGTGACGACGTCGTCGGGCCAGGCCGCGCAAAAGGCGTTTGTCGAGTCGGTCGCGGCCTACTCGATTGTGTGCTATTTGCTGCAGATCAAGGACCGGCACAACGGCAACATCCTCCTGGACGCCGAGGGCCACCTCATCCACATCGACTTTGGCTTTATGCTCGGCAACAACCCGGGACAAGTCCACTTTGAGTCGGCGCCCTTCAAGCTCACGGGGGATTTCGTCGAACTCATGGGCGGCCCGCGCTCGGCAGCGTTCCGCCGGTTCCGGTCGCTCTGCGTGCGGTCGTTCTTGGTCGCGCGCAAGTACCGGTACCGCATCACGCTCCTTGCCGAGATGATGATTGCGGGCAACGAGGACCTCCCGTGCTTTGCCGGCGACCCGCGGGGCACGATTGACGCGCTCGCCGAGCGCTTCCGGCCCGAGCTCAGCGTCAGCGAGTGCGAAGACTTTGTGCACCAGCTCATCGACACGTCGCTCGACAACTGGCGCACGCGCTGGTACGACAAGTACCAGCGCTGGTTCGTCGGCGTCTTTTAGATAGTACGATCCGCAACAAAACCACTATAGACGCTTTCTATCTTTGAGGTCTCGTCCTCCTTGGCGGCATCGCTACACATTCGCTCGTCGTCATCGCCGCACATCACCTGTAGTTGGTCGTGTGCGGGGGGCTAGGGCTAGGGATATAAGATATTCTTATTTTCTGGAGGGAACTATCAAACGGGAAACTCGCGGCAACGGAGGCCTTCAAGCAAGTGTCCATAGCGTAGGACCTCGAGATGCAACTGTGGTCCTGCGCGACGAACGACTCGACTTGCACGCACTCTGCACGAGCTTTCGAACAATGACTCTGCAAAACGGTGGACCGGCGCCAACGAAACGTTCAAAGACGGAGCATGGGGCCGCTGCCCAAGCCTCGCAGCGCGGTGCCGTTGCCGCCACCGTCGCCACCGCCATCCAAGGGCCTTTCCACGTCGTCGACGGCAGCGACAACGGTCATCAAGACGAAGAAGAAGATGAAGAAGACAAAGCACCCGCTGCAGAAAGGCCGCTTCACTTGGGGGCTGCGCATGCGCGCCAAGAAGCAAGACGTCGCTGCACGTATGATCCAGCGGCTCTTCCGCAGCTACGCGGCCCGGTGTCGCCACATTGAGAACCGGTATCGCGTGCGCATGGCCATGACGCGCGTCAAGGCCCTCCACGTGCTCTTCGACCGGACGCACTGGCAGCAGGTCGACTTGCACGCACTCAAGCGCGCCGAGCTCGAGGATCTGGCGCTCCGGCTCGAGATCCCGGGGCTCACGGGCAAGAAGGGCCAGATCATCCAGTCGATCCAACACTGGATCGACCTGCGCCTGCACGTACGCGACGTGGCGATTGAAGCTGCGACGCGCGCCAACGACAAGAGGCTGCAGGGTACCAAGTCTATTCTTTCTACCGATACATACAGCATGCTCCTAGCCCAAGGCGGCGTGTACGTGCTGGCCGCGACACCCGAAAGCCGACCTACCATTCTACGACCGCTCAGTGGTCGCACCATATCGGCTGTAGCTGCGGTGCGGAAGACTTCTAGAGCCTCGCGCGTCTCCTCTCACAATGACCGTCTAGAACTTCGAGTCGGAGGCCGTGTACGCCCTGGACACGACCAAGGGCCTCGTCTGGCTCTGCAAAACGTCGGGCTTGGCGGCCCAAGTCGGACTCTGCAGCACCCTGCGCGACGACGACGTCTTCACCGACCCGTACGCAGCGCAGTGGCTCGTGACGCCTGTCCCGATGCAGACGCTTCGCATGGGCCACATCCAATCGCTCTGCGTCGGCCACACGCATGCGGCGGCGCTCGCGTCCACGGGCGAGATGTACACATGGGGCAACAATCCGTACGGCCAACTCGGCCTCGACCACGCCGTGCGTGCGCGCCAGCCACCGTTCCTCGTCGGCGTCACCGAGACGTTCACGACCATCTCGATTGGCGTCGGCACGCAGCACTCGCTCGCCGCGTGCGACAACGTCAAGGAGCAGAACGGCGTCGTCTATGCGTGGGGCGGCAATGCCCACGGGCAGCTGGGGCTGGGGCTGGGAGGTACACTTGCTAATTCTCTTTTTCTGTGTCTTTTGAATAATGCCGGTAGCCAACGCGACGGTGTCGACGCCGCAGCGGGTCGTGGCGCTTGACGGCAAGAATGTGCGCAAGGTCGCTTGCGGCGCCATGCACTCGCTCGTAGCGACCGACACGGGCGATATGTATGCGTGGGGCTGCAACGACGGAGGTCTCGGCCTCTTCCATCTTGGATAACCAGCAAACCACGCGAGTAGGCCGCCTTGGGCTTGGCACAAGCGACACCCGCGTCTCCGAACCGAGGCGCATCGAAGGCCTGTCGCCGCCGTTCCGCTGTGCGATCGCGGTGGCGTGCAGTGCGTGGCACTCGGCTGCCATTTTGGCCGAGAGCCCAGGCGCAAGCGTTGGGACGGTACGACCTGGCTTCTTGATGATAAGATCTCTCACGTCGGTCACATAGGTGTTTACATGGGGCACGGGCGTGTACGGCCAAGTACGGCGACGTATTGCAAGCTCGTGGTGTCTCATGAGCATGTCTAGCTGGGGCTCGGCAGCAACCAAGTCGCGCAGAGCCCACAAATGGTGCCGCTGCCGCCAATGAAGGCGCCAAGCGATCCGCTCGAGAGCGTGCGAATGATTGCATGTGGCTTACAGCACATGGCCGCACTGACGGTGCAAGGCCACCTGTACACGTGGGGCAGCAAGGACGCCTTTAGCCCCCTCCCACACCTTCTCTCTGCGAAGCACCGCTCCCCAGGCCGGATAACGTCGCGTGCGTCGATATTCGTCGCAGAACCCTCCCATGTGACTGATTTCTAGTGGCTTGCGGCGCATCGTTCACGATCTTTTGCACGCTACCCGTCGACGAGGTGCTGTACGAAGCTCCGACGCGCCACTTGCTGTGGCAGACCAAGCGCCTCCAAGTGCCCACGCTCGACTTGAGTAGTATACCGACGGAGATGCGACTCACGTCTGCCGACAAGGTCGTACCGCGGTACGTGCGGCGACGGCTTGTTGTCGGCGGGCGTTTTGACGTGGAGAGTAGACTGCAACCCGAAGCCGAGCGGTACGAGAAAACTCAAGCCGCCCAGGAAGAAGACGATCGCATCGAAGCTGTCGATCTCGACGCATGGCTACACCCGCGGTACGCCCATGATTGAACGACGCATCGATCGCATGGGCGGTGGCAGGTGCCGTCTGTGCTGGTTTTGCACGGGGTTCCAAATCACGCTGACAAAGCTCAAGCTCTGCCGGATCTGCAAACACAACCGCGAGTTTCACGGTATCTCTCGGGCGCAAAGGAGCGAAGCTCATTGGTCTAGGGCGTCGCGAGGGTCCCATGACGCAGTACGAAGCCGTGCGCAAGGTCCAGAGCAAGTGGCGGCAGCGCCAGGGCACTCGGTTCCTCCATGCTCTCTTCCTCGAGCGCATCCAGCGCGTCTTCTCGATCCGCCACAACGCCTTCTTCTACTACAACACGTGCAGCCGTGCCAAGACGTGGGTACGACCAACGTTGCTGCCCATCAGCATGGACTGCCCGATACGAGACCCCGATGACGCCTATGTGAAACCACCGCTCACACGCGATGACGCTGCAAGCGTCATTGCTGGCCTTTACCGTGGGTGGAAATCGCGCAAGAAGCTGGCGACCGTCCTGCGCGCGCGGTTCGAGAAGTGCACTGATCGTCAGGGCCGGACCTTTTATCGAGACCGCTGCACGAACGCAACGCGCTGGGACCTGCCATTGCAGCGAAAACGCACTCGAGAAAAGCCTGGTGCTGCGATCGCTATCAAGGCAAAGCGGCCGTCAACCCAAGACGACGCAATCGTGCTGCTCCAGCGCTGGGCGCGAGGTGTGCTCGGTCGCATGGCCGTCGCGCAGCTCGTGCGGCGTCTCTACCGCGCGCTGCTAGACCCATCGACAGGCAACACGTACTACTACAACACCCGCACCAAGCAAGTGACGTGGACGAAACCGAGGTGCGATGGTAGTGTGAGCTGCATCTTCAAAACGGATGGCATCGATCGTAGGTGGCTCCGAGATGCTGGCCAGCAAAAGCGACGGCGTCGACGGGCGCCGTTAACGGAAGACGAGGCAGCGTCGACGTTGCAGCGCACGTACCGCGGCCGCCTCGCACGCCGCCTCCTTGCCCAGCTGCTGCAAGAGCGCTTTCAAAAGTGTGGGACCCGACAGCGCAACGCTACTACTTTGTCGATGCGGAGACCAAGAACGCAGTGGCGAGCGTCCCAAAGGCCGTCCACGGCATCGGCACGCTCGTGCTGCCAAAAGTGCGGCGAAAGCGGCGGAAGAAGAAGGTTCTGACGCCCGACTCGGCCGCGATCTTGGTCCAAACGGTATATCGCGCCCGCCAAGCCCGGCGCGTCGCGGCCATACAAGCCAACCGCGTGGTACGCACGATGTGTTGCGGTGATGGCGTGATCAACACACGGCACAGATTGAGCAAATCTGGGATCCATCGTCAAAGGCCTTCTTTTACCACAACAAGCAAACGCACGCCGTGTCGTGGACCAAGCCGCCGTTCTGGGTCGACAAGGTATGTCACGCTGACGTTGCACATATCACTTTGGCGCGTAGGTCCCGACGACGACGACGACGACAACTACTACTACGACAACTACGACGACGACACTGCTGGAGAGTACTGTGGCAGCAGTACCCACAGCATCGGCGTCAGAGCACGCCGCGACGCTGGCTACGAATGAAACGGTGACACCCACGAGTCGCCCACATCGGCGGCGAGCGTACTGCATCACGGACGCCAACGAGGCGGCCGTGCTGTTACAGACGCATTTTCGGCGTCGGAACGCTCGCGACCAGTGCAAAGCCCAGCTTCTCCAGCGGTTCCAGCGGGTGTACGACCCCAACACCAAGCGGTACGTCGTGTGTCTGTCATGGACGACTGTCGACGGGACTAGGTACTTTTACTATGACAAGGAGACGAGCGTGTCGCAGTGGACGGCGCCACGCATGCTCGAGACGCTCCAGAAACGAACGACCAAGCACGTGAGCCAAGACACGGCGGCCGTCCGCATCCAAGGTGTCTTCCGCCTTCGCCGCGCGCGCCGCGACGCCATCGCCCTCGCCCAGTCCAATTACGAAAAGGTCTACGACGAAGCCATCCACGCGTACTACTACTTCAACACCAAGACGGGCGAGTCGCAGTGGACAAAACCAAAGTGCTTTCGGAACGCGGACGCTGTCTTGCACGTCCTCGTGAATGCTGCATCGAGCGAGCCGTCACAAGATGCAGCGTTGAGCGTTCCACTGCAATAGCGATACAGTGCACTTCAAGTGGGCTCCATGGCCGCACGTTTTCGGTGTCAATACTGGATTCTCCGTTGTGCACACGTTGCCAGTGGGACCGATGGACAAGCCTTCTGGATCATTGTAGTCCAGCCAACATACCCGTCTACTTAGTTGGGTCCCTGCCCTGCACCAACAACTACTTGTTGTAAGAGCTCGAAGACAAGGGAGGTGAACGACTTGTATAGTGAAAACATCAAGCGATGCAACTAAGCGTCGGCGGTTGCCGCCTCGGCAGGACGTGGCGATTCGCTAACGAGGAGCTTGGCGACGAGGCCGAAGTGGTCACTGGGGTACAGCGTTGTGTCGTCGTTGCAGCACTCGGTGCCAATCACATTGATGGTCTGCGGCGTCACCTACAAAAGCAACATGACCATCCACAGCTTGGACATGGACGAACCTGGCCGTAGACAAAGACATAGTCGAGCGTTTTCTCGTCATCCACGTCCTTGGTCGGGGCTTCGAGCCCCTGGTGGAATGTCTTTTCTGGCTCTTTTCCGTGGATGAGTTGGTGCGCGCTGCGGAAGCCAAGCGCTTGAATCGCGCGGTAGCAGTCGCCGTTGGGCACGCAGTTGAAATCACCGACAATGACGATGCCTGCGATCGTCTCTGTCTGCATCGCGAGAAGCCACTCGATCGTCTTGGTAATCTGGTCGGTGCGGAGGCCTTCTTCGTCGCCGCCCGACGACAAGTGTACGTTGGCAACCAGCACGACGCTGCCGCCAACCGTAAGCTGGACGCACTGGGCGACCTTCCAATCGCTCAGGATGAGCGTGTCATGAGCGGCGGGCGCGAGCTCGTCCTTGGCAAGCAGCGCCGTGCCAAAGACCCAAGCCGAGCCGAGGCCCACAAAGGTTAGCGCCCGAAGGATTGGGCGATGGTAAATCGCTTGCGTGAAGCGGCCCAAGATGGCGCCGAGGCAGCGCTTGTTGAACCACGCGCAGCCATCGTAGAAGACCGCAGCGAGCGGGTTGCCGCACCGAAAGAGATAGCCAAGAAGCGGAATCGCCTGGATGTAGACGCGCGCACCCGGCGACGGAAACGCAGAAAGCGCCGCGTCTTGCGTCGAGAGGAGCGCGCGAAGCTCGTGGTGCTGGCCCCAATAGTGGCCAATGTTGACTTCTTGGAGCGCAAAGACGTCGGCGCCCGTGCGCGTCAGCGCGTCCTCGAGGAACGGCCGGCGCTCGTCCCAGCGGTCCAGGATGAAGCGGATGTTGTACGTGCAGAGAGTGAAGCTACTATTCGCCATGGCGCGACTTTAAAAATGAAACCAGTTTGCCCCATGAGTTTGCCTTGTTGAAGTACTATGTTTTCGTGATCATTTCTGCAACCGCCAATCAAAAGCTGCTGGTTGCGTAGGATTCCCGGCACGGTCTGGTCCTACTGAGTACGCGCGTTCGCCGAAGCGTCTTCAACCCGGAACTAACGGCGCTTCGAGTGTGTGGCTCTGGTGCTACCAGATCCGAGCCACCACTTGACGCGCTCAGAACGACCAAGCCTTCGTCCCCACCGCAACAGCTCACCGCTGCAGTTGTCATCACCAGCGCTGCCGCTACCTTCCTAAAGGCTCGTCAAATGTGTGCATGCGCCAAGGCTGCGCGTTGGTATCACGTCATTTCCGACGCCGACCATGTCCCACGTGTACGACATGCTATAGACAAGCAAGCGGCGATAAAAAGGGCAGGTCGAGACATCCGCTCGGACCCGACGTTGTCTTCGCCACAGCGCAACGGACAAAGAGCCGCTTGTTACTGCTTTGCCAAGTCAACGGCCCATTGTCTATTGCGCTGTGGCGAGGGAACGCATACTGTACAGAGACAGCGCGAGCTGAGGCAGTACTAATAGTAGTGCCTACAGCTGGCGGGCGCTCCAGCGAACGGAGACGTAGCAAAGGGCGGCGCTTCGAGGGGTCGTTTGCTGGTATCGTGGTGCGCAAATGCAGCGAGACAAGCAGGCGAGATACATTGGTTTACTACTAATAAGGTGTGTGTTCTTGTTGTCGGGATGTGGCACCACGAGGGACGCGAGCGCTTAGTTGATCACGTCGACGAGGAAGTCAAAAATATCCGTGTTGCGGATCGCAGTTTGGATGTCTTCCTTCTGCAGCGTCCGGCGCTTGTTCTTTTCCGAGTAGCCCCATGATCTCAACGTAAGCTCGAGGATGAACATCTCGCAGGCCTTGGCGAAGAGCACGGGCGCCTCCGCGCTGATCATGCGCACGTCCTCGTCCGACTTCATGATACGCTTGATGCGCGCCAGCGGCAGGTCGTTGTGGTTCTTAAAGTCTACGTCCAGCAAGTGAGTCCTTGTCCAGAAGACCGAGTGCGAGTACCTTGCTCGCTGCCGACCTCGAGCTTCTCCATCTCGGCCAGCTGCCCTGCCCAGAAGACCTTGAGCTGCGCCTCCATCTGCGCCATGTGGGCAGCATGCTCTTCCTGCGTGAGCTGGACGACCTGGCCTTGTTCCTCCATCTTCCTCACGGCAAATGCGTCTGTGTCCATCCAGACAAACCGCGCATCCGGATGGTACCCTACATCACGCCGTTTGTATACCCCACGATTGTTCGACTTGTAAAGTTCGAATCGGATCAAATACAAACATCAAGTGCAATGAATCGGGCTTCGACCATCCGGATAACGACCGGTTTCTCGCCCGCCTACAGTCTAAACCCACCACTCTTTGCCACGCTAGCGCCGCACGCGTGAAGGGCCGCACGAGTATCTTCTTGGCGCTGATGGCACTCGACATCCCATAGGCTGTTCATTTCGTACACCTTGGGCCCGCTTGATGTGCTCTTGGCTGGCATCGTGCGATGTATGATGGGTACATACAACGACCTAGTACAAAATCCTCCGTGTTGGGTGCGTTTAGCCCACAGTGGCCAAACGTGGCAGCCGGAGACGCACGTTGAAGCGACGATCACGACGACTCTTGGTTGGTCCCGACCATGTTCTTCCAAATGAGACCCGTGCGCTCGGCGGACGTGAGCTCTCGTCTCGGCTTGAGCACGGTCGTATGGCGGTTCACGCGCGGAACGAGGATCTCGGTGACGGACGGGAACAAAAAGTCTTTTGGGCGCCCGTCGTCGTCCTGCGCGACAAACCCGGTTGGGTCGTACGTCCGCAAGAGCTGGGCCTTGGCGCCACCCGAGTACGCTTCGCCGCAGAGGATTGAGACGGGCGCGGCCGTGAGGCGCACAGCTTTGCCGCTCGGGAGCTTGGCGTTGCGTACGATGCGAATGGGTTTCGAAAGCGGCGGGCCATCCAGGATGTCGCGCGGCTTGTCCAAGGGCGACGGCTTGGTGCGCCCTTGACCCATGATGTCGCCATGCGCAATGAACCGCAGATTGTCGTGGTCAACAACGAGCTTATCGAGCCACTCTTGGTGCTCCTTGGCCTTGGCGTCTTCCATCTCCTTGGCGAGTCCGTCGCCGACGAGGTGCACGGACTTGAAGTACTCGACGTTCGGTGTGCCGTCTGCATTCGTACCGCCAAAGATCATGTCTTTGGAGGGAAGACTGTCGAAGGCCGCTTTCGCGCCGACATCGACGGTGTCGCGCTCGACGGGCTGGGGGTGGTACAGATTCTCGATCCACGGCGCCGAGAGCTCTTCGCAGCGCGCGGCGCTCGGCGCCTTCTCGTGCTTGTAAAACTCGCTGGGCTGGCGCGGCGGCGGGTACACAAAGCCGGATGGCGTCGTGTACAACGCTTTGCTGGTGCTTTCGGCGATTTGCGCGAGCCTGTTTTCGTCCACGAGACTCCACGTGAGTGAGTTGAACTCTTCGCTGTCCGTAAAGGTCGCGTGCCGGTCCTTGGCGAGCCGGGCGCGCATCGCATCCTTCTCCAAGTCTTGGGTCTAACCAGCTCTCTTGAGCGACGACATGTTGCTGGGCTCTCTCTACCCGAAGCTTCTGTCCGCTGTAAATATACACGGGCGCATCGTCGCGCGGCGGCTCGTTGGCCTTTGCGGCCGCAAACGCCTCGTCCGCCACGGCTTTTTCGCGCCTACACACGTTAATGTCATCCAGCCACGACGGTATGCGATCAACCGGCGCTCATCGACGTAATCTCTCGGCTGCCACTCGCGCTTGGCTTGGTCGTACGCGGGGTTGCTCGCGTCTGTCGCGGCCTTGAGGCGCAGTGAGCTGTGTGGGGAGTGGTGCTTGGTCGCCGATAAAGAACTTAGCGCGGCTTGGACCACGTCTTTGTCAAGACAGTCCAACGTCATGCGTCGGGGAACAGCGACGTGGCCATTGTCGACACCATGAATGTCTTCGAGCGTAATGCTTTCGCCGTACTTGCTTTCAACTTCCAGTAGCATCGACACGAGCGGAAACAAGTCCAAGTCGCGCAGCTCCGCGAGGCGGCTCGCCTAGTATGGACTCTTATCCGATATCCACCTTGCACGCACGAGTACCTTGCGAACGTTTTGGAGACGGTTCAGCGCTTGGAAGCAGTTTTCTGACACTTTGGAGCGCATGTACAGCTCGGGCCGCTTGATGATGTCGGGCAGCGGGTCCCGCAGCTTGATGCGCTTGAGATCCACGTCGAACGCCGAGTAGAGGCGCTGGGAGAAGCGCACGTCGTGGTTGGCAAACATGTGGTACCCGCCTTGGACGTTGGGTCCTCTGCGGGGAATGCTGGCGTGGGCCACAGCCATGCCCGCCTCCGCGAGCCCTTCGAGTACGATCATGCGCAGATCCGTGTCCAGCACTTGGAAGCCCGTGAGGATGTTGAGGTCGCCGGCGTCGGCCGCCTGCTTTTGCATCGGTGTGAGCTGGTAGGACCGAAGGGGTGCACCGGGCAGCGCCGCGCCATTGACCTTTTCCATCGCCCGCGACACGGCCTGGACAGACTCCGTGTCGTCGTAGGGCACCACGAGCACGAGGCGGCTAAAGAGGCTGCGGTCGGCCGGCGCCTGCAAGGACGGACGCCGCGTCGGCTTGATCAGCGGGAAGCCCAACGTCGCACCGAGGTGCATCGTCGAGTTGTGGCTCAGGTATGCGCCCGGCACGCGCACGAGTTTCTCGACCTATCCACCACCAAGGTGCAGGCTCGCTCCCCACAACTCGGCAGCGTGTACCTGAGACAAGTCGTCTTCGGCGTCGTCGGTGCCTTCTTTGGGCGGCTGCCGTCGCTTGTGCTGCACAATGTCGGCGGCAAATTTGAGCTGCAGAAAGGGTCCTTCGTGGTTGGGTCGTAAATGCGTCTACGCAGCACATGTCATTGCATCAAGTGGGTTTCGCCATCTTCTTGAGACAAACTGTGTTGAGCAGCTCGTAGAAGCGAAAGGTCGCGACACCATGCGCGTTGCGGTCGCCCGCCTGCTGGAAGAAGAGCGTTTGGATGTCTGCCTTGGCGATGTCGTCGACAGCAAAGATGTCGAGCGGACGCGCATGCTCGTCGCCGACTTGCTTGCCGGCAACGAGGCCCTCCCACTTGTGCACGAGCGCCTCGTAGGCCTTCTCGAGGCGCACGTCTCGGTCGTGCACCTCGACGAGCACGTGCCCCGCGGCAAAGCTCTCTTGCAGCGCTAGCCACTCAAAGTGGCCACAGAGAAAGGTCGTTTTGAACTGCCACGCGACCGATTTGCCCTAAAGGATTGACGGAGGCTAGGGAACCTATAATGGCGTGCACTCGTTACCTGGAGTAAACCGGGTGTCCGGACGAGACGGTGGTTGAGGAAGCGCATCGACGCGTACGCCGGAGCGCAGCACTTTGTGAGTGCTGTAAACGGCGTCGGCGTGATGTACTGGTACAGCGGTTTGGCGCTGACGGTGATGCCAGGAAGGTGCGTCGCCTTGCGCAAGTGGAGGGTGAGCGGGTTGAGCGCCTGCGCGCGCTTCGCCGGGAGGAACCCGTGGTCCGTCTTGATGCGGACGATGAACGACCGCAGGCCGGCCGCGGGAATGAACGGCACGCACGGCGACAAGGAGCTCTCCTTGGGCAGCTCACCCCACGCGCACTCGACGGTTGTGTCGCCGCCAAGAAGTGGACTCAAGTCGACTTCAAAAAACGAGAGAAAGTTGCGGCCAACGCCGCTGACGGCAGTCGCCTGCGAGGGTGAGTGGTCGACCAAGAAGAACGTCACAATCGGGTTCTCGTGGAGCTTGATGGCCATCGCCTCGGTGATTTCCATGTCCGGTACATGGTGCTCGTAGCGAAGGAGCTTTAGCTCCGGGAGTGGCTCGCTCCCGCCTTCGACGGGAAGCGCGCGGCTACTGCGCCGGTCGACGACTGCGAGCTTTGGGCTTGCCTCTACTGTCGTGCTCGCCACCGCGTGCGGCGGGATGGCCGGCGCCCACGTACCCACGGGCTATGCATCCCCGTCCTACAATGAGTCATGCGCGGGTGGGATTCATTCCTACCGGTGTCGCCTTTTTGCTGCCGTCGATAAACTTGTAGCGAAAGCTGGGTGTCATAAGCAGCTTGTCGTCGATCGCCGCGTCCAAAACCAACGTGACCTTGGTCCGCTTGGCGTCACCACCTTGCACCCAAGACAAGACAGTGGTGAGAGGACGCGTGGCATGGCCACTGTACCGTGGCCGTGGCCTGGCGCCGCGTCGACGTGCGGCGTCGTCATGCAAACAAAAGCGCGCCGAAAATAGCAAACACCATCCTCGGTTTCACAGTCGGTTTTCCCAACGCGATGCCAGGCCTGCTCTACAGCACGGGACTGCTCCTCAACGGCGACGACTATCGCGTCGCCGTGCACGACGTCGAGCCCGCAGGCGTCGTCGTTGTCGCGACCCAGACGTCCAAGAACGTCGTCTTCTCGCGCGCGTTCACAAAGCAAGAGCTCACCGCCGCGGGCTTGACAAAGTCACCGCTCGACTGCGCCCGCCTCGCCGAGTCGCTTCTCTTTGTCGTGAGCCCTACGCAGGAGCCGCAGCTGCATTCGACGCTGCCGGGTGTGCGGCAGCCCGAGCCGATTGCGAGCGGCGCGGCCGCCGAAGTGTACTTGACGACGACGAGAGTGGGGACCGAGACGTTTCTGGACGTGCTCCAGCGCGGCCTCATCGTGCTCTGCAAGGAAAAGCCCATGGGGCTCAACGCGGTCGCGATGCTAGGAACGTGGCTCCTCGAGCACAACCCGAGCCAGCCGCTCGTGTCAAGATCCTCGTCGTAGGGTGCCAATGGCGCATCTATTCCTGCGTTAAAATAAGTTGATTCTATCCTATCAATATGGTCCGTCCGGCGTCCTTAGCTCGTGCACGAAAAGAGGAGAAAGACGCTGAGGAAGGCGGACGCGATCGTCGTGACGCTCATCGAGCGCAGGCCGAACAAGCCCTCGGTGCACTGCGTGTTTTGGAGGTGGCGCACGACCTTCCACTCGGCACATGTTGTCAACATCGTTCGCCCGCAAAAGCTGCTCGACCGCGTGGACGCACTGCTTCTCGCACTTGTGCTCATACTGGCGTGCACGGTCGCCGCACATGGGTGCCATCGCCGCGTCAATGGCCAAGCACGACGCGGACTCGGTCAAGTGCAAACTGGAGGCGTTGAAGGAGAAGGAGGAGCTGCTGCTGCTGTTGTCCCGGGCGCAGACGAGGTGGGCGGCCGCGACAAGCAGGAAGAAGACGATCATCGGCGGCGACGAGTGCATTTTGTGCAGACGGAGCAAAAGGAAGAATGCACTGGACCCACTGCTGCGCCAGTCTCGCATCCGCGCACCACCTGGCGCGCCGCTACATGGCTGGAGTTTGAACTTCGACGAAGTTTTTCCGAAATTGCTCTTGGACCACTTGGCATTTGTATGGATCGCGGTCGCGCTCGAAGTCCACGACCGATATAAAACAGGCCGTTCTCTGCACAGTACTTTATGTCACACACGCAGGATTTGTCTAATTTTCAAAAATCCTGTCGACGGCGTCGTTAATCGCACGCAACTTTCACGCGCCCCCGATGGCGACGCGGCAGCCGAGCCACACGGTCATGCCCGACAATTGCACGAGTGTTTGTATCGGCTTGGAAATGCGCACCCAAACGTGATCATTGGGACCGTAGTAGCACGACGAGCGGCGACCAACCAACACGTCGCGGTGGATTTGGGTGCGTTTAGCCAACTGGCGTGTCCGACACACAACAGTACGCCTCGTGCAAAGCGGCGACAGTCCTGTCCACCATCGAGAGACACTGGAAGATGCAGCAGCTCGGTCGACGACGTTGCACTCAAACCGCAGTGGGACGCGCCACGACCACCACACAAGGCTCACGGAGGCGCATGCACGGAGAGCCTGTTCCTCGATAACGACGAGGAAGATGTGTGGAAGCGGGCGGCGCGACATGGCGGTCGTCTGCTGCTGGGTGCTCTGGGTGGTACACGCTCGGACGTTTACAGCCAATGCCGCGTTCACAATCCCAGATTGCCGTACGAAATGTGGCCCGCCAACAAATCCACCAGCGGCTTGTCGCATACTCCGCCTAGCATAATCGCACACACTCGTCGTTGCGAGCACCAATGAGCGACGCGCACGGCCGATCCCCTGCAAGGATATGTAGCAAGTCGGCAGCATTTTGACGAGGAGCCGCCTTCGATGCGCCACCGAGCGTCCGTCCCGCAACGCTCTAAACGTCACCGCTGCATGAGATTACAGCGCCAGTGCAGTGGCGGGTGCAGGAACCCGAGACACGAGTGCAAACGCGGATGCGTCAACCGCACGCACAAGTGCAGTGTCTATGGCACGCCAAGACACGGTACCACCGGTGGCGGGGCAGCGGTGATGATGGTAGATTTCGCTAGTCGGCCATCCCACATCAAGTGATCGATGCTACAGTACTACGTTCTGCCGCATGCGGGCTTCTTCCGTCGTCGGCGTCGGTGCGCATCGCCTTCCTCTCCAGCGGCGAGATGGGCTTCAATCGGACCCCATTTCCATGGAGTTTGATAAGCTGCCCGAACGATACAACCGATCCATTCGAGCAGCTCGGATTGCCTTAGCCTACCGTGCTCCGCCGATCTCTTGATCTGTTGGTGGTCGTGGCGCCTAGAACGTGGATGGGATTGTCGGCTGCGACGAAATTACGCGGCAGTTGCGCGAGCGTGATGTGCCGCCACCGTCCGAGTGGGACTCAACGAGTAGCCAAGGATCTTTTTTGGTTGGGTTGAACTTCTTTCTGCTTTGGATGTCCTCGGCTCGCGATTGATCCAGTGCGTTGACGCTGCTATAGACTGCGTGCAATCTCTGCACTGACTCGGCGCCAAGCCGCCGCCATTCGAGTGAACGTTATCACGTAGCACTGGCTCGCGAGCTACTAGTACAATACTACCCATGGATGCACACAGTGTACTGGAATTACGACGACGCGAGGCCGGCAATCAGAGGCGGGAGGACGTGAGCACGTGGTGGTAGTTGTCTCTTGTCAGCGGCACGTACGTTCCGTTGGCCTTGTCCAGGTAGTAGAGCGCGTCGCCGTCGACTTGGACCAAGTCGGTGCCCTGGGCACGCAGCTTGGCCTTCTCGTGCTTCATGGTGCCCGTCACGGCCATCGCGGGCAGCCGCCGCAGAAACCGGGGCACGGCGTACGATCTACGCGTCAACATTCTACCGCATCGTCTTTCAAAATGGCCGAGTACGGGAGCTTGAGGGTGCAGTAGGCCGCGAACGCGTCGAGGTCGAGATCCTCAAACACCATGGCCGCCATGCACGCGCGACCGTCGCGGTTGGGCACACTCACGCCGTAGACGCAGATATCTATCCGCCATGCGATTGGTTCTGCTTGTCATCGTCGCAATTTACCCGAGAGCCCGGGGAAGGACGAGAGCGTCTCGGCCACCTCGCTCGTCGCGACGTTCTCGCCGTTCCAGCGAAACGTGTCGCCGACGCGGTCCATGAAATGCCAGCGGCGGGCGTGGTCGTAGCGGAAGAGGTCGCCCGTGCGAAAATAGAGGTCCCCCTAGTTCGCTCGTCCCATTGACCAAAGCAGCAGCATTTTTGCACGTACCTTGGCAAACGCGTTGGACACGAGCTTCTTCGCGTCGGCTTCCTTGTTGTCGTAGTAGCCCTGAAACTTGAACGACGGGTCGTGCATGCGAACGCGCACGACGAGCTCGCCCACGTGGTCAAACGGGCACTGCTTGAGAAAGCCGTCCTTGCCGCTAATCGAATCACGTCATCGTCGTCCTTGGGGATAGGGTTGATCATTCCGTCGTCGTACCGGACGAGCACGTCGTTCTCCACGTCGTACTCGACGACAGCGTAGCCCGCAATCAAGTTGGCGAAGGCGCCCGTCTTGCCCAGGTGCCCTATGCATCAAAATGACATCCGATTCTGACGCACGACGCGTCACGACGCACCGCGCTCGGCCCGGTCGCGGCACACATTCATAAAGCCAGCGACGCCTTCGGTCGCGCCGTAAAACTAGCCTCGACGTCAACTCGTGTGTTGGACTATACTATGAGTACCTCGCAGACGGCGGGGATGTTGAAGCGATCTTGGAATGGCGACCAAATGTCAGGACGGAGCCCGTTGCCGATAGCCATGCGCACCTACGAGTCGCCTTGGATTCCAGAGCATGTGACGATGGCCGTACGTGGTGCTGGCGGTCGAGCGCACTCGGCGGCGCGTTGAGGAGGTACCGGCACATTTCGCCAATGTACTGGATCATCGTGCACTTGTTCGTGCGGACTTCGCCCCAGAAACGCGACGTGGAGAATTGCCGCGAGAGCACAAGCGTCGTGCCGGCAAAGAGCATGATGCCGACCGCGAGGTTGCCGCCCGACGTGTGGTAGAGCGGCAACGGGCAGTAGAGTCGGTCGTGCAGCGTCGCGCCCGTCTTGACGACCATGGCCATCGAGCGCAGCATCACAGACGAGTGCTCGATACGCGCCGCCTTGGGCAACCTGGTATTGAAAGATTGACAGAAAACGAGACAACGCGGACCTTACCCGGTCGTGCCACTGGTGTAAATCATGAGCACCATGTCGTTGGTCGAGACGTTGGCGCGCATCGCGATCGGCGGGCGACGACACGAGACCTCTTGCAGCGCCACGTTGAGCGACGTCGCGTAGCTCGGAAGCGAGGCGTGTGTTGCATCTAGGCCGTGGTGAGTCGCTGTTGCTGCTGTATATGTGTCCAAGGCGTACCGGGACGGTAGCAGACAAGGCTGCGATCGGCGAGCTGGTCGGCGACCGAGTCCATCTTGGCCGAGCACTCGGCGCCAAAGATGACGATCGATGCTTTCGAGATCTTGATGCAGTGGAGGAGACCGTCGTACGCCACGTGCGTGTTGATGAGCGCAGCAACGACGCCGACTTTGGCGAGGCCCATCCAGATTGCGACAAACTCTGGTCGGTTCTCCATGAGTAGGCCGACGACGGACCCGGGCGTGAGGCCCGATCGGATCGCCCAGTGCGCCACCCGGTTCATGAGCGTGTCGAGCTCCATCGCAGTCCACTCGCGGCCTTCAAAGACAATGAGCACCTTGGACGGATGTGCGTCGACGAGGTCCTCCCAAATGTCCGGGATGCGCGTGTTGCGGTACGCGAGGTACCGCATCTTGAGCAGCACGCCGATGAGCGATGCGTGCTCCGTGATGTCGTGGGACACGAGCGTCTGCCGGTCCAAGAGGTAGGCGGCGCCGGCGGCAGCAGCGGCCATCGCGAGCTGCTTCTGCGAGGTCATGGCGACGAGGATCGCAACGGGTGATTGAAATGTGAGATGGCCCGAGCTTCAACGAGAACTTAACGAATATCATCTTTTATAGAGCAGGCCTCGTTGATGCTCTTCTATCGGCGAGAGATGGATTGTTTGCCCATGGAGGCACTCGAGCTCATGCGCGCTCAAGCATCGGGCATGCATCGTCATGAAGCGACCTTGTAATAGCTAGGACGGTCCATAGACGCACGGGCATGCAATCCTCCAGCAGATGCAGCGATTGGCTTTAACGAGTAAACACCGATTGCAGTGTGTCAGGTGTTAATAGGCTCACGCTGCCAGCTTCGAGAAGCCGGCGGATTAGAGAAAGCGGCCCATTCATCATCAAGCAGCACATCGATCGCTGCATGGTCCTCGCACGCTTCGAGGCGTGGCAGCGATGCACCCTAGCCTCTACCGGCCCAAGGTAGCGACTACATTGCTATAATAACTCTGCCCGCATGTCCCACCACAACCCAGCGCGACACGACCGCCGACGCATGATTGATTGGCATTTTCAAAGCCGAAAAGGTCGCTGCAAATATCATCCATGCTTGTGTGCAGATCCATTGAGCGTCGATCCATCACGCGCGCTCGTCGATGCAGCGAGTGTGCATGGACGAGTGGTGGGTATGCCGAATTTAAGCTCCCGATGCCGAATTTACCACGCGTGGCAGTGTCACAGTGTTGCAAGATCGAAAGGACGCGCGATGGATCTTGTCGCGGCGCGGGCGACGCCGACGGACCCGAAGCTGCTCCGGCCGCTCGTGTCGCAGCAGTTTGGGCTCGTGGGCCGCAACGCCGTGCTCGAGGCCGTGCCCCAAGCCGTGCATTTTGGCGGCTTTGCTTTGGGCGTCACGCACACGCAGCGTGTGCGCATTCTCAACAAGTCGACAGCGACGACGCGCTTGCACCTCCTCGTGCCGACGGCGGCGCCCTTTCGCGTTGAGTACGACCGCAAGGGCAACATTTACGCCGGCATGAGCGAAGAAATCTTCATTGCGTTCACGCCGACGGAGCACAAGTACTACTACGACTGCATCCACGTGCACAGCGCGGAGGGCAACTTTATCATCCCGATCCACGGGTACCCGGTCGTCAACAAGATCGCGTTCCCTTCGAGCATCCACTTTGGCGCGACGCCGCTTGGCCATGTCGCCCAGCGCGTGCTCGAGCTCACGTGCAGCGTCCCGATTGAGTTTGAGTTTCGCATCGAGGTGCTCAAAGCCCACAGCTCGATCGGTATCGAGCCCACAAGTGGCGTTATTCCAGCCAACGGCACGGCGCATATCACGGTGCGCTTCCAACCCATCGTGCTCGCCAACGTCTTTTCTGAGATTGAGCTGCACATTGCCCAATTCAACTTTACGCCTAAGCTCTGCACGATTTCAGGCTTCTCGTCGCCAGGTCTCCAGGCAACTATCGCAGGCGGTGACGAAGAAGCCAAGGTCGAGATGGCGCCAGAGCCCGACGAGAAGGCCAATGCGACCGAGCCACCGCGGTGGATGCCGAAAAGGCCAGCCGCCAAACCGCTGGAAATGACGCTCCCGACCGAGACTACCGTTGACGGGCTCAAGATCCCAAAGCACCTCGACAGCGTGAGTGCGACCAACTTCATTTTGACGCAACAAGCCGGCAAGTTCAAGCCCAAGGACCTCAAGAAAGCGATCGACGAGAACCGCGCGCTGCGCAAGCGCCAAAAGGCCGAGCAAGAGGCGCTTCGGCAGAAAACGGGCAGTGCCGGTGGGCGGCTGTCTTTCGACGTCATCTACATGGAAGCCACGGTGGCGGCCAAGCCTACGACGCGCCAGCTCCAAGAACTGGTGTTTCTACAAGTACGACGCCATCTCCTTCCACGCTTAAAAATGGCACAATGCTGGTGCTAGGACCTCCAAGACATCAATAAGATGGAGAAGGACCTCGAGTTCCAGAGCAACCGCGAGTACATTGGCGACGACCTCTTGACACCCGAGAGCATCGCCACGATTCAGCGCGTGCGCAGCGCCAACGCGGCCGAGAAGGCTGCGAAAGAGCGCGAGCTGCTTCGGCAAACGTTCCACAGCCACGGCAGCTCGGCGCAGTCGACACCACCGATGCGATCGGTCCTCCCGGCATTATTGACGCCCGCTACGTTGCCTGACTTTAACGAATATAAGAACGATCTGTGGGCCAAGCGCAAGCGGGTAGACGCCACCTGCCGATCGTCGCCGCACGAAGATACCAATGTCATTAGGCGCTCGCCCGCTTCATTCAAGTCGTCTCGGGATGCATCCTCCGACTCCGCGTCGCCAAGCGTCTGCGCAAGATCCAAGCGTGGCTCGGCAACGCCACGACCCGCGCCGAAGTCCGGCGCATGGTTGAGCGGTACGCGCCACCGCCAGTTTTGCACTTTCTGACCTCGTGACGTAGCGATTGGAAGCTAGCGCTCATGAATGTCTCGACGACAGCGGTGGCCTCGCGGCGGCAGCAGGATGCGATCGGGTCGTCCGAGTCGGCCTTCGCGCCTTCGTACCAGCTCCGGTCGTTTCCTGTGTACATGGAGAGCGACTCGCGGCTCCGGTTTCCGGTCGAGACGACCATCGAGACGGCGTTCTCCGACTTCAATTTCTTCCCGCTGCACGTGCCGCATGAAGCCGACGTCACGGGCTATAAGCCCCACCCGCTGCTCTCGATCCCACAGTACGCGCCGCTGGAGCTCCAGCGCAAGATGCGGTCCGGCGCGCTGCACGAAGCCGGCACCCGCGCGCCCCGTGCGATCGCGGCCCCCAAAGACACGGAGCTTCTTGCGGCTGTCCCTGCGTCGCAGCTCAAGTGGTCCATCGCACTGCGCCCGACGTTCTTCTGTCTCCCGCCAGCGTCGCCTCGGATCTACACGCCGCTGGGTGCGACGCCCTTGGCGACCGACGCCGCATATGCGCTGCGTCCCCAGCTGCGGCCACGCAACGTGCCTCGCACCGTCATTTCTCTTCTAGGCGATACGCCGGGAACCATCTCACTGAGCACGACCGTACCGTACCTCTTGCACACGGCGTGGCACTGCACCGTCGACACAGACGACCACATGCGGCTCTGGGACCTCCCGTCGGTCGCGCCGCCGCTGGCCATGTCGGCGTCCAACAGCGTCGAAGTGCTTAGCGACAGCGAGAGCGACAACGAAGACGAGACCAACGTCATCGTCCCGAGTATGGCGGACGCGGAGAAGCTCTTCCACGAGTCTGCATCGCCGAGCCTCGCGTCGCTCGCGGCCTTTGCTCGGTACGACGCGCTCCTGCACCTCGATGACGGGTACAAGCGATACCGCCACGACCTCTGCGCGCAGCTACCCAAGGTAATACAGCTACAGTCGACGCGTACTACATGGAACATCGCACGTAGCAAATGGCGCTCGTCGCGCAGCACGTCAAGGACGCGCGGGCGTCGTTTGTGCTGCAAGGCCACGGCGACGTCTTGCCACTGCACCAAGGCACGTCGTGTTCGTAAGCCCTGTATTAAATAGTCCATTTTGTGTCGCCTCTTACAGCATGGTTTGCTCTGAAGTCGCGCGGGCGGGCCCAATCGCAGGCAGCGATGTGTGCAGTCTTTGCTCGCTCACTGCGCGGGCGTTGGCCACGGCGTGGAGGCGCCGGGTCACCTCGGCGTGTGTTTCGTCGGCGTGGATGGACGGCAGCTGCCTCGCGCGCATCGCCTCGGACTTGGCGCGCTACACGATTCGAGAATTGGGTGATTCAACACCGATACGTAAAGACGTACGGTCACGGCCGCCGACCGCCGAAACACATTATGGAGACCGTCGAGGCGCAGTGTGTTGAGAGACGGTCGGTGGGGTTTTCCGAGCGCCTTTGTTGCGCAGAGCGCGTGGTGCACCGCGACGTCAATGTCTTCGCATTTCCGCGACGTGATGGTGTTGACGAGGAACTTGCGCCGCTCGATCGACACGTGCGTTTTCGCGTCCAGGAGGCCTTTGGCTTGCGCTTCCATGCTCTTCTTGAGGCCCAAAAACGACTTTTCCCGCATCGCTGCGTTGTGGAGCCCCGCGTTTTTCTTCTCGGAGGCCGGCATGAGCGCGCGCACAAACTCATGAAAGTCCACGGACCCGCTGCCGTCCGTGTCGATCACGTTCACGATCGCCTCAGTCTCGTCGGCCGTCGAGGCCAAGCCCAGCGTCAGCAGCGTGTCTTCGAGCTCCTACACGTGACCGCATGAGCCAACGCATGCAATTGTGCAGAATATGATGATGACCTCGGTGCTAACGCTGCCCGACTGGTCCGTGTCGAGCACGTCAAACCACTGCCGCAAGATGCGCTTCTCGGCGGCTGTAAACTCAAACTTGCGGGCTTTCTTGTGCTTCTTCATCCAGTCGCGCTCCTCATCCAGCGCAAGCTCGCGGGCCAGCGCCAGCGTCGTCCGTGGCGGCCGGTGCCCACGGGGCTTGGCGTGGCGCCACCATAGCTGCGCGTCGTCGTCCGAGGCCATGGCCGCCGGATGCAGAGCCATGCGGGTGTTTCACCAACGCCAGAGTGATGGTGCCCATCAACGGAAGTTTTGTGGAACGTTATGTGCGAATCCGCTGTGAAAGTGCGTTTTACCCGCGTTAAACCCTGCGCCGCAGCAATTGCCGTAAATGAGACTGCTTGACGTCAACCACGCAACCGACCACCACTGCTCTTTGCTGCATGGTCTCGTTCCGCCTTCATACGAGGCTTGGACGATGCACGCATACATGCAAGTGCATGTCGCCACGCGTGGAGAGGCATGCCGCTACTGCAGTGCTCACGCCGAGAGAGTAAAACACAACAGCTCGGCCAGTCAACACGACAGCCGCGAGAGGCTGAGTGGTCCTCGCGTCTCGAGGAAGTGCGAGCAAGACACGATCCGGTTGTCCGTGCGCTGGTGGATGGAGGGTCGATTTCCTGCCATTATTCGGGGAGATGCCAAAAAGGCGTCCTGTCTAAAAACGCAGATGACCTGCGAAGTCCGACAATGTACTTGACTGTGCGAATTGCAATGGGGCCAGCTGGTTTTATCCTCGTTGGGCTTAAAAAACGCAGTCGGGCGTGGGTTGACCCCACTTTGCCATTTCCAGCCACCAACACAGCCAAGGATGCGACCTCGCCGCGTGAGCTCCGCTTCGAACCCGTGCTTGGTGTGCTGCCACAGCATCGACAACGTGACGCGGTTCCAGACCGTCGGCCAGTGCAACCACACGGGCTGCTGCTCGCTCTGCGTGCTGCGCATGCGCCAGATCCTCAAGAACAACCACTGCTCGCTCTGCAAGACCGAGATGGCCCGCGTGATTTGCGTCAGCGACGAGAATACGACGTTCGAGAGCTTCCAGGACTGGGGCGACAACATTGGCCCGACCCACGTCTTTGACGAAGCGTCGGCCATGTACTTTCTCAAGGACAACTACAAGGCCGTGGTCGCGATGCGGTCGTTCGCGTGCCCGATTCCCAAGTGCCCGGAGAAGGCCAAGTCGTTTGCCAACTATGGCGCGCTCAAGAACCATTTGAGCACCAAGCACGGCGGCCAGTCGTTTTGCGATATCTGCGTGGAGCACAACAACCTCTTCATCCAGGAGCAGACGCTCTTCTCGCGCGAGGGCTTGAAGAAGCACACGATGAAAGGCAACCCGGAGCAAGGGTTCCTTGGTCACCCCAAGTGTGATTTCTGCGGCCAAAAGTACTACTCCAACCAAGAGCTGTACGAACATCTCCGGAAGAACCACTTTGAGTGCGAGATCTGCCTCCATGGCCACGGCATTGAGAACCGGTACTACAAGGACTACAACGACCTCGAGAAGCACTTTCGCGCCGAGCACTTTCTCTGCGAAGAGCACTCGTGTCTTCAAAAGAAGTTTGTCGTCTTTAAAGACCACCTCCAGTTCCAGTCCCACATGGCCAACGAGCACCCGCACATTCGCACGAGCAAGAAGATCGACGTGAACTTCTCGGTGCGCCGCGGCGACCGCGAAGGCCGCGACGCGTACACGGGCTACGGCTTCCGCGAAGATGAGCTGCTCGCCGCCGGCATGCTTTCGTCGGCCGCCGGCGGCGAGGCTGGCATCACGGTCGCCGACTTTCCCGCGCTCTCGAATGCTGACGCAGCGTACAACATGACGTTTTGGCAAAGCCAGAACAATTTGCGCATGCCGCGGCAAGAGGACTTTCCCGAGCTGGCGCCGTCGGGGCCCCGCCCGCACCGGCCTACCGCAACGCGATCGCGCCGCCGCCGACGCGCGCGATGATGGCCCACCTCCATGGTGGTGACCAGTGGGACCACCCCGAGCTGCAGCAAGCGGCGAACGCGCTCGGCGCCAACAACCCGCTCATGCGCTTTGTCAAGCCCAAGAAGAACAAGAAGAAGAAGGCGACCCAGCTTCTCTCGGACCGCCTCGATGAAATCGACGACGAGGAAGAGAAGCCGCCGGCCCCGACCCCGGCCCCGGCCCCGGTGGCTGCCCCGGTCCCGACGCCAGAAGTCTCGGTCGTCGATTTGCTGCAGGAAGCGCTCGGCAGCGAGGCCAAGTTCATCCAGTTCCGCGAAGTGTGCAAGAAATTCCGGCAAAAGGACATTCCCGCCGTGTCGTTTTACAGCCTCGCGCGTGCCATGTTCCGACCCGATGATTTCGTGCGGCTCTTCCCCAAGCTCATGAGCCTTCTTCCGGACGAGAGTCAAGTCGCCGAGGTCATGGCGCTCCACGCAGGCAAGAAGGCAGCCGGAAAGGGCAAGAAGACCAAGCCCGAGGCACAGCCCGCAGTTGCCGTTGCGCCTGAGTCGGCGACGTCGGTGCCGCCTGCATCGGCGTCGCCGGTGCCCGCCTCGTCACCGACGCGTGCGGTTGCGCCGGTTGCGGTCCCCGCGCCGTCGCCGACGCGTGCCGCCGACCTCTTGGGTCGTCGTCAAGCCCCGCCCTCGCTCGGAGACGAGTCGTGGCCGGCGCCGCAGCCCGTGGCCGCCCCGGCGCCCGCGCCAAAGAAGACCCAAGGCAAGAAGCAAAAGGCGCCTGCTGCGGCCACTGGCTGGTCGAACGTCTTCCGGGAGGTCGGCGCCGCGGCCGTGCCCAAGAACCGCAACGGCCCGAAGATGAACCTCGTCGTCCACAACACGGATGGCTTTAGCGCCCGCAGCCGCAACACCAAGGCGGCCGCCGACGCTGGCAATTCGTGGAGTTCGAGTGCGAGCTGGAGCGACCCAGTGTCAGTCCCGACAGTCGCGACGGGGGCGACGCCGTCCAGCACCAAGATTCAAGTCGTGTCGCAAGAAGACGTCTATGGTATGGACGGCCTCGACATTACCCGCGCGCTGCAGCCCAACAAAGTGCCGAGCCGCACGAAGAGCGACTTTCCAGACCTGCCCAAGGCCGGTCCCGCGATTGGCGTGCAGCCCGTGCATTTGGGCCGCAACGGCAACGTCGGCGCGTCGGGGCAGTGGGGCGAGAAGGCGACGACGCCGGAACACAGTACCACCAGCAAGACGTCCAAGAAGAACAAGAAGAAGACCATGTCGCTGGCCGAAGTGGCCATGAAGTTTGGGTAATCACGTTATAGAGTATACTACAACCACAGGTATTAGTGACGTCGATGTCGCTTGGTGCGGACGGGCCTAAAGACATCGCTGACATTGCAGACAGAAGGGAGGCCGTACCGATCCAGAACAAGAACGCACGCGACAACGAGCGTGAGCATGCCAAGCACCTTGAGCACAATGATGACGCCGGCGAAAAACTACAAGGGTTAGGGTAGGTCGCCCCAGGCAACCAGATCCATGCGACCGCACCGGACTCGACGTGTCGTCGTCGTCATCGTAGCTTCCTTCGCACGTGATGGCCTCGCAGACGTGTTCGCGCACGTACTCTACAGGCACCACGTCAAATTCCATTCAACTCTTTCCAAAATCACCAAAAAGCACGTTGGACGCCGGCTCGGACCGCCGCATCGTGTTGACAGACGGAGCTTCGTACGGGAAGCATGCTTGAAAGAGTGTCTAGAACTTAACGTGAGCTTTTGTAAGACAGCTGAAAACGGACCTTGCACTGCTGGCGCAGACGAAACACCGTATTGTGGCTGCACTTGGCGTGCCGGGCCTGCGCGCGGGCCGACGGGCAGTTGAGAATACCGCAAAAGTCGGCTAAACATAAACCATGGTCGTCCTAGAGCAACCGTGGATGGTTCAAGGGACCATGTCATCTCATATAACCTCGGCCGTGTGCTTGGCGTCCATGTGCTGGTCCACGAAGGGCTCACCGCGGAATTGCTTGCCGCAGTACCCGCACTTCCAGCGGTTGGCGTGCACGCGGTACTTGTGTGCCTCCTAATAGTCGATGGTTCAGCGCTGCTATGGCCGGCAAAACACAGACGTGGTCCAAGAAGAGCACTTGGTCCGTCGCCAACGGACATGTCTCGGGCGGCGGCATCGTGTAGCTAAGCTGCTGCGCAGGCCGATAGACGTGCTAATGCATTGCATAAGCACAGGAGGTTTGCAGTTGAAAGATCACCTGCTCGAGAAGATGCATGGCCTCGCGGCTGAGCTCGCGCGAGCAGGCGCTAAGCATGCGCCATGATGAGAGGAGCATGACGAGGGAGGCTGTACGTCGAATGCTTGTTGGCAGTGGGAGCAGCACTGGCTGCAACGAGCATGCACAGAAGGCGCCACAGCACCATCTTCTACGAGATGCGTGAGGACGTGCCACATTGCGCGCCGGCCACCGTGTCGGCAAGGCGATTCCGGTTTTATGCGCTTTTATCCGGATGTCGAACGATTGAAGCTCCACAAGTGGTCTTGGATAGATCGATGGATCGATAGATGGATAGATAGACGACTACCTCGTTACTACAATCTAGTCTTTGAACCTAGGCATGTCGTCTTGCATGTCATCGAGATTCGTCGAACAAGAGTGCGCTGCGTGCACCTGCAGCGGTCATGCAGTCCTCGTTTGCCCTCGGTGGACACGGCAAGAGAAACCAAAATCATGTACTACATACTAGTACGTCTAGAGCGTTATGAGCAGCACATGAGTTGTTGTTGAAATGAGTAGGGGGGGTCAGATATCTACATGGAGAACACGAAGAGACTGTACTATTCCTGGTAGAAACGTTTGTGGTATACAACTTGGGGCAGGACGAGCCAACAAACGACTGGAAGCCGTCAAACATGACGGTCGAGTGTTCGCAGAGCGGCGTCTCACGCGTGCTGGGCGCTTTGCCGGTATAGTACGCCGACTAGAGACAGTATCTATGAGGCTTGATTGGAGTCGTGGCGACGCGCACCGGCTGAGCTTTGATGAGATTCGCATGGGCGTCAGAGCAAGCAAAGAGCTTCTGGTTGCCTTGGTAGCCCCACGACATGGCAACGTGCACGTGTGTGCTACCGCAGCCAGGACACGCGACACCGGCGCTCGCGTAGGGTTCGGGCAAGTGATTGGAGTCGACGGCCTCGGGGGACCGCAGGAGAGACTCCTAGGCATGTCATCTGTATGACCACGTCGACTAAGAGGAGACTTTACTGGAAGCGAGCGAAGGAGCTCCATGTGCCCAGCCATTTCGCAGGGCATGTTTGCTTTAGGGTCGGTGGACAAACCAGGGCTTTCTGACCTACCTGGATTTTGTTTGCAATGACGAGGCAGTTTCTCAAGCAAGCTGCAGCCCATTGCCCGAATGCACTTTGCGAAAAGCTAGAAGTTTACATACAATGTGTAGCTCAGGGACTGTTCAACAGCAAATGTATTGCGCCGAGTTTAGACGCACCGCCACCCGCATGCAGCATCCATCCTATACTCTTACATAGCGATGGAGGCGCTCACCTGCACAAACGTCAACCAAAAGATCGCTTCAGAAGACCTCGATCCCTTTCGTCTATTGCAGCTGCCACGAGGTAGAACGCTGGATCCAAAACAGAGTTTGATCGAATCTTGGTAAATTTCAACAAATCGCGATATTCCGTTGAAAAAGCGGCCCTAGCTTCTTTCTATTACCATACAGAAACACAGTATAAATAAAAAATGGTATTAAATTTCTCGCCCACTTGCGCAGAGGTTTCAACAAGGTTGTGATGGGCCGACGTGTGCTCGTGGCCGCCGTCGCCGGCGCAGCCCTCGCCGCGCAAAGCAGCGAGCCGACCATGAGCTATGGCTTTAGCGCCTGCGTCAACAACAAGCGGACGCTCTACTACTACACGCCGACGGCGCTCACGTGCCCGGCGAATGGCAGCAGCACGCCCTTCACGCTCAACCCACGTACGTGCGCAACATGTCACCGTGGATCACGCACGCTTCTCTAGCGGTGCACAATCTCGACTGCACGGTACCATGCGGGCGTGGCGCTGTCCTCGGGGCCAAGTAGGCTGCATCATGTCCTTGTCCTGCCATAGTCACGCTGACGTGTCCTAGCTTTTCAGGGCCCGTGCCTGTCTCGGGCTGCGAGCCTTGCGCGAATGGCTCGTACTCGCTCGGCGGCGGAAACCTCTACAGCGCAGCGACGGGCGCGTGGCAGACGCCGCTCGCGCCAGAGTTCTTCACAGAGTGTTTGACGCGCGACATCTTCTCTGGCGACTGGGTCAACAACTGCAACCCGTGGGTCGCCGATGTCTCTGGCGCGTACGTGCACTCGGGCAACAACTCGGACATCCTGGAGCAGTACTCGGCGACCGTGCTCTACTCGATTCTGCGGCTCGGCCTCTCGTTTGTGAAGAACGGGTCGGTCACGTTCCAGTACAAAGTGCGTTCCAACCTCACTCTGTTCTCGACGATCGAGTGGTCTATTAGGTGGATGCCGAGGCGCCGTACGACGGCCTTGTCTTCACGCTTGACGGCGACACGCGTCTCTCGCTCGTCTCGACGACCGGCGACTGGGTCGAGAAGACCTTTGCTGTGTCGGCCGGCGCCCATACGCTCACGTGGCAGTTTACAAAAGACTACAACGGCGACTCGGGCAAGGACAAGGCGATGCTTCGCGTGGTCGAAGTTCTCGGCACGGCGTACGAGACCAACTATGCTACAAAGTGGTGTCCTATATATCCCAACTAGGTACGCTGACACGTCGTGCCACCCGTGCAGCGGTCTCATGACGCGCCGCAGCAGCGCCCAGTGCCGCATCTGCGACACCAACCAGTATGCGTCGACGACAACGTACGGCATTTGTTTGTTTCACCTCGAGTATCAACTATCTTTCAAATTCGCATGTGTAGCAATGGCACGTTTGCTTGCATGCCGTGCCCACGCAACACGTATGCGCGGGCGGGCTCCATTGGCGTCGGCGCGTGCATGGCGAGTCGGCCCTGTGCACTGGCCGATGTCGCGGCTGTCTACACCCCGTGCGTGCACAACCTTCGAAATGTCACGCGCTCGTGGGCGGTGCCGATGACATGCAACGCGTCCCTGCCCGACGCGATCGCGCTGCCGGCCAGCAACGTCAACATGGACTGCGGCAGCTGCTCGTCGGGCTACTACACAGACGACAGTAGACCATATCTTTTTCTGCCTTTTGGAGACTTAGCATTCCATAGCTGGCGTCTGCATGACGTGTCCGGATGGCAAGGTCATCGACCCCAACGGCACGCTCGTCGAAGTCAACGGATCGGCGTCGGCCAGCAACACCATGTGCACGACGTGCGGTATCGGGATGGTGGCGGTGCGCAGTCTGTCCTTTGGCGGCGCGACCCGCCGGCTCTGGGGCGCGTGGCCAAGCGTCGTCAACAACCAAACCGCCATCGCAAACGGGTGGAAGCTCACGGAGCTCGGGATCACACGCGACTTGTCGCCAAGTGCGCAGCCTTGGACGGGCACGTACCCGCTGGACTTTGTGGTGCGTTTTTCTCGTTTTTGCGCACGTATAGCGCTCATGGGATGGACGTAGACGTCGCAAGTGCACAATGGGACGCTCAGCCTCAACTATACGCTGAGCAACCTTCCAAGCGATCCGCTCATCGGTCGCGCGTGGCTAGAGCTCTTTATCAACAGAGACCCGACCGTGCTCTCGCATGCCTCGATGAACGGCAGCTTCTTTGTCCAAGTGCCCATTCCGCTGCGGCTCGATGGCAACAGCACGCTTGTTGTGTCAGTTGTCTGGCGCACAAGCAACGCGGCCGTTTCCAAGGTGGCGACCATGACGATCGGGGCGATCGGGATTTCGGGCACGGCGACGGGCGGCGCCGCGCTCTGCGACGCGTGTCCGCTCGGCTACGGACCGAATGCCAACCAGTCATTCTGTGTGCCATGTCCCTCGGGCACCTACTCGCAAGTCTATGGTCATTTTTCATCGTCTTTTGGGCATGACATTCACGGCCCATGTCTAGCCAACGGCTCGGTGACCTGTGAGCCCTGTCCGCACAACACCTACTCAAACGGTCAAGCCGCCCGCTGCCTCCCATGCGGGACCAACACGTACAGGTACCCGCCACGGTGATTGACATGCAGCAAGTATTCAGTCCGACGTGTGTAGCGGACCAGGCTCGACGGTGTGCGTCGCGCCGGCGAATTTAGTCGACGAGGCGAACAACATTACGTACAACCTCGGGAATCTGCAGCGCCTTGTCGCGCCCGACGACAACACGACCGAGCCGTTCATTACAAACGCGACGGTCGCGCTGAGCACGCAGCTGTCGATTGATCCGTCGCACAGCGTTATGCTTGGTGTCTTTCGACCCGTCTCGCCGCAGTTCAACAAACAGTCGACGCTCGTTGTCTCGTCCGTCTTGGCCAACTCGTACAACCAAGTGCTCGTGGGGTCGCCCCAAGCGTACGTCGTCGGACTCACCATCACCAACACGAACGAAGCGGGCGGTACCTTTCTCTACAACACGCCAAACATGGGCCTCGTGCAATGCACCGTGCCATCGGTTCGTCCTCGCATCTCTCTTTTTTCTTATGGCCAAGTAGAAGTACAATGTGGTCAACGGCGGCGGCAAAATGGACCTCTCGATCCTGCCAAAGGGCGGCGGCGTTCGCGCCGTGTACTCGCACGGCTCGCTCTGTGTAACAGACGATGCAACTGCGACCTACTATGCGACCACCATCGACTATGTGTGCAGTCCCACTGGTAGTACGCGCTTACCGTACTGGCTCATTGACCGATAAGTAGCGAGCGCAACGACGGTCCCGGTGCTCGTCAACTCGACTGCGTGCTCGTCGTATGCGACGTGGAAGTCACCCGCGGCGTGCCCTCTCTGCACCACGACGCTCTTCACGTTAAGCTGCGAGACTGATTTGTCACTGACAATGATGGGTGTGTAGGCAGTCGCGATCGCAGTGCTCTGGCGGCTCCCAAGTCGTCACATCGACGTCGGCGTTCGCCTGCGTCGGTGGCGAGGCACCGCCAACAACAGCGATCCAGACCTGCTCGGACATCGTCTTGGACAAGGACACGGCCGCGATGGCCGCTGGTGTCGTGCTGCTCGTTATCTTCCTCGTCGTCGGTCTTCTTGTCGGTCTCGTCATCGTCTGGCGCCGCTACAAACACGTACGCCATGATATATATGTTAGAAGATATTGATGCGATTTCGGATGCTTTTTCTCTAGACGATGCAAGAGTTTCTGTATCTCAAGGGTCAAATGAAGTCGGGGCTACTGGACGGCGGCAGTTCGCGGTCGTCGGACGGCACCTTTGAGTTTGCATCGCGGGACACTGCAGTCGGATCACCACCAAGTCACTTGCAAGCAGCCCGCGACGAAGAGAACGACGTTGAGGAGGAAATCGATCTCGGCCCCAAGCCAAAGCCTGCGACCACGGTGACCATGTAGTAGTTGCTATGGTGTTATGCACGACGACCTTTGATTTCTCGTTGGCGTTTTGTGAACCCGACGGGGTATCCCATGTCGCGGTTCCATCGTCGGGTGCGGGTGCTGCTTCTGCAAGCGCCATCAAGAAGAAACCAGAATAACCTAACCCCGCCTTTTCGATCCTTCAGTAGCAAGTAATTTTGTCTTCTCTAAGATCGGTTGTACACTGAGACGCGTTGTCGCGGCACCTGACGCTTGTACCGGCGTTCTTGTACGCGCCGCTGCTTCTGCACAGAGCCGGACGCGACTGTCGCCGCCTTAACCTTAATGCGATTTCATTTGTAAGCAGCAACGCAAGGTGGAGCTCTGCGTATAATCTATCGATTGGAAACGACACTCGATTGAGTCGACTTGAATGGTGTACGAGCTCCAACGAGTCTGCGATCACCGCCAACTCGTGGCCATTTTATGAATAAAAAGTGTGCGCGGAAGAATGTTTTTGAGGCGTGGTCGAAGCGGGGCTCGAAGTGGCTCCTTCTACGCGTTGCCTTGCAAGTGCTTGGCGATGGTGAGAATGTCGCGCACGACACCCGTCGCACTCGCGCTGCCGCCCGTGCCGCTGCCCGTCAGCGTCAGCGGTCGGTACTAGTGGCGATCCGTTCAAACAGTGTTTTGAAATCGAGTCTGACGTACGCTGTACTCGACGGTCGTAAAGCCGACCGAGATTTCATCTTTTTGGGTTCGAAACGCGGGGTGTGCTTCGTCGACGACCTGCGGCTCCACGGACGCACGCACGGTTCCGAGTGCATCGAGCTCGACCGCCGCCACGTAGCGCACGCGCTTGCCTACACGCGTCGTCGTAAAACACTGTATCGTACAGCGGTTTGGACAACCATCGCGGCGCGCGGGGTCGACGAACGTGGCTGCAAACGTCGCATCGTACGTCTGCAGAACCGAGATGAGGCGGCCAATCTCGACCGTGTTTTGCTCCCAGCGCACTTGATCCAGAATCTCAGCCGGAACGAACGGTGTCACCTAGCGCACCCAATACTGGTACAGTGGACGGTTCCAGTATTTGCACACAGCGAACCGCAATGTGGTCCAGGTCCAGCTGTACGCCCAGCGCGCGGGCAAAGAGCTTGATTTTTTGCTGCATATCGGCACCACTGAGATCCACAAGCGGATTGGCCTCCATGTAGCCCTTGTCCCATGCACTCTGGACGGCCGTCGACAAGGCATGACCTTGCATGACCTGCTTTCCATAGAGATCCACTGTTTCAAAGCACTGGGTGTACCTGGTCGGCAATGTATCCAAGGCAGCCGCTGAGCGCGGCATCGACTCGCTGCAGCTGGTCGCCCGTTTGGAGCAGATTCGCCAGCGTATCGAGCACTGGTAAGCTCGCACCGAGCGCCGCGTTGTACAAAAAGAAGCACGGACTCGGGTTCAAGCGCTTGGGCGCTGCGATGTTGAGCGACGTTGTCGCTGGCAGCGCGTTGGCCGAGACCGAGTTGGACACGACGACGTGGATCTCGTTGGCAAGGCACTGGGCGTAGAGTTCACCATTGTCGGACCAGCCCGAGCAGTCGACTAGGATCGGGCACGACAGGTCCTAGCGTTATTATGTTCACGCCTTTGATACACTGAGTCGTCTGTACTCGCAATGCGGCCAAGTCAGCCGCAGACGGCAGCGCATGCGCCGCCGCGCCAGAGCTGTGGTGGTACGACGGCGCACTGCCCAATACCGGCGGCGTCATGCACGACCCAATCGTCGCACGCATGTCGGCGGTCGCAAGGCCTCTCGCGTTGAACTGGAAGCCCGCGCAGCGGGAGCCAAAGCCCACGATATGGAACGCCACGTTGTGGCGCTGGCGGTACGTCTCGGCTTGCTCCTCGAGCTTGTCGAGCACGGCGAGCGAGATGCGGTTGCAGCCAAGCAATACGATGCTCACGACCATGGTTGAGACGTTGAACGCGTCGTGCACCCGCCGCACCGCCAGCTAAAACCCATCTGCATGCAGCGCATGATGTTGTAAATGAAAAGAGGTACCTTCGTCTGCGCGCCTTGAATGATGCAACTCAGCGACCGCGAGCTCGTGCCTTGGCCGACGGCCAGCACATCAACGCCGGCCTAATGGTTGAAAATCATCCACAATTCAAAACCTAGCCCTATCTGGTACCGAAGCGAGGGCCGAGAACATTTTAGCACCGTTCGTCGACGCTTTGTTAAGCTTCTCGCCGACGATCGAGAGCATGGTCACGGGGCTTTCGACGTTGAGCGCGTCGACTTCGTTGCGCTCGAGCTCGAGCTTGAGCTCGTCGGCGATGGCGCGTCGGGAGAGCTCCTCCTGTGCCGCTGGCACAACAATCGAAATCGACTGACCGTGGGCAGCGCGAATCGACAGCCAAATGCTCACGCGGTGCTGCTCGAGGCACTGCACGACACGGGCACCGACGTTGGTGTAGCCCAGCTCGGACCGGTCGCCTTCCTGCAGAATGCGCGTTCGCACCTAATCGTTTGACGGATGAGAAACGATGCTACATAACGGATGGCTGACCTCGATGAGCGAGAGATTTTCAAGCGACGTGGTGCACGTGACTGCCTTGTCGATTGTCGAGAGGCCGCTAATGTACGTGCCGCCGCCATGCGGGTCCATCGTGTTGCGAATGAGCATCGTGACCCCTACACAGGATCGAATTTCAGAATTTCCAGACGTTTTCCGATGCTGTTTTCAAAAGATTCGCCACCAGATTTGATGAGCGGCAGCATTGTGCGTGTATGAAACATGCGCGTGCCGTAAATCGCAAGCTCGAGGGCCTCGTGGTGGCTCAAGTGGCCCACGGACGTTGCGCTCTGCACGATGCGCGGGTCGGCCGTCATGACGCCGGAAATGTCCGTGTTGATGACCACATAGTCTGCCTAGTCGCGACAAACGTTACAGGTTCGCTAGGGCGAGAGGCTACCTGCAGCGACGCGCCAATGATCGTCGCCGTGTAGTCCGAGCCGTTCCGACCCAGCGTCGTCGTGCGGCCGCAGGTCGACTGGCCAATAAAGCCCGTTATGACGGGAAGACGGTCGCCCCACGTAGTTGCAAGCGCGAGCAGCTTGGTCTTGGACGCCTCAAAGTCGACGGCCGCGCTGCCAAAGGTAGCGTCGGTAGTCACCCACGTCCGAGCATCCACAAAGCAGCAGGGACACCGTTCGCCGTCAACAGTCGCTAGCAGACATGATGTGTGTTGTTGATGCTGCATCCTACAACACACACTGTACCGCAACGATTGTGGCCGAAATGCGCTCGCCAAACGACAAGATCGTGTCGAGCGCCGCTTGCGTCTTCTCGCGCAAGAGGCTCATGCCCAGCAACAGCTGTCGCAGAGGCACGTGGAACGCGATGATTTCGTCCGTCATGTCGGCAAACGATGCGTGGCCGTCGCCCAAGATGCGCGTCTGCGTCACGTTGGCGTTCTGCACCGTGATGGCTTGGACGCGGTCGATGAGAAGGAGCGCAGCGTCAATGTTGCCAGCCGCCGCGAGCGCCGCCGCGTCGAGCAGCAAGTCCGTGTTCTTGGCCATGGCCGACACCACGACCGCGATCACGCGACGGCGCTCGGCCTTGACCAATGACACGAGCTGGAACAAGCGATCTGGCGACCCTACCGAGGTGCCACCAAACTTGTAGACGTTCCGAGCGCCGCGCGCGTGGTCGAGGGCTGGCGAAGCGAGGTCCAGCGGCGGCAGCGCGTCGGCCGACGGTGGCCAAGGCATCGCGATTGACGCGGACGGCGACGTGAACCCAAACATCTTATTGCGTTGTTGTTCCTATGAGATCTGAGCTTGAAGTTGCCATGCATGCGAATGTGCAAACTCGCGTATCTTGGTGCGCGCCAACGCCTTTTTATTCATAGGTATATATTAATCAAGTGCGAGAGAGATAACGAAAAAAATAGCCGTTCCCCATTTTCATTTCGGACAAAACGATGCGTCAAAGTAGGACTAGGATCCTATTTAGGATAGAAAGGCCTCGCATCGATCAGCAGCCCGACGACCCGCACACAGACTTCACTACCAGGCTACACTACTGTACACTTGTCCTCGCAAGACTGTAGCGATGTACAGTATTTCACGGCGAGAGCATCTAGATTGAACAATGCTCTTCTCGAACCAAACGCAAGTCAACGCGGCAGAGCGATGAGGGCAACTGCGGTAGAGGTCCCAAGTGGTAGGGTGCATACGATGCCAAGCTTGAAGCGTGCGAGCTAATAAAGCCGGCACGTGCTCCCATGCAAGCTTTTGTTATCGAGGCAACGATGTTCCCGATGGCTCACTAGCTGCAGGCCGCGGTTCTAGTCCGCCAACGACCGGGATATACTCTGGTCACGCCACGACGCTCCGAATGGCGCAAATGCAAGCGCACAGCGCAAAGTTGCAGCGCGCAATGGACAGGGATACGACCAGCACCGTAAAGCCGACGTACAACAGCTCCTACAGGCGGTTAACGTGCGTGTGCAGGTCGAGACGAGCGCCCGGATGCTTGCGATGCAGCAGCGAGAGCAGCACCTTTTAGATCTTTTGCGCCAGATCAACGATTCAAAGGTCGAGCCCACGGTCAAGATCGCCACATTTGATGCGACAGTGTGCACCGCGAGTGATTTGATGCTTACGATCGAGATCATCGCAGAAACCTTCTCGCCGTTTCCGTCGTCCAAGCTCTTGGTGCTCTACCGGTCGCTCGAGCGACGCGAGTTGTCCTGGGTCACCCGACGCATGACCCACCACGACGAGGCGCCGGCCAATTTACACCAAGCCCTCTTCGTGCTCGGTCCTTTTCTGCGAGACGCCATCGACAGGTGCAGAAAATGTCGTCGTTATTAAAAAAAGTAAACAAGATGATGGGTTAGGCCAAGTGAAAGGCAGCGCCGTAGCCGGACGGTGTCTCGGCCTTGGGCGGTCGCACGACGTGGACCTCGAACCCGCAGTCCTCGATCGCACTGCAGAGCGCTTTGGTCGTCGCCGTGCCCGAGACGTACGCGCACTTTTCGGTAAAGCCAATAAAGACACGGTGCACGCCCGGAACGTTCTCGAGCGCGTTCTGGACCGTGTTGCCGCAGTTCTGCATGCACATCATGCCTCCGATCGAGAGCACGGTGAGCGAGTCCGTGTCGTCGAAGCGCCACGCAGCGGGCACCATGCCGGACGACTTGCCGCTGAGCGTCTTGTCGCTTTTAAAGAGCGCAAAGCCAACGCCAAAGCCCAAAATTAAAGCGAGAAAGAGGCCTGTGTCGTAGATCATGACGACGAGCATGGCGAAATACGCCAGCGTCATTTGCACCATGTAGAGCAGCGTCAGCACGAGTTTGCGGCTGCGCTTGCCCAGACTGCTGTAGCGGCTACAGCGGAGTATTCAAGTGTCAACCTCTCGAAAGGGTAAGGTATTGCACCTGCTTCGGGCCTTGAGGAAGGCCATGCGCACCGCCTCGCGGGTGTGGACGAGGTACTCGTTGGCGAGCGGGAGGAAAAAGATGCCCGTGAAGGCCAGCGCGTACTTGAACGGCGTGTCGAGCACCCACGACTGGAAGAAGAGCTTGACGCACGTGCCATGGACCGTCGATTGAAACCCCGAGAGCATGACCGACGCGCCCGTGCAAAACGGCGCGGCCGGCACGACGTCGGCTGGTAACTGGAACGCGTCCGGGCAGGGGCGCCCGCCGCACATGACGTTCTGCACGCCAAAGTACTAGACTCACATGAGCACATACAGGTAGAGAGACCAAGGACGCACAGGCTGCGACGGAAGGGCCGCGGCGAACGCCGACTTGGTTGTCTCCGAGGCAAAGTACAGCTTCTGGCCGCGGGCAAGGCAGAGAAAGCGAGCATTGTCGCTGGTAATGGCGGCGCCCGAGACCGGGTCGAGAAGCGTCGTGTTGCTGTTGCAGTCGGCGCAGCCCGCCACGCACTGCGTCGCGTCGGTCGCCACGTAGTCGCTCTAGTATGCGATGAGCTCGCATGTATCGTAGTGCAGTACGTACCATGGCGGCGCCGAGGAGCGCAGGGTGCGAGAAGGCGTGGATGCCTGCTGCAAAGTTGTCGCCGGTTGTCATCGAGCACGTGAAGAGTCTTTGGCCGTGCTTCATCTCGACGTACCAGGCGTCCTCGGCGTTCATGTTGCAGATGGGGCAGTGCTTGCCGTTGCCCATGGGCATGTGGTCCATGCCATGCATATCGCCCATGTCGTGCATGTGGCCCACGGCCAGCGCGACCAGCGCGAGGACGATGGCGACGACTGCTCGTGCTTGCTGCATGCGAACCCTCGAATGATCGCCCGGGAGGTTTCCGGTGCATAGACTCGGAATTATTTCAGCCAATCAGAAGCCGAGATACGCGAGTGTAATCACTTGCGCATAAAATGAGGTGCCCAAAAGGCAACAAGCCGCAGAGTAGCTGGCCATATTCGAAAGCAGCAGCAATCGAATGGCGTGGATCGAGCTGCCATGGCGAGCTGCCGACATGACTTCCTTTCCGGTATTGTAGGACAGGCGGAACGACCTTTATACGATGTTTGATGGAAGAATATATTTTGAATTTAATTTGAACCAAAACCAATAGCAGCAACAGGCTCGCTGCACATGCTAGCCTTGGTGACCTCTACAAAGGTCGAATTCGTGGCGCCTTCAGCGTCGTCGCATCACTGCGTCGAGCTTGTTCGGAACGAAGAAAGTCTGGCTTGTGTCCATTCCAGAATACCGGTACAGTAGTATTCCAGAATACACTGAAATCGTTTTCGCACCAGACTACAAACGCAAAAGCATGGAGGCCGTAGCGCTCAGATCTGATTGGGACGCAGTATGTCTGGTAAATAGCCACCCGCTTCTCGCGCTATGGCCGCCCGACGACCGACGAAATACGAAATGCACCCAGTGGTCGCTCCTCGGCAATAGTTGAACGCGCGTCAATTGTTGACTGGGACAGCCGACCCGTCAACAATTGCGTTATCGGGATACGCTAGAAAGGGCAAAGTTGTCGTCGCGTCGCAAGGGCTGTTGACACAATGTCTGTCGCCATGGCCAAGCGACTTGCTAGCTTTGTGCTCATGGTGCTCTTGATCTCCATGTGTGCGGCGCATCAAATGCTCGAAGAGACGTACTGCCCGCTCTGCAACATGGTGGTCATACCCGAACTCAACCAGACGTGGCAGGGCGACCAAGCCATTTACGGCTGCGAAATGGCTGGGCACATGGAGCTCCTTCGCACGCTTCCAGTATTTTATCCTCTTGGTCAGTAAGGCCATACAGATGACATGCCTAGGAGTCTCTCCTGCGGTCCCCCGAGACCGTCGACTCCAATCACTTGCCCGAACCCTACGCGAGCGCCGGTGTCGCGTGTCCTGTCTGCGGTAGCACACACGTGCACGTTGCCATGTCGTGGGGCTACCAAGGCAACCAAAAGCTCTTTGCTTGCTCTGACGCCCATGCGAATCTCATCAAAGCTCAGCCGGTGCGCGTCGCCACGACTCCAATCAAGCCTCATTGATACTGTCGCTAGTCGGTGTACTATACCGGCAAAGCGCCCAGCACGCGTGAGACGCCGCTCTGCCAACACTCGACCGTCATGTTTGACGGCTTCCAGTCGTTTGTTGGCTCGTCCTGCCCCAAGTTGTTTCTCCCGACGTGGGTTCTCTCGAGCGAGCGTACGTACGCACTCGGCTTTGCCCTTGTCGTGCTCATTGGCATTCTCGTCGAGTGGCTGGGCGAGCTTCGCGAAGACGTGGAGGAGGTGTCTTCTTGGTCGACGACAATCATTGACCACATTGCATTAGCGTATGCTGCAACATTATGCCGCGTACGAGGCCTGTCACCAAGCCACACCCAGTCTTCCGACACTCAAGGTATGCTTTCAAACGATGAACGGTCGACTGCACACTGGACGGATAGCGACGGCCGACACCGCCGGTTCGATTACCGCTCTCGTGTAAAGTCGTTTTGAGTGTGCTCTACATGCTGGCGCTGACGCTCGGGTACCTACTCATGCTCGTCGCGATGCTGTACGAGACGGGCCTCTTTGTGGCTGCAATCCTCGGTCTCGGCGCAGGCTTTTACCTCTTTAAAGACACGGAGCAAGCTGAGATGTCGGGCAATATCGATCCGTGCTGCTCGACGTGACGCCGCGTACTAACTTAAAATGCTCACCATAGATTGCTACCTTTGATTGGCTGCAGGCAAATCGCATACAAGACGTTTCTGTCCATTGTGTCAACTGAATTGTATCAAGATATCAAGCTGTATCAAACATCTAGCTGCTCTTGGTCAGCGACTTTTGCAAGTACTTGCGGTTTGCATACGCAAACGCGCCCGTCAAGGTGAGAACGGCGCAAAAGAGGAAGACGATCATGCTCCGCGGGTACATGGGCGCGTCCTGCGCCTCACGGAGATTGCCGGGCTGCAGCAGCACACCTGCTGGGGCCTTTGGTCGTGCTGCCTCCTCATCGGCTTGCTCGGCTTCTTTTTTGGCCTTTCGAGCGGCTGCTTCCTCTCGCTGCTTGCGGCCTGTCGAGATGTAGCACGTCTTGCCTTCGTAGCCCACGTCGCAGACACAAGCGCCGTTGACGCAGTCGCCGTGCTTGCTGCAGTCAACGCGGCGTGAACAGAGAAGCGCATCCAGCACTTGGCTCGGCTCGTTCGCAGCGTGGGTCGCGAACGAAGTCAAGTAGGCGGCAAAGGTGTTGTCGTCAGCGCTCAAGCCGCCCGAGACAAAGCTGTCGTACGTTTTGTCCGCTGGGTACACGAGGTTGAACTTGCCGCGGCGCGCGTGTTCGGTGGCCGCTTCGAACAGCGTTTGCGCCTCGCGCTTGCTCAGCCATTGGTCGCAGCTCCAGCAGCCCATGTCCCATAGCTGCGACGCTTTGTCCTTGCATCGGTCGGCACAACTGGCGGCGTCGAGCTAGACAGAGCGCATGTTCATGGCACGGAAACCATCGGTCGAGAGTTCGATACCTGAGGTGGACTTCTCTTGTCGGTTGGCGACTGCACGCCGACCATGTGCAAGAGGTCGTGCACAATCCCGTCCTTCATCGCAGCGTCTGTTCCGGAGTCAAAAAACTTGGGCGCGAGGTTCGGCGACTGGTTGACCTCCATGAGCCATGGCTTGCCGTTGTCCTCGACCATAAAGTCGAACCGGTACATTTCGAAAAAGTTGCTCCCGATGTTGTCTTGCGTCTGGCGGTGCTGGCGGCGGTACGTGCGCTCAGCGTCGATAAAGTGGGCGCGGTTGCCGGCAATGATCTTGATGACGTCGCCGTAGATCTCACGCTCAAACTTGTCAGCGTCCAAGCCGATGGCGTCGAGGTGCTTCTTCAAGACGGCAAAATGGCTCGTGCCTTCACGTGTTTTCGACGGCAGCTCAGTGTAAAAATCGCGCAGCGCCGGCATTTCCCAGGGCGGGAGGTACTCGTCGACGACGTACGACTCGAGGTCGGCGGCGTTGTCGAGCGACACAGGGTACGGAAGCTTGCACATGTAGATGCGGAGCGGGTCGATTGACGTCACGGCCACGTAAAGGCCAATGTCAAACTTGTGGCCCGAGATGAGCAGCGGCTCAATGCACTGCGCGACCATGTCGTTCGTGTGCATGTGCTCGCCGAGCTCCTCCATGCCGCTAAAGAAGCGCACGCCGCGATGCGCCTGGCTCTTTAACAACCAGCGGCGGTTGTACAGCGGGTCATTCGGCTTGGTTGCGAGATGCGAGTCGTCGCGCCGGGCGCGGAACGCCGCCGAGAACTCGTCGACGTCCTGCGGCAGTCGGTACTGCGCTGGAATAAAGTTGAAGTCGAACTTGCCGTGCTCGGCCTGCAGCCGCTGCTGTGTCTCGTACACGTGGCCTTTCGAGACGAGCACAAAGCTGCCCGGGAGGTGGTTCACCTTGTGGCGGCGCGTGAGCGGCCCAATGGCGCCCAGCTGCACGTACTCGTAGCTCCAGATCAAGTCGACGTCGTCCGTGTACTTGGCGGCGTGCCACGAGTCGGCGTCCTCGCCGTTGTACTCGGTGATGCCGAGCGCGTCAAAGGCCTGGAGCAGCGGCCTGAGGTGGAAGCGCGCGGTCTCTGGCAAGAGGAAGGTCTTGGCTTTGCGGTCGCCAGCGACGACCGCTGCGACCAATAGCGCCAACCAGAAGAACGAGCGCATGGCTAAGAAGCGTCCGATCGGCAACTCCCGTATCTTCCCACCTTGCACTCGTGTGAATTTCGAAGGATTTGAAAGATCGATTTTTTAGAAAGGCAACATGGCTACATGCACGCAACCTTCACCGCCTCGACGATCGAAGCTCGCGGGAGCGCCAGACGCGCTGCTACTCAGGGCCCCAATGCATCGCGTAGCTTGTGTTGACACGAGCAAACCTCCAACGCACCACTGCACTCAGCAGAATGGACGTGTGTCGCTCCACCAAAAGCGAGGAACAGAGCAACGCTGCCACTCTGACTGCCACTACGAGGTGACGATAGCATGGCGGTGGACTCTAACATTGAACAAGCAACACCGCTAGCTGGGTGATAGGTCGTGCATCACGCTTGGGCACAGCAGACCCCATGGACGGGACGTCAAAAGTTGCGTGTGTCTAGTGTGCGCGACGCCGTATCCGAACACGTGGTGCACTTTACCTGGCGCATCCGTGCTGCGATGGCCGTTGTCCGGGGCCTTCTCACGTGGCTAAGTTGCTGCCTCGTGCTGCTTCCGGGCGCCTCTGCACAGGACGCCAAGCGACCCAACAAGGTGGCGCTCCTGCCCGACGCCGACGTTGACGCCAGCGCGCCCATCCGTCGGGCGCTGTACCTGCATGGCATTAGCGAGCTGCAGCTCGACGCGCCGTCGTGGACGGCGGCAGCCGATACGGCCATGTACGATCTGCTCTGGTCGAACGAGGCGCCTCCTTCCAACGCCCTCGGAGAGCTCGCGCCGCGCCACCGAATCAATCATTTGGACGGCGCCGAGGTCTTGTCCACGAAGCTCCACCGCTCGCACGCGGCGCTGCAGCGGCAATTCGGAGCCTTTGACTTTGGCTTTGTCGCGCCCGCGTTCCGCCTTCCGCAGGACAAGCCAGCGCTTCTCCAAGCAATCCGTGACGTCCTCAACACACCGCTGGTGGCGGAGAAGGCCAGCGTCGACGCTGCGTACAATCGTCGCTGGCTCGTGCACGACAGCGGCCGCACGTCGCTCCTCAAAGGTCTGCCGCAGGTGCAACGCGACGACGTCCCTCCGAACGCGGTTGTGACCAAGTACATTGAGCCGCTGCTCATCTCGGGCCGCAAGTTTGACCTGCGCTTCTTCGTGCTCATTGCATCGCTCGATCCGTTGCGTGTGTACGTTTACGACAATGCGCTTCTTCGCTTCTGCACGCAGCCGTACCCGGTAAACCTTGACGCGAGTGCCGACGTCGCCTCGTACATCGTCGACGACAACGACTACCTTCCGCCGTGGGAGCTGCCCGACTTGAGAGACTACTATACGGAGCTGCCGTCGTCGGCCACCGAGGGCAGCAACCACTGGCGTGTCTTGAAAGCGTACCTTCGTGATCACAACATCGACGTCGATCGCTTCCACAGAGAGACGCTCAGCGCGATGACAAAGCTGATTGCAGGGCGGCGCCAGATCCTCCTCGACGCGGCGACGACCAGCGGTGGGTTTGAGCTCCTCGGTTTTGTGTTTAGCATCCAAGACGACGGCCAGCCTTTTCTGGACCGCGTCGAGCGATCGCCGTCGCTCGTGCCCCGGCAAGTGTTTGCGACCGGCGCCGAGACCGGGTTGCTCAACAACGTAGCCGCCGACGTCATCCAGCTTGTCGGTGTCCGTGCGCCGAACCAACCCGACCTCGAGGAGGCCACTCTACTAGGCTCGCCGGCGTACTGCAAGAGCAAGTGCCGCGACCAGCTCGCAACGTGGGACATGACGTGCTGGCGGTGCCCCGGCTGGTTCTCGCCGCCCGTCGCCGCACAGCTTCTCGGTGGCGCGACCGAGTACAGCCGACGCGGCCAATTCCAGCTACTCTTCCCGAGCGTCCAAAAGACAGAAGCCAAGTTTCTCCAAGGCGGGCTCTCGATCCATGACGAAGCCTTCCACGCTTACATTGCCTCGTTTGCTACCGCGGCGGCGGGCGGCGTTGTTGACCCGGCTGTGCTCTGCGTCAACCGCGATCAGTGCAGCGGCCACGGTGACTGTATCAACGGCCGATGCCGCTGCGATCTTGGGTTTGAGGGTTTTACGTGCTACATCCCGCGGGATCCCAACTTGCCAGCATGGACAGACGCACCGGGACATGCCGTCGCCAACTTGCGAGCCGCCGGGTCACCGGCACCGAATCGCCCGTCGTTTCCGCTCGTGGCGCTGGGTCTTGGCGTGGTCTGCTTTGGTCTCTACCAAGTCGCGCTAAAGTACATCGTGGTGGCGCAGGCAGAAAAAGACAATTAGAGCACTTTCAACAAATAAGTTGAATTATTGTGGCCCCTTGTCGAGTAGTATCAGTTGTTCAAGAGACACAACACTGCCGCGCTTGTCGGCTGCTGCTCGTTGCTTGAAGTCGTGGCGACATGAGAGCGTACTCGCACAAGCTTGCAGCGGCCCACCACAAGCCAGCATCTTGCTCCAGTGGACCCTAACAGCGCAGCGACGGGCTCAGGCGATATTCTTCCCGTCCAAGCAAGGCTCCTTCTTCCCGTCCAAGCAAGGCTCCTCGAAACACCGTGTAAAATCAAGTGGCTGCGGTTGGATGGTGTGGACAACTTGTACATTTACATGCTCGAGACCACATCACGCTAAATGTGGTGGGTCTTTTGAAAATATCCGAGGAAAACACCTTGGAAAAAGCGGGCAACATCCAAAATGAAAGTTGTGGTAACAGTGCACCCTCTTTCGAACGAGGTCGCGCGAGCTGCTTTGAACGCATCGCGTTTCGGGCACGGGACACAACACCAACCAATTTCACATTTACTGCATGCAATAGGGACATACGCAGAGCCAATCACGCGTGGTCTCGTTCGATATCGACGTACAGCGCGTGGGCGCAGGCTCGTCGACGGGCGGTGCTTGAGGCTCGTCGTTCTCTCGTACAAACAAGTCGGCGGGCAACGTCTCTGTGAACAGTAGCACATCTTGCCGCGCGTCGGTCGTCCAGGTCAAGGCCTGGTATGCTGCGTCTGTGCTGCGGGCGGCGGTCGTCGCTCCTCGCCTACATGGAGACCATATTGGATGGTAGACAATTGCCTAAAGCGATTTACCACTCTGTTTTGATAGCTCGCGGGCGCGGGTGCCCGGTCGGTTGAGCCGGGTTCGGCCTCGCCTCGTGCTTGATGGCGTGGCAGGACGCAATGCGGGCTTGGCGGCGCAGCTTCTGCTTCTGGCTGACGCTGGCCTTGTTGGCCTCGTAGTACGCTTTCGCGTACGCGCTCTTCTTCCTTCGGCGCTCTTCCTCCTTGGCCATGGCCTCGAGCTCGGTCGTCATCGTCGGCTTGGCCAGTCTGTCGCGCAGTATCCGGATCTGAAGCACATCCGGACATTCGAACCTGGAATTCAGACAACCTGATGATGATGATGACGCCGTGGTCGGATCTACAAAAACCCTGGCACGCTACACCTGAACCCTCGTACAGTCCCGGAGCACGCCCACTAACGCTCCTCGCGTGACGCCCCAGCCGCGCCTCACGAGCGTAGTAGGAAGTCCACCCTATCTTTATATATATTGCATGTGAGAACTTCGTTCAATAATAGGATTTACAGGATACATGTATAAAGAGAGATGCTGGAACATTGAAATGCAGAGCGCAAATGCTGCAGAACATTATACGCGCGGAACTCGGTCGCATCGGCCATACATTCTATAGGTTGGGCCTACCCCTGCAGGCTTACACAGACAAGTACAGTCACCGTCCATGGCCGAGAGGGCTGCCGTGTATCGCGGTGCCGTGCGGGTCGGCGTCGATTCAAATGTGCTGAATACCGACGCTGCCAGCGCAGCTGCCAGCGACTACAAGTAGCATCCACACGATGTCCCTTGTATCCTCGCCCGCTACCTTTGTATCACATAAAAAGGTCTTTGCACGAGGCGCTGCCACGTCATCAAATATTTCCGCGGACCCGACAAAGGTCCGAGCAAGATCTTATCGTCCGCGGCGACGACCAGTCTTGCGCGCATACATGTATAATAAATTTCAGACAAGCTGTCTTCGTGATAAGAAGCTACGCGCCTGTTTCCTCGTGCAATGGGTATACCTCGAGTTAACACTCGACACTCGTTATATCGTGCATCTCGAATGAATCTTTACAGCTCCGCGTTCTTATTTGAGCGGCGCGTGGCACAGCGGGCAGTTGTTGAGGTCGCGGATCTCGTGCTCGATGCACGCGTGGCGACACGTCTTGCAGAGGTACGTGCGGTGGTCAAAGATGGTCGCACCGCTCATCATGCACGTCTGGAAGCTCATGCTGCACTTGTCGCAGCGCGTTGCCCACTCCTTCACTGCGTGCTTGCAGCCCGGACAGTCGTACGGGCGTGTTGGCGGGTCTTGCGGCCGCGTACTCGCAAAGATACGCAGCGCCAGCGCTTCGAGCGCTTCCTTCTCCTTCTCTGTGCCCAGGACGCTCTCGAGGTTGATGAACGCGCGGCTGCACTGCTCGTAGTGCTTGGTATAGTACGCAGCCACCGCGATGAGCGAGTAGACCTCGCGGCCATCGAGCAAGTCGTCGTACGCGCCGAGCTTGAGGCTCGTCCGAAGCGCGCGCTCGGGCTGGCCTTTGTACAGCTGTCGATGCGCAAGCAAGAGAAGGTGGTACGCCTCGGCGCCACGCCAGGCATTGTCGAGCGACCGGCTCTCGCTCGTCGCCGCGTCGTGGGCCACGAGACTTTCGAGCGTCTGCGCCGTGACCTGCGCCGCGGTCGCGCCCGTCGTCTTGGTTGCGAGGGCCGTCGTGTCGAGCATCTTGCGTCGGAAGCGCTCTACCTCCAACGCGGACAGAATCTACACTTTGACAGTGGATACTCTGTCCACCTGGACAAGGGCGAAAGTACCTGGAGCTTCTTGGCGCGCAGCGGGTTGCGACCCACGTCCTTTGCGAGCTTCCCCAAGAGCTTGGCAGCGTCCATGCTCTTGTTGGCGCGACGGTAGAGCTCGATCGCTTGCAGCGTCTTGCCGTTCCGGAGCAAGTGCGCGCCGTACTTGGCAAGGACGCTCTCAATTTGAGGAAAGTTGTGCGTCTCGGCCAGCGCGACGGCGCGTTCCCATTCGTTCAGGAGCACACAGCTGTCGATCGCCGCCTTGATGTCGTGGAGCTTGAGATACGCATTCACGGCGCTGCTGCAGAGACCCGCCCGGGTGAATTTGCGGGCCATCTCTTCGAGGAGCGGCGAGCCTTCGGGCAAATCGTTGACGAGCGCATCTAGCGTCGTAAAGTCGCCGAGCGTGTAGTGGCACTGCACCAAGGCCTCGGTTTCGTTCGACTGGGCGTAGTACTTGATGGCTTTCTCCCACTTGTGGCGGTCAGCGTAGTAGTCACCGATCATGGTCCATGCTTGCGTTTGCAGCGTGTCGTCGCCGCCGCCTTCAGCAGAAAGGTAGCCTTTTCAAATGTTGACCAACGAAACGTACCCGACTGTACGAGCTGAAGCACGCGGAACCAGTCGCCGAGGCGCTTGCGCAGCTCAATTGCGAGGTCCTTGCGGTCGATTTTTCGGTAGAGCGCTTCCGCGTCATCGAAGCGCTGAAAGTACGCGGCGACTTCGGCTTTTTGTTTGGTGCGGTCGTTGAGCAGCTGGAGGCGCTTGACGTACTGGATGCCGTTGTAGTCGCTGCACTTGACGAAGCCGCGTTCGGCCATGGCAAAATCGAGCTGCTCGAGCGCGGCGTCGGCGAGGAGGCGCCAGAGCCGTGGGTGCGGGTGGTCTAGATTGTCGTTGAAACAATGATGCGGTCATACGGTGATAGTACCCTGGATAAAGTCGCATGCTTCGGCAAGACCGACGTTTTCAAGCAGGTTGCGTGCGTCCCGCAGCGACCGCGTCTCGTAGTCGATGATCAGACTCTTGTCGGTCTGCTCTGGGCTGCTCAAGATGTCGTCGAGGAGCGCCGCTTTGACTTGGAGATCCTTGTACGTGCAGAGGTACCCGGACGAGAGCACGGGCTCCTCCGCCTCGAGCGACCGGTACACGTACATGCGGGCTTTCTCCATCATGACAAAGAGATCTGGGTTGTCCTCGGCCCACATCATGTCCCATGCGTCTTTCTTCTCGAACGGCAGCATCTTGGCAGGAAGCGGGTTGGTATTCCCCGACGACGTCCCGAGCTCCATGAGTGTAAGCACGTTGTTGATGTCGATGATGCCCAGTTGCGTCGAGTTGGAGTTGAGTGCAAGAAGTTGCGGCCGGCACGGTACAATGTACTTCATTTCGAGCGAAATGTGCGGCAGCGTGAAGCAGTGCAGCATGCCCGAGGCGCGTCCGACCACGAGCCACGCGTCCGACGCGCACACGGCGACGATCGGGTCTTCCAGCGCCCGGGGCATGTAGCGGAAGCCTTCGACGTCGCTGCCTTGGCTATCGTCGACGTAAAAGATGCGCTCGCGGCCGCCGCGGCCGACGTCGCCGAGCTTGGCCGTCGACGTTCGGTACTGCCACACGTAAATGGCGTCGGCAGCCGCAGCCACGATGAAGCGCGCAGTCATGTAGAGGAAGAGCGGCTCGAGATCTAAGATCTTGGTTTCGATCGGAGACCCAATCGTGTCGCATAGCACGAGCGAGAACTGCTTGCTGGGCGTCTCGGGACCGCTGTGGCCCTCGCCCGCGTACAGGTTGTCGTTGACGACTTTGGCGCAGAGCACGCAGTTGTCGCCTGCAGCCTTGATCGAGAGGAGCGACCGGACGTTCTTGATGTACCGCTCGTCGGACCGCGTGTCCCAAAACACGACACAGTTCTCGACCTACAACAGCACTCTCAATGTCAACATCCGTGCAATCTCAATCTCAAGTGCAATCTCAATCTCAAGTGCAATCTCAAAAAGCGTACCTGCTCGGACCGGTTGTACGAAAACACAAGGGTCGACGCATAGTAGCCCCACTTGTAGTCGGGTCGGATGTTGGCAAAGTAGATGTGCGAGTCGACGGCCAAGCAGATGCGGAGACCCGAGCCTTCCCACGCCAACGCCTCGATGCGGCTGCCCGGCACCTTGAGCGACCGCAGGTACCTGCCAAACGGATCGTAGAACTGGACGATATTGAACTCGCGGACGTCGCCGGCGTTGGAGCGCGTCGACTGCGTGCCGGCGAGCGCCAGCACCGTGCCGTCACAGTTCCACTTGCACTGCGTGAGCTCGACGCCCGTGTCAATGAGCACAGCGGCTTCGTCGAAGCGCCCGCGCGTGATCTGGACCTTGCCGTCGGCAAAGGCAATCGCAAGCGTCGGCGCGTCCTCGGAGACGTGGCCTTCGCAGCCGTCGTACCAGTGGAGCCCAATGATCTTGTACTTCTTGTCTTTGGCGTCGACCGCGTACAATGGCAGCGTGCCAATCTTGCTGCCCGACCCGTCGTGGATGCTCACCTCGCCTTCTTTCGTCACAAACACGAGGTGCTTGCCGTCTGGCGACCACTCGACAAAGCACAAGTCGACCTTCATCTCTTTGCCCCAGAGGCGGTTGCCGTCGACGGACCCGACGATGACGGCGCCATCTTCGTACGCGATGCAGATCTTTTGGCCGTCGCTGCTCCACTTCATGTCCTTGACGACGCTCTTGTTGCGGTTGTTGATCATCTCCTCAAACCACATGCCTAGCCAGCCATATCGCATGATGAGCCATGGAAAGACCATTGTACCGCGGTGCATCATCCAGACAATGATGAGGCCGTTCTCGTCGCTCGTCGTGAGCTTCTTGTAGTTGGCGTTCCACGTCGCGCAGACGACCGAGCCCGCGTGGCCGTCCAGCGACTGGTTCATGGTCAGGTTGCTCTGCGCGGCGATGCCACGCGTGCCCTTGCCTTCCTTGGAGGTCGCGGACTCGAGCTTGAGCACCTTGAGGAGGCCGCTCTGCCCCCCGCAGGCGATCCAGCCATGCTCCGGGTTCCATGACGCACAGCAGAGCTGCGCGCCGTTCGGGATCGCGATCTTCTTGCTCAGGAAGATGAACATCCGACTGCGACGACTCGCGCAAGCGACGCGATCTTTGACGAAGATTTCACGGCGCGTTTTTTGCGTTGATGGTGCGCGTTTTTCCACGTCTTTCGCGTTTTACAAGTGGCTGCAGCCATAGACCCTTGATACCTTGATGGTATGTATACTCGCAGACGCTTAGAAGCATGCAGTGCGCAGCGTCGGCCTTAACGTCGAGGCGAGCACGTTGCGTGAGGGACAAGCTCGGAAAAGAAAAAGTCTATCTGGTAGAGCAATCTGGGAGAGCCACATGTGGAAGAGCGATCTGGAAAAATGTACAAGCACAGAACTGAGTGCAGAATGCGTTCTGGGTTCGTATTCGACAAGAATGGTCTGGCATCGAGATGCATACGCACACCATCGTCATATCGACACAAATCTGGTACTAGTGCTCGGAATCTGGCTGTGATCCAGCTTGACCCAATCTAATGTGGTCTCGTCTTCTCTCTCGCCTGCTGTTCCTGAATGCGTTCTTAACACTCCATTTTGAAGATAGAGAGCTTTAAACTGCACTCGTGGCGGCCAACGTGTTCTTCACAGAGCGAGGCGTGTCCCTTTGTGTGGTTCACACCTTGTGGTCCAGCTCTTGAAACCACGACGACGCCAGCATCGTTTTTGGAGAAAAGAAGCGAGGAGATCGGCTACGAGATCCGTTCGAAGAAGTGCACCAAATGGCAGAGTAGGGCACCGCAAAGTCCGACACTTCGTTTGCTGTCGACTCGACACGGCGTGTCAACGGGTCGGACGGAAAGATCATTGGCAAAGAAAAAAGGTCTTCAAGGTTTGGACGTAGCCGATCCACGCAGCGCAGAGATGGCTGCAGTGGCGTCAGCACGTGTGTAGAGAAGACGCACCGCACATCCTTCCAGAGCCTAGCGTCAACACCGCAGCATATCCTCAAAAACGTGGCAGTGTGTCGCTCATCGTGGTCGAGTCGGGCGTCTTTTCTGGCCCAATCGAGAAGTTGGGCTAGAAACGACCAAGGCATCAAACTTCATCATGATGCCGCATCTTGGGTGCATGTCATTGACGGCGATCTTTCATGCCATGGGCGTTGATGCGCATCGCGTCACGTGTTCAAGTGAGCGCCCAACTGCGCGGCAGGGAGAGAAGCCGCGGGCTCAGATTCTACTTCAAGCGATAGGTGATGATGATCCAGTGTCCACCTCCGCACCTCAGCAATCGAACGACGTGCGACACGTGGCACGTGAAAATACACCTGCGTTAGCATTTCCCACAGCGGGCAGGAAGAAGCTATGACTCATGCGCTGACCAAAGATCGCACTTGGTCGTGCCGACCACAGTGTGCAGTAGGTCATGTGGCATCAAGTATACAAACAACAAGTAGCGTGCGAACTTCAATCGCGTGGCGACATGAGCGTAGAGGACCTGTTGCATTTTTATGCATACAAACCGCAAGTACATAAATGTGGTCGTCTAATCTCGGATTGGCTATAAGATGGACGAATCACAGCCCGAATAAAAATCGCTCGCCATGCCGCTCGTCACGCTCTGCGGGCTGCCAGGCGCCGGCAAGACGTGGTTTGCTTCCCAGCTCCACGACCACTTTGTGAGCCTTGGCAAGGACGTCGTGCACCTTAGCTACGACAGTGAACGCCTCGTTCGCGCCGACGCCTACCGCGGTACGTCTCGTATAGCCTCTGCCTGCCCTACCAACGCAAGGACACTGCAGATGCTCGGGCAGAGAAGACGACGCGGAGTACGATGAAGAGCCGCGTCGATGTGCACTTGAGTGCAGACAAGATTGTCATCTTGGACACGCTAAACTACATCAAGGGCTGTCGCTACGAGCTCTTTTGCCTCGCCAAGGAGCTCTCCACCACGCACTGTGTCGTGTACATCGACACACCAGTGGCCATGGCCGCCGCGCGCAACGCAGAGCGCGCTGGCGACAACTTCCCGCCCGAGTAGTACGTCGTCGCGCTGGGCGTTCAAAACCATGGCAAGGACATGTGATGCTAGCGTCGAGGCGATTGCAATGCGGCTTGAAGTGCCCAACGCCAAGAACCGATGGGACGCGCCCTTGCTGCGCATGACACCAGATAGCCTCTGCGAGGCCACTGTCATCGATCGTTTGCGCGAGGTTGAAGATGCGGTCTTGCATGGAAAAGCCATAAAGGCTGGTATCGCCACGATTGCGGTACTTCGTTGCTTCGTGCCACGATAATCAAAGAGGGAAATCACTGCGTAGAAGCCCGTTGTGGAGACGACGTTTGTGCAGGAGCTCGATCGAGTGACCGCAGCCATTATCGATGTGCTCATCGCCCACCAGCGCGAGTTCCACGACCTTGTCGACGCACTTCGCGTGCCGCATGCGTCCAAGCTGATATCCTTTTCCGCCATTTTTTTCGATTTCGTTGGATTTGGACAAGAGTCCTTGACAACTGCTGGCGCTGTTGTACGTGCAGGTGGGCCGCGCGATGCCAACGGCCGAATTGCGTCGCCACCGGCGCCAATTCACCAAGATGGCGACGCTGCACCCGTTTCCGAGCTCCGACATTGGCAACCGCTTCGTCGAGTACCTCCAAAGCCAAGCTTAACCTCAAAATGACGTTTTGGCGGGAAATATATTGATATGGTGGATCGTTTCAACGTGGATTACTTTTGGCGCGAAAGCGCTTCCAAATCGTGCTGTTCGACCAACCGGCTGAGCCGTCCAATTTCGGTTGCAAAGGAGGCCACGAGCGCGCTCCAGCTGGCAACGACCAGGCCTTCGTACGCGGCCGGCCCGAGCAGCTTGGTCCACCACGCGCTGCTGCTTGTGACCAACGCCGTGACGACATCTAAATCCAGCAAGAAGATCCAGTGAAAAGTACCACAAGATGCGACGGTACAGGCGACGGACGCGATCGCACCCAGCACGATAGCGTACTCGCCGATCGCAATGCCGCGAATGCTACACGCTCGCATGAGTGGACGCGTCACAGCACGTCGTCACCGATGGTGGCGCTCGGTCGCGTCCTTGGTCCGAAGCAAGAGAAAGGCGGTGCGGCGTGCATGCTGCATGCGAAGTAGCGTTACCCACGTCGTGAGAAAGCTCGTGGCGGAGGCGAGTGAGAGGCCGGCGGGATGTCCCCGCGTGTCGTGGATGGCAGCGACGACGAGCAAGATGGCCGTGAGCGCGCCACCGAGCAGGACGCTGATCGCCAGCCACCGGTGCGTCGGCGGCAGCGACAAGTGCAGGAACCACGCAAAGAGTGCGGCAGTCGCCAGGAAGAGCACGCTCGCGACAACGGTGCCAACGAGGTAGACATACAGTTGCGGCCGGTGGCGCGCGGCCACGCCGAGTGTTGGGTACCCTATATTGCAGTCGATGTGCGGGTGCTGGCAGCCCCATAGAACTGTGATGACGTCGGTGGGGATGGCGACGACGGCGACGAGGACCGGTGCCCACGCCAGCGGATCGAGCGCTGCCGACCGCTTGCTCGCATCGTCTTGATCGACTGTAAACTCAATGTCGCTGTCGTTGTCCGAGGTCGCGCTGGAGCCACTACTACGACTGCTGCTGCTACTGCTGCTGCGAATGTCGAGTCGCTGGTCGACGTCCATGATAGTCGGTCGTTTCAGCGACCGCTCAAGATCGTGTCCGCCTTGTCGTCGCTGTCGCTGACAGGCTAGAATCCACGCTGCGTTACTGCTCTCACTGGCGCGCTTCTGGCACTGCACCAGATTCGCCCACCCAAGACGACGCAAGAGGAGCAAGCGTCGTGGCGTCTGGTCGGCGCTGCAAAGACGATGGCCCGTGTCCGACCCTCGTCGTGTCCCAAGCCCACGTATCTCTCTCGCGTGCATCTTTTTTACACAGCGCCTCGTGCAATCCTGAACCAGCGACCGCTCGCTCCTCGAGCGTACGTGGCAGCTTGGGCGCGTGTGATTACACGACAGAGCACCGCCACCACCCGTGCGCAGCTTCAACCGAGCGGTGGTTGAAGCTCGCGTCCACGATGGCACCAGGTGGCGCATTTGGCGGGGATAAGCGCGACCGACGATGCCGGCGAGGCCCACCTCATCCAACTCGGAGCTACTCGTATGTGCGCGTGCAGAAGCCAAGCGTGGGTCTCCTTGTCGCGCGCATTATGGCGCCAGCCGCGCTTGGCGCGGCCGCGGCTTGAAGGCGTGCTTGAAGTCTACCTTGAAGTACGACATGTGAGTAATCCCGATCGAATCAATTGCGATCTTGGGAAAAAGAAGCACTGAAATCCACGCTTTCCTTGACGGTGGTTCAAAAGCCAAAAGCCACCTAACAATAGTACGTAGATCCTGCGGCGCTTGTAGACGGAAGAGAAAGCTAGCGCGTGGTGCCTGGTGTCGTCTGGCTCGTCGCGGTCGCCAGATCTGACCACTGCAACGCTACCGCACGCGCGAAGACGCTCCACCTCGGGAGATCGGCGCCAGGTGGCGCCCGATGAGCCTATCAGATGGCCGCTCCGCGCCTGGGACAGTGCGCCACGTGGGCCCTCGTGACTCACGCCATGCTTCGAACGCGTGTGAGAAACTACGTCTCGCATTGGCAGCTTGAGCAAGCCAATCCTGTTGCGTCGTCGGAGCGAGTCGCCGCGCCGCAAGCGCATTCTGCTTGGGTGCATAAGTGGCGTTTGCCCATACATCGTCAATGTATTCAGCGGCCGTATATCTATTTCGGCGCAGCCAATATGGCTCGATGTGAATAATATTTTTCACACACGCACACGCTGTAGAAGGTCGTCAGCCGTGTACCTATGTACTAATCCCAGCTACTATTTTTTTGCTGCATAATAAAATCCGCAACATTCAATGCACGACGGGCCTCTTCTCGCTGCGATGAATATTAATATTCGAGACGGTCGGCGCGCGACTGGCAGCGTGCATTTTTATTTCGCCACCCTTGCCATGGATCTTGAGCAAGGGATATACTGGCTTGTTTATGCGGAGAGCCAATTTTTCATGGTCGGCGGTATATTAATAGGTTGTACTTTAATTCGCGTGCGCACGGAATATGGGCCTCATACAATGCCGTTGAGCGCGCCGATCCCTGCTCGTTCGTAGGAATAAAATTCAGAGCGAGGCGGAAAAGCACATGAAAATAAAATACCACCGGCTTCAAGAATCCGAGGCGTCGGTGCAATATTAATATGCAATATTTCGGAGACGGTTATTCCGGAAGAAGAGCGTAGAGGCAGCAACTCACTTGGCAACTTCCGACCGCCGGCCGACTTCCGTCTCGTCCAACTATCTATTGGCCATGCGCATGACGCCCGAGTCCGACATCAAGGTGTACGCCCGCCTCCCGAGCTACAACCCGTTCGTGGGCATGTTCCACCACGCGCCCAGCGCCGGCAACCGGGGCGCGGCCTACTTCGCCACCGACATCGTGGGCATGGCCGAGCTCGAAGAGCGCAAGAAGTTCCGCAACCACCCGCTCGTGGGCACCTTCCACGCGCTCCCGGGCTACTACGACCCGCTCCACGGCCTCAAGCAGTTCCGCGCCTGGGATCCGCCCACGTCGGCCGAGACAGACGAGCCGACAAGAGGCTCGGCGAGCGACAGCGATGCGAGCGACGACCTGCGCGCGTCGATGTTGGAAATGCGCCCGTCGATCAACGGCAAGGAGTTTGTAGCCATCGATTTGGACGCCGAGACGAACGAAGCGGTCGCGGGCGCCGCGCCGCGCCGCCGGAGGGCACTGCGCGTTGAGGTTCCGAGCAATGTGTGCTTCCACTACCCGTACCATGAGGCACCGGCCGCCATGGTCCACCACCAACGCACGCGCTGCATGAGCGATTCGGACACATACGCGACGGCCGCGCTCTTTGCCGGCGCCAAGCGCAACCTTGATCAACCCAAGACGCCAGTGAACGAAGCATCCGAGATTCCGCGCAAGAAGGCGCACCTCGAGTCGGCGCGCAAGGCCGCGGAGGCCACGGTCGCTGCGGTCACCGCTACGACTGCACCGCCGCCGACGACGACGACCGTGTACACGAACAAGGGTCGCTGCCGCTCCAATACGGCCATGGCCCGGTTGCACTCGGACACGGAGAGCCGGACGTCGACGGTCGACGACGACGACGACCTGAGCCTGCCGACGTCGCCGATCCTGAAGCGCGGGTCGTTCTCCGAATCGGACTCGCTCATGGTCAAGTCGCCGACGGCCGCCAAGACGATGATGAACCTCCTCGAGCCCATCGTGATCCCGTCGCCCAACGAGATTGTCGACGGCTACGTCTCGACGGGCAAGGGCATCTACCGCAAGTGCGGGTTCCTCTCCAAGAGCACCTCGGACAAGTTTGACGTCACGAGCCCCCGCCTGTCGAGCACGACGCCGCCCGCGCACCACCACAGTAACCACACGACGACGACGGTGCTCCCGCGGCCCGTGCACCGCCGCCAGCGCAGCTGCCCGCCGCCGGCCGACCCAGTGCCCGAGCAGCACCACAATACCGAGTATGTCCAGGGCGCGCCCCGCCTCCCGAGCAACCCGTTCGTGGCCCGTCGTCTCTGCGACGACGAGGAGAACCAGCTCCGGCTCATGTCGATCAGCCGCAGCATTCCTCGCCAGCCCGATGATTTGCTCCTGCGCGAGCGGCCCAAGGCGCCGTCGCTCTTCCCTACGCTGACCATCAACCCGTTTTTCATTCACGAGAAGGCTGTCACGGAGCACTACGAACTGGTCGGCGAAGACCAGCTCGGCGACGGCTCGTACGCTGTCGTCAAGCCGGCGATTCGGCGCAACAACGGCGCCGAAGTGGCCATCAAGCAGATCCACAAGCGGTTCCTTGTGACCGAAGCCGCGCAGCAGGCCGTGCGCACCGAGGTTGAGATCCATTTGCGTCTCCAGCACCGCAACATTGTCCGTCTTCTCGAGGTGTACGAGACCGAGGCGTTCTTGTACCTTGTGATGGCCAAGGCCCGCCACGGGACGCTCAAGTCGCTCTTGAACCGCCAGCGCCGGTTCCCGGAGGCGCTGGCCGCCAAGCTCGCCCATCAGATCGTGCGTGGCATTTTCTTTTTGCACGAATCGGGTGTCGTCCACTGCGACATCAAGCCCGAGAATGTGCTTCTCACCGACTCGAAGGCCCCGTCCAACCAAGACTCGAACGACGAAGTGGTGGTTGTTAAGGACGTCAAGGCGTGTGAGCTCCAGGTCGAGATTTGCGACTTTGGGCTCTCGGTCAAGGTGCCGGACGTGCGCTTCTTCAAGCACACGGGCGACGTGCACAAGGTGCCGTTTACGGGCCTGACGGGCTCGGTCGGCTACATGGCGCCCGAGCTCTTCGAGTCGCAGCCGTACGGCAAGCCCATCGACCTCTGGAGCGTCGGCATCATGGTCTACGAGATGCTCACGGGCTTCCAGCCGTTCTACCCGCCGTCGGCCTGCATGAACGAGCCGGTCGAGTTCCAGCCGCGCGCCTGGAAGAAGTTTAGCCCCGAGGCCATGGACTTTGTCGTCCACCTCCTCGAGCGCGACCCGACCAAGCGCTTCACGGCCGAACAGGCGCTGACGCACCCGTGGTTTGACACGGCGGTTTTTGCCCAGTAAGTTGTGGACGCAATTCGCACATTTGGCGCTCTTAATTATTACCCAGCACCCTATTATTAATCACACCGTACCGTTTTCTGCACAACTTGTCATTTTTCTATCGATTTCAAAAAGAGGACAATATAAAGCAACAACCAAGTGTCTTGCGACGTGTGGACTAGAGACATGAAGACGAATGGTCTAGTTCAAGGACCCTTGCGCGGTGCAGAAGACAAGTCCGACCTCCGATTGCTCATGAGTTTGAACGAAACCCACAACACAACCAACGACGCTCGCACGTGCTGTTCGGCTGCCACGTCATCTCACCCATGGCGACGTCGCGGCCGGAGCTTGGATGTCGACCATCGCCGCGTCAGAATCTCGCCCCTGAATCTGGTCGAATCGGATGTGAATCTGGTGCCGCTGGATTCCGTGCCAGTGCCAGACAAGACGGACACGTGCAGTCCAGACGCCTTCTTCCGGACGAGATGCTGCTGACGGTCTATCACCCACCGCTATCTCAACACGTGTACTGAGACCAGGTATGTCGCTATGACGAGTTGCAAACGGGGTGGACATGAGGTACTGTAAATCGCCGACTAACACGAAGCACACAACGTTCAAATTGCGTCAGGCGGAGCGGCTTTGAAGCGCTTGGCATCACTGCTAGTACCGACCACAGCAACCGGCGATGGCTTCTTGACGTCGCCGTGCCACTGGAAAAAGTTGCACCGACCTTTGACGTCCCCTGGGGCACCCTACGCGCGCGCTCGCATGTCTTGTCGGTGTTAGATCGACGGCGTACCTCGGGCTTGGCACAAATGAAGAATTTCCGACCATAGTTGTCGTTGCGCTTGAGGACCGTGCGCAGAAGGGCCGGTTGTCGGTGGCCGGAGCACAGCGGCGGCGGCGGCGGCTTCCCTGGCAGCAGCGTCTTCCACGACTGCGCGACGGCTTTGTACTCGGTCAGCGTCTCGATCGACTCGACCGACATCGGCGCGCTCGTTGCCTCTGACGCTCGAGGCGCCGTCGTCAAGAAGGCACGGAAGGTCTGCTGCTGCCACCCAGTGGTCGTCTTTTTCATCGCTGGTAGTGGCGTCGTCGAGCCACGAAGGAAACGCTGGATCGATGTTTGTTTGCCGGCAAACTCGGGATAAAACTTGGCGCAGCTCGGGACGGTTGTCGGGGCGATGACGTGGGACGCCGGGAACGCGAGGCTCAGCGTTGCGAGAACGGGGCAGTGGTCCGACCCTTCCTTTTCTTGCCATACGTCGCAGCTCGTGAGCGCGCTTCCTAGCCGACTGTCGAGAAGGATGTAGTCGAGCCGCACGCCATAGTTGGTCTCGCGCGCGCCCGTGAGCGCGCGCCAGCACGTGTACGCCTTCTCTCGCATCGGATGCAATTGCCGAAAGGCGTCTGTGAGGTCCATTGTTGCCAAGAGCATGTCGAGCCACGCGGTCACCTCACTTGGCTCGTACGCGCCGCAGTCATCCAGAGGCTTGTGAATGACATTGAGGTCCCCGACGAGGATTAGCGGCTTGTCCAAGTGCGCTGCCTTGGTCGCCGCGACGTAGCCGAGAAGGAACTCGTGGAAGGCGAGCTTGCGCTCGAGGTGGCCGCCATGCGCCGGACAGTACACGTTGATGAGCACAAACGTCGGGTGCTCGGTCCGCACGATGCGCCCCTCGTGGAAAGGGCAGGCGCTGGTCTCGGCGGCAACGGTCGCGAGGCGACCGTGCCGGACGAGCGTCGCGACGCCCGAATAGCCCTTCTTGTGCTTGGCAAAGCTGTAGAAGGCGTCGTAGCCGGGCGGGCACGCCAGCTCGGACGTCATCTCGGCGCGCGTGAGCTTGGTCTCTTGGAAGCAGAGGACGTCGGCGTCGCAAGCGTCGAGGAACCCGGCGAACGACTGCCCCGGCGTCTTGCCGAGGTTGGCGCGGAGGCCATTGATGTTCCAGCACAGCAGCTTCATGGCTCTGCCACGATTGGTGCATTACTGGTTTGCATTTTATCCAATCCAAATCGATAGGGTGCAGTTGCCTGCCGAAAAGATGCAGCTATGTGCTGGCATGGCTATCGATGATGGGCGAGACGCTGGGCGAGAAGGGCTCATTCGCTGACGGGTCTTGTAGGGCTTGCATATGTATGGCGTGCACCGTGCGATGGCGTAGCCTACTGAGGCGAGCTCTGGCTGCGAGCCAGTGGAGTGTTTTCCCAAGGTCGGACATGGACGATCAGTTCTTTGCTGGTTTTCGGTTTGCCGACGCCAGCTGCCGCAGATGCTCAGTGCAGTGCCGTGTCGCTACATGATCTTGCGCGGGTCGCACGGCAAGCGTCGCGAAATTCTCGCACCGAATTCTTGCGGACACGAGCCGTGACCACGTCCCCGCTCCGTGCTCGTCGTGTCGTCGTTGGTTCTGATTTTTGTTTCTTGAAGACTCCATGGGTGTCTGATCCAATCGTCGGGCAAGGACCATGACACGATGCTGTCACCTGCCGTGCTCAGAACGCATGGTGTCGATGTCGAGCCGAAATGACGTGGCACGACGAGGAGCCGATCATGTCCCAAGTCTGACATGGCGATGCTATCGGTCTTGACGGATTCAAGTCGTTCTGCGCGGTCGCATCGTGGCAGCAGCAACGTTCCAGCGTCTTGTGAGAAGACACAAAGTGTACGTTCTATACACGTTCCTGCGTCATGTACTTTAGCCGCAGCGACAGCACGCGACGACGCTCGCATGCTTTGCCTTTTCGAGACAAGCCATGCTGCTGTCAAAAGCAAGGAGGGTTCTGGGCCAGGGATTGCATGTATCTATGTTCCCCTTGGGCATCCAGCCGAAACCCGCGTGCTCACTGAGTACGAGTACTTACGACTCATCTTACAGACTGCAAGCAAACGATATCGAGAGCGCCGCAAGGACGTCGTCGTCCGATACCAACTACATAGCACCACAAGTGTCTACACAGCGTACTACACGTCGTCATTGTACCTCGGCAAATGCGCTCGGTGCAAAGCCGTTTTGAGACGCGAATGACGCGTTGAGGAAGGCTGCCGCGACGTCGTCGTCGCATGAGCTATCGCGTTCCGGTCGCAAGCGCTGAAACACACTCTTCATGTCGCTCGCCGACACGACGCCGTCTGCGTCCATGTCGTAGAGATCAAAGAGGGCTAGAATACCAGACAATATTGTACACAACATTGATCCCAACACGTTGTACCGGAGCGCTTGGCTGCCACTGATGTCTTGGTCGGGTGGAGGACCGTGAGAAGGCACAAAAACGCTCTAAAGTCCAAGCGGCCGTCACGCAGCAACAGGGGTGCGAGCGCATGGCACTGAAATTCGGGCTCGTCCAAGAGTCGAGCCGCCTCGACGGTGGAGTCGTTTCCTTGCAGCAGCCGTCGAAATCGGTGCTGGAGGCCTTGGATCTCCTTGGCCGAGACTAGAAATTACGGCTCGTTGACCGTTGCGCTAGCGCAAAGAGATCACACAGATGGAGTCTGCAGCGAGCAAAGTGGGGTCGCCGAGCTCGTTGGCTGCCGCTGCTTGTTTGGGCGTGCGTCGAAACATCAACACATGCTCTCGTTGGCGTTTCAAGTGAAACGAACGGTCGTCGACGCAGCGACATGGAGCACTGGCGCATTGGCACCTACTTGCGCATTCGGCCACCTCGCAAGCACACGACCAAAGCTTACACGCTCCCACGTACACCGCCGCATCCTTCCATCCTGCTTTTATAGTAGTCGATAGGTGCACGGCCCAATGACCATGTCCAGACGATCTTGTTTCCAATCCTTCCCGTGGCACTCGACACACGCAGCACGCTCAAGCAGCGAGACGTGCTCGAGTTCAAGTACGACCAAGTGTTTGATCATGACGTGCATCAGGACGGGGTCTTTGATGCTGTGTGCCGCGTACACCTCCCATCTCGTTTCGCGTTTGAATGACAAGTTGTGCATCGGAATAGGATATCATTACAAGCGCGATGGAGGGCTACAACGGCACGATCCTTGCGTATGGCCAAACGGGCAGCGGCAAGACGTTCACGATCACGGGCGGTAGGGGAGAGATCGTCGACGTCGTCGTGCTGCAGTGGATGGATAGCTACCACGACCGGGGCATGATTCCGCGTACGATTTCAGCTCTCTTTGATGCGTTCGAGACACGCCGGGATACGGTACCTTGATAAGACACGGCTTGAGAGTGTCAATGGACCGTAGAGCTACCGGTGCTTTGTGTCGTACTTGGAGGTCTACAACGAAAACATCTATGACCTCTTGGACAAGGCCCACATGAACAAACCGATCGACGAGTGGACGAAAATTCACTTGCAGCTCTCGGACGACGACGACGACGATGTGCATTTCCGAAATTTGGGGTGTGTCGTGTACATGATTGTCATAGAGTGTGCGACATGTTTCTTTGTAGTGTCTATGAAGCCAACTCGGAGGAAGATGCACTCAACTTGCTCTTCTTGGGAAATGTGAACCGCGTCACGAGCGACACGCCCATGAATCAAGTGGATTTCAATATTGGATCGATTTTGTTTCTGATCCCTCCAGTAGGCGTCGTCGCGGTCCCACTCGATCTTTACCATCTTGATCGAAGGCCGTCGGAAAGACTCGGAGGTCGTGCTCAACTCCAAGCTGCACATCGTCGACCTCGCGGGCTCGGAGCGTGTCTACAAGCGCGACGGCACCGAACGTATGCGCAACGAAGGCCGCTGCATCAACCTCTCGTTGCACCACCTGGAACAAGTATCATGTGTTGCGAGGGACAACCTGTCTGTTATGATCTCACATTAGGTGATTTTAGCCCTCCAGCAACGCAGCAGCAAAAAAGCCAAGACACACATACCGTACCGCAACTCGATGCTGACGTCCGTGCTTCGCGGTAGCCTCGGTGGCAATTGTAAGTCCGTCTTTATTGGTACGCTCAACCCCGAGGCCGAATACGTGGACGAAAGCATCTCGACCTGTCGCTTTATGCTTCGTTGCAGCGAGGTGCGGATGGCAAAGTCGACGCATTCAAGAGTTCTATGACTAGGTCGCGGTCGACGTGCGTGCCAACCGAGATATGGAACCGACTGCACTGATTGCACTTCTGCAACGCGAGAACGACCGACTTCAAGCAGAGCGCACGTCGCTTCAGGAGAACGTTGCGCACCAGATCGAGCTCAACGCACAACTGCACGCGCAATTGACGTCGGAAAAAACACTCGGACCGTTGACGGGTGCGGGATGTCTATTTGCACGCCACTTCAACTTGACCAACACGAGGCTAGAGATCGAAAAGGACGTATGCGAGAAGCTCGTGGAGCAATTTCTTGTCGCCGAGACGGCCGAAGACGACATTTTGCGGACGCTGCAACACCTCGGCATGGCCCACGCGCTCGAGTGCCTTCGCCAGCTCAAGACGAGCATCGTCTTTGCGTCCAATACGGCGGCCGAGGCGCAAGAATCGCTGCTTGTGCAAGACGAACGGATGAAAGATGTAGAAGCCCGCCTTCTGGAGCAGCGCGCCGATGCCGACAAGCTCAAGACCCACATCGTGCAGCTCACGGCGCACATCAACGCGTTGCATGAAGCCTCCAGCAGCGTTGCCGAAGTCGACGACCCGCACGACGACGAAGACGATCTGTGCAGCGAAAGCGATGCTGAGAGCGAAAAAGTGGCCCCGTCGATCGAGCCCCCCAAGCCCCCGACCGTGCCCCCCCGGGGCGAGAGCGCGTCGGATGCCATCAAGCGCCGCATGGAGCTCCTCAAGCAAGGCGCTATCTTTATCAAGCACGGACGACAAGGCAAGCCGCATGCGCGCTTTGTATGGTGCTCGAACGACCTGCAATACTTGAGCTACCGACCGGTGGGGAGCCAAGGACCCATGATTCAGATTCCAACGTCATCCCTCCACGCGCTGGCGTATGGTCACAGCACCAAGGTCGTCGCTCTATCTCGTTATAGCAACGAGGACCATGGATACTTGGATTAGGTCTTCCAGCGCAAGACGGACCGGTCCCGCAGTGAATTTTGCTTTTCGATCCTTTACGATGACAAGAAGCGGTCCCTGGACCTCGAGGTGCCAACTCGACGTGGTCATCAGTATGTACATCGATGCGTCTCGTAGGTTGACGAAGGGGACAGCGCGGATCGGAATCGACTTCGGTGCTGCGAGTGGACCGAAGCGCTGCAGTTCCTCATCAAGTGGAAGTCGGCGCAGCGCAGCCAGCCAATAGCAAAGCAGTAAAGTCATGTACAAACACCACTTGAATCCATTGACACTCTGTAACATGTCGTTGACAGATGACGCTAAGCAGCTTGCAGGTGCTTGAGAAGCTCGATTTGAAAGCAGAGCAGCAAGAGCTCGTCTTTCATCGCTGCTTGCATTTGCGGCGCCGGCGGCCGCACAACGGCGGGTGGCACCGCGGTAGCGCTGTGGTGCTTGCGTTCCTGGCGCGCCCGTAGCTTCTTGGAGCGCTTTCCGTACTGAAGTAAAGGACTCTCCGTTGGTTTTGTGGGCGCTTGGATCGCGCGTGCGAGCTCGTTCGGCAGTGGTACCGACATTAACGTCGACATCTCCATGCCACGGATGCCATCGTGGTTCGCTGTACGATTAGCATCGGTGTAACCAGTTGCCGCCGACGTCTGTTGCCATGTTGACGACACTGCCGGGGCGTTTTGGGTGCTCGAGCCACCATCAAACTTGTACACTGGAGCTGGGACGTCGTCCTCTACGATGTTGACGCCGGTGCGAACAGTAGCTCGCTTCTTCTTCTTGGAGCGGTGCCGACGGCGGGTGGCGTCGTCGGCTGATACCGCCACTTCGTCAGCGGCGTTGCTTAGCGCTCGAGCAAGTGCAGGGGCACGATTGTCACCATGCGACGCTGGGCCAACGTCTGCGTTTGATGATGCCGCGTGCAGTACACGCTCGGCTGAGGCTGCCTCAGCAGTGCCCGCCAAGCACGGCTCGGCGAGCGTTAAAGCGACGGGGGACAGGGGTACTGGCGGCGTCAAGGGGCCATCATCCCTCGGTGCTACCGTGGTCGCTGGCGCCGTGATCAACGCAGTTGCTGGTCGACTGCTGTGTACGGCCGTTTTCGTGTCGGGCTTGTCAAGCATCGCTGGGCCGACCACGGGGGCTGGCAACTGCATCTTTCCTGCGCGGCGCTCCTTTGTCATCGGTGACAGTGGTCTCGGTGCAACCAAGCTCGCCGATGCCTCGCCGATGACGACGCCTTCGATTGCCAACGTCGACCGCTGCATCTGCGCACCGACGTCTGCAGTAGCATGCGACAAGGGGTAGTGCGTCACATCTGGCGCAATCGTGATGACGTAGCTGCTTGGTGCATCGTCGTCCGTTCGTGCGATAGGCGGCGGCGATGCGCTGTCTTGGACGTCGAACACTGTTGATACGGGACGTTCTTGGACTGCAACACTCTGTAGGCGGCTGTCGATGGGCTGCTCGCTTGCTGGCGCCGTTGACTTTGACACTGAAGCGATGTCATCGCCGATGTCAAGATACGATGCGACGTCGGACACCGCAATGATCCAGTCGTCGCTCGCGCCGGTTGCCAGCTCGGGCGTCGGGGCACGTAGCGTAGGCGAGTTTGATAGACTTACGACAAAGCCGCTCGGAGAGGATACTGGGTTCCCGTGCGAGTCACCATGGCTGCAACCAGGTGCTTCGTTGCCACGCAGGGAAGCGTCGTAGCCGCCGACAGTGACGTCGTGCTCGTGGTCGTCGTTTTCGTTGTTGTGGCTCCCGTCCGAGTCGCTTGCAAGCACACACGCGTCCTCAAAGCAGGTGCCACTGCTATGGAGTAATATACTTGTGGATGGGACCGACACCGAAAGCAGAGACGGCAACGAGTCCTCGTCCCTCAGGCCCGCGCTGTCTTGGTTGTTGAAGACGTTGACGATGTGGCTGTGTTCCTCGTTGATCCGAGCACTGTGCGTGCCGTCGTTACTACCCGAGATGTCGCCAATGGTGGTGTCCATGTCGCCGAGACGAGAGCTTCTGCCCCGAGGCGTGGCCTCCACGCACGGACGACGAGACATCAGAGCTGCTCCAATAAAGCTCGTCTTGCGTCGACGGGCTACTGGTCGACGTGTCGTGGAGAGGTTTTTCAACCCACTGCGCAGTACCGACGGCGCTTTCTTGACGAACCCACTGGATGGCCGGTGACGCCGAGACAACCGTCGCTGTTGACGCAATGCTGAACGACGCTTCGCTCGGCACCAACGACGCACTTGGCAACGGACGCTCGCCCATGGCCCGGACGGCGCCTTCTTCGGAAATGGGAGACAACGCCGTCTCGTCGTCGACCACGACCCACGTCGCACGGCCGTCGGAGCTCCGTCGGCGCACCCATGGCAGCGGCGCATCAGCTTCGAGCGGATGTTGCACCGGTGCCGCCTCCAGATAGACGTCGGCAGTTGCCACACCGTCCATACCGACCAAAGTGTCACCATTGACGTTGGTCATCGGCGTTGACGCCACGGGTAGGGATCGGTCGCGCGACCCAGCGGTCAGCACCGGCACATCGGCAACGTTGTCGCTACACCGCGTGTCTGACGCAGTCTTGTCCAGCTCTGGTGACCCAGTGTGGTCAAGCTCGGGTGACGTGCTGGCAACCAGCAGAGGCGTCGCGGCATCGTCTGCATCCGCATCAATCATGAGCGCATACAGAAGCAGCAGCGTGTGCACGAGCTCGCCGGTGAGACGTGCGACCCAGAGACCGAGGACGCCCAGTTGCAACCCAATGCCAAGCGCGAGACCCAGCGGGACTTGGACGAACCACGTATCGATGGTGGCGGCTAATGGAAGCATCTTCACCCTGTCCAGCGTTGTGAGACCGGCGGCGAAAACGAGACGAACACTGCTCAGCGCCATGCACGCTGCGAGGTACGGAAGGGCGTCGACGCAGAGCTCCAAGACAACGGCGTCGGCGGTCCACAAGCCCAAAAGCGGTGCACCGTACTTGAACACGGTCGCGGCAAAGATACACCCGAGTGCGCCACCGTAGACCGCGCCGACAAAGAGCACGTGGCGGGCGCGCGGAACATCTTGTCGGCGCAAGTGCAGTTGCATACGCTCGGCCGTTGCCGCCGCCGCGCCTCGCAGAAATGCAAGCACGAGCAGAAAGAAGCACACCGTGACGACCCATGCCGCCGCCTGCTGCGACCCGGCGTCCATGCCGTCGCTTTCGTCCAAACGTCGTCGGGTTGCAGAGGTCACCGGTGTGTAGGCTGACGCGGCGCCAAAGATGGTGAGCACGATACTCTGCAGACACGACGGCATCCCCGCAGGCACGGCCATCGCCCAGAGGATCCGAAGCCGCTCAAGGCGGTAGCTGGACCGGCGCCATGCGAGGCCGCCAAACCCGACGCAGCACCCGCCGTAGACGACGAGCAGCAGCAGTAGCAGCAGTAGCGTGGCCATCGTAGAGTACGGCGACCCGTTAAAGCCAAAGCCGGACCAGTGCTTGTAGCCAAAGACGAGTAGAAAGTGCAGTCCGATCGTTGTCGCACACGCCAGCGTCGCCATGACAGCAACCGGTGCGACGACGCGACGCGCGACGAGGTACTGCATGAGCACGGTCGACGTCAATAGCGGGAGAATACTTGGCGAGATAAGGGTTGCGTACTGCTTGGCAAAGGCGCGCGTGGTCGGGTGCAGCATCGTGCCGCTGACAAGAACATCGACGTGAAAGTAGTAGCACGTGAGAAGCGGCGTCGCCAGCAGTGCCACGACCAGCGCCGATTGGAGCCAAAACCCTCTGGCAAACAAGAGGCGCCAGCCACCGACACCCGAGAGCAGAAACGACAGCGGCACGTAGATCCAGAAGCGTGCGAGACCGGCGCCCGCGAGCTGCCGCGTGCCGAGATGACCGAGAAACATGAGCTCGGTGTCGGCTGTCAACTGGGCGGCCACAAACTGGATCGAGTGCAGCAGCATCGCGCAGAGAAAGCAACACCATTCGCGCCCTTTGGTGCCAACGTTGCCCGCATCGAGCACGTCATTGGACCCGTCGACGTCGTTGTCGAGGAGCGATGATAGCTCGGTGACGGTGCCGTAGCCGCTACCGGCGCTGGACGACGGCAACGAACGCTATACATTCGGTGAGGTGGTGGTGGTGGTCGGGATGCGAGAGCGTACCAAAGATTTGGAGGACCCGTCGCGGAGCCGCCGCGAGGATTGCGAGACAAGCAGAACGCGGGGCGACGATCGCCCACTACGGTTGGCATCCACATCGACGACACCGTTCGACGACCAAAGCGGCTCCAAAGGCCCATCGCGACTGACCGAGGAAGCTGGTGCGTGATCTGCGGCGAAGCGGCGGCTGGAGAAGACATCCTTGGCCGACGACGACGATAACGCCACCGACGCTGCGCCGGTAGCATCCACGGCGCCATACGCCTTGGCGCCGGCGCTCATGATGAGACTCGATTTCACGTCAGCGCTACGGCGTGGAGAGATTGCCTTGAACGTCGTCATGAGTCGAATCGGTTGATCGCCGTCAATGACGTCAGTATCGACGCTGAAGTGGCTGCTCGTCGACATGAACGATGAGGAAGCTGCGCGGTGGTCCGCTGTCGTCTGGAGCATGTACGCGCTCTGTCCACCATGTCCGTCGTCCGTGCTGGCAGCGACGTTCATTGAGACGCGCCCATCCCATCGGTCACGAGTATCGTCGTTTGTGTGACCCGCGTTGTCGTGTAGGCGCTGTGTGTAGCTATCATTGCGGGCGACCTTTCGGCTACTTGACGAACGACGAGCGTGGGGAGCCGTCGCGGCTCCGGTGATCTCACCACCGATCGTAGAGGCCAGCGGACCGTCAGGAGCGTCTTTGCCCTTTCCTGGCCCGTCACGGACGGTCTTGTCATTCCCATGGGCTTCACGACGGACGTCGACGCAGTCATGGCCGTCTTCGTCCATCAGAGACGACACGCGCAGTTGGTTCGCGGACGTCTCAAGTCCTTCACTCGTGACGTCACAAGCCCCGGTCGTCACACGGTGCTGAGCACTGGACGTCAAGTCCGTGACAGAAGCGTGGCGGGCTCCGGTCTGGACGACACTGCTGGATCCGTCGCCCGAGATGGACGACTGCAACCGGAGCAAGTTGCCCAGCGCATCTTCGAGGTGCTATAGGCGAAAATCGACTTTTGCCTCGTTTGCAACGGGCAACGACGTACCGTGGCCAATACCGGGCGGGGCGGGCTACCGTAGCTGCGACGGCGATACTGCGGTTGCTATTCGTGCTACCCGTGAAAAAGAGTCTGCAACAAGGTGCGAACCTCGTAGACGTCGGTTGCTAACCACGCGGTCGATTCTTTAAGGTCGCGCGGAGATGTGGCGCCGACGGACCTGGCACCCGACGACTGCCGACGCGACCGCTACGACAACCGCATAAATGCCAAGCATGATCGGGTCAAGAGATACCACGAGCGGAGGGTCGTCGTCGACGAGCGACTGCCGACGCGAGTGTTGCAACGACTGGATGCGTTTGGACGCCATGCGAATGAACGATCCTCGGCGCGACGTCGGTGCCTCCTTGTCGTCGAAAGATGCTTGGGACGGCGCCCGGCTCATGGCCATCGGCGGTGTGCCGCCAACCAGTGGCGTCGGCTTCTTTGGCGTCCGTCGTTGCAAGGGCACATGCGCTGTTGGCGCCGACACGGAGCAAAGGCCACAGCACAACCATCGGTTGCCACACGACATCGCGTGCGTGTCGTCATCAGCGATCGCGTAGCGGCGACTGGAGCCCGAGATCCCGGCCGTAATGGCGACCGAGCGTCGCCGACGTTCGTTGGTTGCACGACCACTGCTGCCGTCTTTGTCCACGCCGGCTGCCATGGTAGCCGTTGGCATGTCGAGGGTCGACGACGCCTTGGTATCCAAGACATCGAAAGCACTGTCCGAGAGAAGCCCCACGTCATGTCGGCTTTGCCCACGGCTCTGCTGCTGTCGTCTGACGTCGCTGGGTACACGCTGTGACCGTTGGCTTGGATGAAGCGACGTACGCACGCCAAGGCCGCAAAACGCATCCAGGCAGCACGTCGGTGCATTTTCCGCGTCCAGGTCCAAGGTTCTGTACCGGGAAGTGGCGCGCACGACATTGGCAAGGCGGTCGTTCATGCCCGAATCAGACGCTGCGCCATCGGTGGTCGAAGCCATTGTAGCAAGAGGCTCCGTTCGGTCAACACCACGTCCATCACCACGGGACACTGCCTTGGCCGCACTCGATCCCGACGACTGCACACCAGCAATGGCATGTGAGCTTGAATTGAACCGCCGTGACTGCCGGGACACCTCGACGACGCCGGTGTCGGTGCCATCGCAACACCAGCTGGATGTCGCCGCAGACGTAGCAGCGTTTTGCTCGCGACCACGTCCTTGGAAAGTGCGACGACAATCATTCGAGTCGTGACCGATGCTGCGCATGCCGGAAGGCGCAGACGGGACGCTGTCGCTGCGTCGATCATGCGCCTTGGGGGATCGCTCGGCGTCCGCGTCAGATGGACACAGCTGGGCCGTCGACGAACGGTGTCGTCGACGATCTGGATCAGAGGACGCTTCTCGGTGACGGGAAACAAGATCGTCGCAGGTGCCACCGCAGCAGCACCAGCCATGCGACGCAGTATCGATCGTTAGCGACTGGATCACCTCGCGACGCGACGGTTCACGGAAACGCTGACGCGAAAGCATGTTGTCCGGTGATGTGCTGCAATCCGCTCCGTCTCCACGCATGAGCTGCTCCCGATCGACGACAGGTCGGCGCAATGCGGGCGTCTCAACGCTCGACGAGGTTGCTGTCACCGTCGTCGGGATGCCAGCTCGCTCCGTTTCGGCATCGACGCTGCGCGAGACTGATTGCAGCACGGAGTAGCTGACCATCCTGGAGGCATTGTCATTGGTACGTCTCATCTGCGAGCTCTCGGATGAAGCACCACAGCAGAGCCACGAAGGGTTGCTACGGTCGTCGGCCATTTGTCGATCGCAGGTGCGGAGCGACCCAGAGGTGAGATCCATCGTTCTTGCTTCGTTCCGTGCAAGCAACGGTCTTGACGACGATGCGTCGTTGTCATTACTGCCGTCGCGCCACGACATGGAACCACGGAACCGAGGCGTCTCGTTACTCGCGCCGCAGCATGGAACGCACGCAGACAAGCTGCAATGGCGCGCCGAGGTCTCGGGCCGCAGACGTCTGCCGTCGTCTGCCTTTCGGTCTTGGTGGTGGCCGAGTCCCTCTTCGAACGATGGGTCTTTGACTCGAGTCGCTTGCTTGGCTGTGGCTTCATCCGTGCCCGACATGCGAGCAGCTCTGTCATCGCCGATGTTTCTCGCCGAGCCATGGACACGGGACGTACTGTGCTCAAACGCTGTCGTCGGAGCTGTTCGTAGTAACGAGTCGTTGCCCGCGCCATCATCCGTGGCCCCTTCGGCGGCGAAGTGATCGGACACCGGACGATGCAAGGTGTCGTTTGAGCTCGGCAGTTGACGACCATCACACATGCTTGCCCAGCCGCCACAGCAAAGCGAGCACGACGCCGATGCTTCGGGCACTAGAACCGTGCGGCGCGTCGTGCTCGGGGCGGAGGCAGACGCGGACGCGCCGTTGGTCGATGGCCGTCGCTGCTGGAAATTTGGTGCTGCATCGCCCGGGGCCCGTTTGCTGATATGCGCCGACATCGTGGTCGTGATGTCATTGATCGCGACACCCTTGTCGTGCCGTAGATGACCGGCGTCGATCGTAGCACTCGTTCCGTCGGCGTCTTCCAATCGAGAGCCACCGATCCCGACGGCTTCACCGAATCGCGCAGGGTCCGTTGAGAAGGCTGCAGCCGCCGGTGCGCCGTGCATGCCAGTCGACAAGCCCTTCTGTGACGAGTCCGTGAAGAGGCCGTGGACGTCGTCGTAATTGGATGCTGCATTTATAAACTCTGCAGACAACGTCGACGCTGGAGCAGACACCGACGCAGCGTCCGTGGCACCGGCAATGCCGACCGGGCGTTCATAACGCTCGATCGTTGCAGTCTCAATCATCCGTCGAGAGGACGCTGCCGCAGCAGATGCTCCTGGAGCGTCGTGGCAGCAGCTCG